GCAGAAAGGGATGAAGTGAAAGGTGATAACACTCTAACCTTGTCAACTCACTCTTTTGTTTGTACTGAGATGACCCTTTGTCTCATAACCTGAAGGTGATAACAATCACCCCCCTCATCTCTACCCCCCCACATCTCATTTCATATTCTCCTTCTACAACCCCTCCTTATCCCTCCTCAAACTCTTTTTCCTCCTCATTCCTCCCCCTTAGTTTTCAATGTATATAAGGTCCTTCCAAAATATTCTTAGCAGACTGGACTGAAGACTGGACTAGACTAGACTGGTGACCAGACCAGACTGGTGACACACTGATGACCAAGCTGTGCCCGTGCATGATTGTCTGCATGCACGTGAATAAGACTAGACTCCTGATACTGCTGTCAACGCCGAAGCTCAGTCTCATGACTCTTCTTGCCAAATTTCTAACACAAGTGACTACAAGCATGTAGATGGAAAAGAAAAAAAGCTCAGGGGCTTTAACAAACAACTGAGCAAAGTAGCTACACACCACTCTCTTTCTCATATCCCCACCGGCCTTTCCATCAGTCCTTTTTAAAGGTGTTCCATCTCCGTAGGTAACATGCATCACATAAGCGAGGTAAAGCAGAGTCAGAGTGGATGCAAAAATAATCTGAGCGCACCAGAGCCGCATAGGAAACACTGGAAACAAAACATTTTCGCAAGACTCTTCGCTGCCAGGTTGGTGTCAACTGCAGACCAATGGTCTTAATGAGTCCATCTGGACCATGTTAGCTCCCACCATCAGCATGAAGACTCTGAAGAAGAAGAGGACGGTCAGCCAGACTCTGCCAACGACTGTAGAGTGGGTCAGCACTTCTTCTGACCACTTTGAGAAAAGCTGCATCCATTCCATCTCATCTGCTTCTCAGAACTGCTGCAAAAGATGAAATAAATGTTTGCATATCTTCACAGACGGGAAATATTCGATATGGCTGTTTCGAATAATCAACTGAGAGTAGGTGATACGGCAAAAATATTACATCACTATATTTGACATTTTCACAACATACAATATACTATGCAAAGTATACAATATACTATGCAAATGGTTCTTTACACTCACACATCTCATTTTTTCAATCATGGTCTCTTTGGGGAACCAAAAGTGGTTCTTCTGTTCCTCAAGGAACAGTTTGTAGCACCAACAGAGTAACAGTGCCAACAGTAACAGTGCCAGCTGTTTATAAATGAAGTATCAAAATATAAATTATCAGGCACACATATATGCACAACTAGTTAAGACACTCCTCTAGATAGACATTATGGCTTGTTTAGAAGTCTATCTTTCCAACAAAGCAGCCACAACTGACCAAACAAAAGATGCTCACCTGCACTTTTTGCAGAACTTGTTTCTTCTCTGCTGTCTTTGTGTTGCACAGTTAGAGATGGTAGCAGAAATGTATGAAGCTTGTTTGGGGTCGGGCTTTAAACCCCGTAGTTTTGGCGTCTGCATTCCTGCTTTTCGGCTAACCAGTTGCACTTCATTCTTTTTCATGGGTTTGTTTAGAGGGACAGCACTTTTCTTGGCATGGATCTTTGTTCCCTGGCTTTTTAACCCCTTCCGATAGGTCCTGTCAGAGTTTCCTTTACCAGAAAAGTAAATTAATTTAGCAAACAAACACAGTTCAAATCAGCTGATTGATACATGATATAAGTACAAGTTTGTTGCAGTGATGGTGATCATTCACCATCAGATATTGATTTGTGGGTACAAACAGAGAGAAAGAAGTCATGTTTGTAGCCATCTAAAAAAAACTTAAGGATTGTGCAATCAGCTTTCAGTAAAATGACTGCAGTGCTGAAGTTCTCTTGTATACATGAGTCAGACTCTTGGTATTAACTCTTATTGTGCACTGGAACACAGGCTAGAGATACAGCCAACCAAGCACGTCTCATTCTTGCTTTTTGTAGCAGAAGCACAGAGTCGAAACAGCCACTCAGACTAAAACTCCACTACACACCAAAACATCATGCGTAAACCCTCACAAAAAATACTTAAAGTCCATTGTATTAAGTAAACTTGCAAGTATATAAAGTGCAAGTATATTTCCCAAGTATACTTTATACTGTTGGTATACTAATACCATTGTACTAGAGGTGTACTAATTGCACTATTTAAATGCTTGCTGGGGCTAAATTGGCCAACTTATTTTATAAAAGTACATTTTTAAGTATACTTTAGGTGTAAGAGTTATGAACTCTGAGTACACGACTACTTTACACCTATGTTTTATTTTGTCCAGCAACTATACTGTGAATTACACTATAAGCATAACTATAACTTATAGGTACTCATTATACTCTTCTAGCACACTTTTTAGTTTATGTAAGTGTACTTTAAAGTACATCACAATTTTATATATATGCTGTCACCAGTGCTGTATATCACAATTTGAAAAAATCCATACACCCTGGAGGAGGCATGTGATACTTTCATCCTCCCAACACTGCTGGTGCTGCAATGTGATGGGGAAGTGGTGATGACTAAAATGTGAGAGGAAGAAGCAAAAATAACTGACGGAGACGGAGAGAGAAACTGATCAACTGCACTGTAAAAATGGAAAAGGGTAGAGGTTGTATTTAGTGGCATAACTGGGATCTTATGGGTCCCAGTGCAAAAGCAATCAATGAGCCCCCTCATGCTAATATTGATTTGAATTCTTAAAAAATACATTGGATTTATTGGGAAATGTTTAAGTGTTTGTGTTAGACTATCATACGGAAGCAATGTGCAATTACGTTACTGTCATACTTCATGGAGGGGAAGCTTAGGTATCACATGATACAGTACTGATGGCTGAATAACAGCTGAAAAACACTGCCAAAGTAGTTTGTTTTTAATGTGAGACCAAATATTGTAAATAAAGTTTAAATCTGGACTAAGACTAGGCCAAAACATTTGAGCTTATTCTATTTTTTTCCACATAGGACTGTATGTGTGTGTGTCTGTGTATACGCATACACATATATTCATGTTTATATGTACAGTAATTAAAAAAAAAATGTAATTTATTTTTTTTATCTATCTTTTTATATAGAGGGGCGCGGGAGAGGTTTTGTTAACATCTTAATGGATGTGGCCGGGCCGTGCTCTACATTAGTTCATCTTTAGCGCACCTGGTCTGGACAATCCTAGTACAGGTCAGGCTACCAGCCAGAAGATCTCCTTGTACTCCTAACTTGCAGACTGAACCTAGAGGGGCCTAATAAAAAATTTGGGACCCTGCACCATGGCCCCAGTGTGACTGCCCCCCACTGCCCTTTCAGTAGTTTTGCCACTGGTTGTTATTTATAGAAATGTTTTATAGCCGTGATCTACAGCTGTTGAATCATGCTTTTGAAAATCATCTTATGAAGCCCTGCATGCACTTCTCCATCTTTTTTTTTATTTTAACCCAATTTTCTCCCCGATTTAGTCGTCGCCAATTCCACCCGCTAGTTAGGACTCCCCCAATCACACAATACTATCAACACTAGGAGGGTGAAGGCTAACACTTCCTCCGAGACCTGTGAAACCAGCCACCGCTTCTTTTTGAACTGCCGCTCACGCAACATCAGTCGACAGCCGAAAGCTGTTACGTCAGCTAACAGACGCCTGCGCTGACTAGCATCGTGTTAAGTGATGGGGGGGGGAGAAGGAAGGGCCATCCTACCCACCCAGAGAGAGTGAGAATCCCGGCTACGGATGGCTGTAGCATCACCAGGGATCGAACTCGCGATCTCCTGATGATAGAGCCAACGCTTAGATGATTGCGCCACTTCTCCACTTTGAATGACCTTTTCTCAGGCCAATACTTTATCTGCAAACTGTCATAAATCAATGTCCCAGGCATCAGGCAACATATTTGTAATCATTTCATGTGATAACGTCTGGTCATGTAGCTTTTAGAGGCATTAAATACTTAATAATAATAATCTGGTTCCTATCACCAACATTGTGAGCAATTCTGGCCTAGCAGGTTTCACTAGAATGGAGCCTTTCACATCAAACCATTCTGAATGAATGGTTAAGCTTACATCGTAACCATTGAACAAAACCAGTTAAAATGCTTGTTACCACATGAACTGCATGTAAAATATTGTTTACAGTGTATAACATATGATCAAACATGAGTGGACTGCACTCCTGTGTATTTTAGTTCAGGCCTGTAACTTCTTCATGCAGGCCATCTAGTGGCCATTCCACTAGTGGAATGGACATCAACACAGACATTTTAAAATTAATATAATGAAATAAAATATTTTTCTCCATAACTCTGTTATCAGATTAACTAGGACTCTGTCTCTCTGTGTGTGAAATGTTCTCTGTGTTGAGCTGTTAGTGAGCAATGAGGAGTGAAAGGGGAGGCCTGAGAACCCCGTGCTCTCCACAAAGATGGCCATGCCGATATAAAATGGACAGCACTGCAGCGTCCATGCTGACAAATTGTCTATAACTACCACAACAAAAAATAGCATTTAAACACAATAAAAACACTCTAAAATGTTGACTTGTTTGCTCACCTACAAAGATGAAAATCCAACTTTTTTCCTTATTTTGTAAATCATACCTTCATGATATAGTATATTCTATCAATGTTGCTGAAGTCAAAAAAATATATAATATATAAAAAAATATATAAATAATAATAATAATAATAATAATAATAATAATGCATAATTCAACTGAAGAACCTCCTCCAAAAAAGGTGAAAATCACATTTTACTGTGTAAAGTTTAAATTTCTTTTTGGAAATTCCTTTACATAAACATTACAACAATACAATACACAAAACAATAGTCTTTGTGGCATTGAATTATTTTCTTTTTTATTAAATCTGCATTTCTTAATGGAAGAAGTGTGTCTTATGTGGATGCAGTTTCATTCTGAACAGAGCATGTGTGACTGTAATCGCTGTAGTGGAAGTTGGTGGAAACTGTCGGCAGTGTTCTGGGGACAATACAGCTTTACCAAATCCCCTTTGGTTCCCAGTGAGGAAAGTATGTTGACACTGTAGGTCTGAAAGTGTGTGTAGGGGGATGTGTACGTGCTCTCAGATTGTGTTGCGAAACAAAGATTCTCTGAGCTGAGAGGTTTGTGGGTGGACACTCTGTGACGATGCACCTATAGGGTGAATTTATAAAACTGCCAGCCCAAGAATGATGGAATGAAGCTTGATTCTAGACATTATCTCAAGTCTCGATAATCAATTTTGGATTTACTTCTTCCAATAAAACAATTAAATACTGCAAGTGCAAGGTAAGAAAACTCTACTACTAAGCAGAAGTCCTAGAGTATGAGAATTTTGGCTATTTATGTGGACATTATCTGGGTATCTGTTATTACAATCATCTATCACTGTCAGTCACCACAGAAGCTACAGTATTTAACCATAAGAAGTTTAGTTACTGTTATGTTGCTGTGCAATTTAATCATAACTATGTAATTACATAGCTAGATTTATGTCAAATTTAGAGTATTAACAGGTTTGAATCTGCACTTCTGTTTGGTTCAAAATCAAAAATTGACAGAAACATGGCAAAAACTGTAATAGATGTTCCTCCTTCCCCAACACAAGACCTGACAATAACTTTCCATCCAATTCAAGTCATCATAAAATATGTTTTATAGAATCTGCATTTTCAACAGAATTTCTCAGCTCATGTCAATGAGCTTTGAGTGAGAAACGAAGGATGAAAAATTACAACATCCTTCTATTGTTACTGGTAAAAACTATGACTGCCAGGGTAAAGGGAGTGGTATTGAGCACTTTTTGCACATTTTTGAGTTCCTTTTTTTTCCTCTTCCTTTGTCTTCAGCAGAGTATAAGCCATGGGAGACTGGGGTTTTCTCTCCAAACTACTCGACAAGGTGCAGTCCCACTCCACCAGCATTGGGAAGGTGTGGCTGACTGTGCTTTTAATCTTCAGGATCATGGTTCTTGGAGCTGGAGTAGATAAAGTGTGGGGCGATGAGCAGTCTGGCATGGTGTGCAACATCAACACGCCTGGATGCAAGAACGTGTGCTACGACAAAGCCTTCCCGATTTCCCACACCCGCTTCTGGGTTCTCCAGATCCTTTTCGTGTCCTTACCCACTTTGATCTACCTGGGCTACGTCCTGCACGTCATCCACAAAGAGAACAAAATAAGGCAGAAGCTCCAAAACCAGGCCGAGAAGCGAGGGCTGAAGCTGCCCAAATACACGGATGACAACGGAAAGCTTCGCTATAAAGGAAACCTCTTGTGCGTTTATGTAACTTGCATATTAGTGACCATTTTGTTTGAAGCAGCTTTCATCGTGGGGCAGTACTATTTGTACGGTTTTGTGATGAATCCTCAGCTCAAGTGCAGTACCAATCCATGTCCTAGCCATGGAGTAGAGTGCTTCATGTCCCGTCCCACTGAGAAGACCATCTTCATCATCTTCATGCTGGTGGTGGGCTGCGTGTCTCTAGTTTTGAACATAGCGGAGATATTTTATCTGATTGGTCGAGCTACCATGTACAGAAAGTATCCACCAATTAGTCCAGCTGATGAACATAAATCATTGACCACTGAGAAATTTTGCTGAGATGAGTGCGAAACTGTTCTGGTTTCACACTATTTAAAAAAAGCTTTCTAAAAGGTTTTTTTGATTGGATAGATGGTACTAGGAAGAACCACAGGTGTAGAACATTTGCATTATCTATGTAATATAATTAAAGAACCATGCACCAAAAGTGGTCTTTCTCGCCAAAAAGCCCTTTTTGAAACCATTATTTTTTAGATTCTACTCTATTGTAAATAGTTATATCTGAAGAAGATGTAGATGTTGAAGCACCTCCACATTGAAAGAGTTTATGAGCTCTTTACCATAATGTCATGCACTACTGTTGTTCTTAATGAAAAGAATGGACATTCATGTCTGCTTTCTGTAGCTTCTTTTAATTTTCCATTTTTCTTAGACGAGTATTCATCCACTGAATAAGATCTAAATGCACTTGTATTTCTTGTCTTATCCGCTACTTCAGATGTTTTTGAATGTATAATTGTTCACCAACTATTTTGTATAAATTTTTCTAGATATTTTCTGCTTTTATGAAACTTTTACCAAAGTCATGTCATCACAACCAATTAAAACACAGGTCTATCATCACATCATGGCATCATATGACAGAATGTGTTGTAAAAAAAGAAATACATAGTCATTCTTATTCTGTACTGCCTCCTATAACTCACATCCTGCGTTCTATTTCACTTCCTCATAAGCAATCAATATAGAGGACCATACTGGTCAAATACATTGTGAGAAAATGTGGTGACAAAACCACATTATGTTAAAAGAAAAGAATAAATAGTCATGTTCTCCACCACTAGGAGGTGCCATGTGATCAAGAGCCAACAACATACAGGATTATGGCTCAATCTGTTGATGCAGTGATGCTCCTCACTCTTACAGAAGAGCTGACACCTCTAAAATATATTTTTAAACCCTAATCAATATCTCATTGCTATTTTCTCTGTGATTAAATAACACCTTTTAGATGATATGCAATAGGCTAAGCAGAAGCATCGAAATAAACATCAAATGCACTGATACTTTTGTAAATTTTCCATTTATTTTTAGTCCTTCATGAGTCTTTACAAATGCAGCCACAGATAATGTGCCTATTGTACCACATGTACCTTCTGGAAAGCTGGTAAGACAAGGATGGGGATATGTTCCAATTTTTAGGCCCACCTACCTTATACCACCTTGTACTATACTTATTGGCCATTTTATCAGAAACACCAATCATATCCTTTGTAGGTTTAATTGTAGGCTGTAGCGCATCTGTGGCATCAAAATCTTTCACCCCCTCTCTACACACACCCTGTCTATGTAAACCACCATAGGACCACCTAAGACCAGATATTTTTATATTTTTTGAGTGGTGGACTGTTCTCGACAATGACATGCTAGAAGCATGGTAATGTGTGTGGTGCTGGTACAAGTGAATCAGGAACAGGGCTGATTGCTGGGCTTTATAAACACTATCTACAATATGTTAATTGTCACTCTTATCTAGTCTGCAGCCCACTTGAAATGTACATGTAGACTATTGTCTGGGCTTTCTTTCTGGAGAAAATGTCTTATATTTTATAACACAACATGTGGATAGCTGCAGTACACTGTAACATGGACTCATTAAGCAATATCTTAAAAACAGCCTTTTTTACCTTATTTTTCCACCACACCTTTTGTGTGAAGTCTACAGACGAAATTCACAGTTTTAATGTGACCTAGTTACTGCTGAGATCTTGCTATGGGCAAATATACATAGGCACCAATTTATAGGCCAAGCAGGTCAGTTTAACACATAATGTGAGTTAAGTCAGTGTTGTGTTCACTTAACTTTAGAAACTGAAGTCCATATAAAGTCCCACTGGTCACCAGTCATCTCAGTTGAATACATAATACAGTTTTTCTGACACTAACTAAGTGTAAAGTTTGCCATTTCTGTGTTAATAATAACACATGAGGCCATTAAAAGTTCATAATATGCTTTATTAGACAATGGAATTAATAAAGACATAGTCCCCTATAAAAATGAAATGAGCAACTATTCAAAGTTTGGAAGCACTTCTCATAATAGTAATCGTTTACTAACAACTTATACATTGCAGATTTAAATACTTTAAACTAAACAACAAAAGATGCTTTTAAGTGTTCTAATTGTTTGGCAATAACAAGAAATATTCAAGGTTAAATAATATTCTCCAATTATCTGTTTCTATGATTATTTGTCAAGTCATCGGCCTCAAGATGTGATTGTCACTTGTGAAATACAAGACATTATGGATATCAACTTTTAACTTCACACAGTCATTTAAGAATCAGCTACTGCTCTGTTCATCATTCTGGACACATATGATTTCTTTTTCATGTGATTCTGTCTGCCCCATAGTGGTTTTATAATTGAAAACTTTGATTCCAACCTTGTGAACAGTAGCATAAACCACTACATGTCAATATATTTTAACATGTAAATATATATTTTCCTGTCCAAAGAAAAAGAAGTATCTCCAAAATAGTAACTTCTTAACTTTAAATGTATGTTAATGTGAAGATGATTAATTCTAAGTGATTTTGGTCCATTCATCCTGAAATCTCCACAGGACAAGCTGCCATGTTGAATATATATATATAATATTGTATAATATTGAATATATATATATAATAATGTAAAATGGAGATACATGTTTTTCTTTGGACAGCGACGATCTATTGCAATATAGTTTCAATTATTCTCAATATATATTTTTTTTGGGGTCTAATATTCTGGATATTAGTTACAAATAAAATCATTCTCAACCACTTTCATAACTTAAAGTCAAGTTTCAATCACTTAACACCCCCTCCTGAAAAAAAACAACAAAAACAGGATAAAAGATGACAAAAATTCTCCTTATTTCATCCTTTCATCTTGCATACTGTGCATGTTTCTGAAACAATTACAAAGTCTTGAGAACTACAACTGTGTATCATGTCCTTGAATGTAAACATGAATTTCTGCTCCTGAAGTACAGCAGACATTTCAGCAAAGAAAGTCTAAACACCAGACTACTTAAAACATGTCAACACTATCATTTAATTGAACATTAATGCAATACTTCAATAGATGTTGTTCAACATAATCTTTATCTGCTGCATCTGTACAATGCAGTTAATTACCACAGATAATAGTTTGTGTTTGTCTGTACTTATAAAGGAAGAGGAAGCTTGTTGACCCAAAAATACTTGCGGTTCAAGGCAAAGCGTATTTATTACTACAGATGAGGCAGATAGAGATCAGCTCAAAAATGCCTATGTATTCCTTTAAATACATGCTGATATAGTTAACTGACTGAGTCCAGGTTGACACTCTTTTTGTTCTTTTAGGCTTTGCTGCTTTCTTCAGTTCCAGGAAGGTACAAGTGTCTTTGCTTTAAACTCATCTTTGCATGATGCTTCTTTGACCTGTAGCCAATCAGGTAGAAAATCTCGATTACGTTCAGCAGCAGGGACACGCACGACACAATCAGCATGAAGATGATGAAGACCGTCTTCTCCGTAGGCCGAGACATAAAGCACTCTACAGTGTATGGACACGGGTATCGGGTGCATTCGATTTTAGGCACCATCATGAAACCATACAGGTAGTACTGACCAGCTATGAAGGCTGCCTCGAGCAAGATCTTGACCACCACACTGGTCATGTAGCTAGCCAACAGCTCGCCTTTGATATCGATTTTACCCTTGTCGTCAGTGTATTTGGGTAGTTTGACTCCTTGATGTTCGGCTTGGCTTTTCAGATGCTCCCTCAGCTTCCTCTCCTTTTGGATGACGTGCAGAACGTGCCCGAGATACATAAGTGTCGGCGTTGCCACGAAGATGATCTGGAGAGTCCAGAAGCGAATGTGGGATATCGGGAAAGCGCGGTCATAGCACACGTTTGTACAACCTGGCTGTTTGGTGTTGCAAACCATTTTGGACTGTTCGTCTCCCCACACTTTTTCAGCACCGGCTCCAAGAACCATGATTCTGAAGACGAAAAGAACGGTCATCCACACCTTCCCAATGACCGTGGAGTGGGACTGCACTTTGTCCAGGAGCTTTGAGAGAAAGCCCCATTCCCCCATTTTTGTGTCTGTAGTGGCTTATCTGAGGGAAAAAGTGGATATAAGATTTGACTGCAATACCAACTTCTTAAATTAACATTAAAAAAGGCCCGAAAAGGTTCTTTGAGCAATGCCATAGAACAACAGTTCTGAAACCGGTCAGGACCACCAGACGGGTCAGATTTCCACTCCAACAAAACCTATAACACATTAGGGATATAGCAAGAATGTGGACTGCCTCAGGGTCCATAAGGACCAGATTGACAGCCTCTGCCAAAGAAAACCACTTTTGGTTTTGGTTCTCCACAGAACCATGTTGAAAAAGAGGTTTGTGAATGTTAAGGGTTTTCAGCGTTCTTCCTAGAACATTTACATTATGTAGAGGTTCTTTAAACTTTAAAAGCATTCTTCACACTCACACATCTCATTCACAAAAATGGTTCTCTAAGGAACCATACATTGAAAGGTTATTTATGGAACCAAATGTGGTTCTTCTAAGGAAATGGTTCCCAACCCACTTTTGTCTTTTGGTTCCCCAAAGAACCATGTTGAAAAAGAGGTTTGTGAATGTGAAGAACCTTTTTTTAGGGTTTTTCCCAGAACCTTTGCATTGTGTAGAGGTTCTTTAAACTTTAAAATCATTCCTCACACTTACACATCTCATATACAAAAATGGTTCTCTAAGGAACCACCCACTGAAAGGTTATATATGGAGTCAAACGTGGTTCTTCTAAGGAAATCATCAGAGCACCCCAAAGGGTGCGTTTTAACTTGAAACGCACAGGTATGAAGAAAAAATATGGACAGAGTGGCCCTGAGGTCCATTTTGAGAGCCTCTGCAACAGAAAACCAGTTTTGTCTTTTGGCTCCACAAAGAACCACGTTGACAAAGAGGTTTGTGAATGTAAAGAACCTTTTTTAAGGTTTTTCAGGGTTCTTCCTATAACCTTTACATTGTGTGGAGGCTCTTTAAACTTGAAAAGCATTCCTCACACTCACACACCTTATTTACAAAAATGGTTATCTAAGGAACCACCCACTGAAAGGTTATTTACAGAACCAAATGTGGTCCTTCTAAAGAAATGGTTCCCAACCCAGTCATCAGAGCCCACCAAATGATCCAACTTAACTTCAACACATAGATGTAAAGGAAAAATGTGGACTGTCTAGGGGCCCTGAGGTCCGTGTTGGGAACCACTGTTCTAAGACATTGACACAAAGAATCCTTTCTGGCGGCTTTATTTTTCAGAGTATAGTGTTGAAATTCTCTTCAAATATGCTACAACAATAAATACCTAAGAGGCCTCTGCTGATTAGGTCTGAAATCTGCTTTTAAAAGAAGAGTCCAAAGTCCAGTTTCAATGTACAACCTGCGGAGAGAAAACACAGACAACTGCTGTCACTAACACGAACCTTAAATGATTGCTAGTTCAAATATTGCATTTTATTTCTATAACTTCATGTGCTGAATGGTTAACTGAATTTTGTTAGTTTATGGTCAACCTCAGACCGTACGCAAAAGTAATCTATAAGTAATACATAGTCCTTACAATAATTTGAGTAAATGATCCATCCTCTGGTGCATGATTCATTCACATTTATTCACATCAAAGTTATTCATATAATACCATGAGTTATTCATACCATCTTTTCTACAAGAGTAAAATCTACATATTGATGAAGAATTTATCAAATTTTATATCTTTAGCTGAACACTATTGGAGCAGATACTGATTGTGTCAAATAACGTGAGATAAGAAAGTAAGTAGTAATTCAGATGTTACCATATGCCGGAGATCCCAGTATACAAATGGAAGAACATGAACCAGCACTCAATTGTAAAAGTAATGAAAATGATAAGAATGAACCGTAAAGCTCTTCTGTCACTTTTAGCTCCATTACTGAACAACTTTTCTTTCATACCTTAATGATATATTAAAAAGAAAACAGTATGGCTTAAACACTAGTTAAAAAACAAAAATGAAAGTAATGAAAAAAGATATAACTATTTACTTACCTAGGAAGGCGCTAAGGCTGGAATGCTAAACGAATGGAAACGAACGATAAAGTGCCATGTACTGGGCGCCTACACTGAACTTTAGTTTCCTTGGAGTTTCGCAATAAGCTTGTCACGTTGCTCTCCACCAAAAATGATAAGTCACCTGTGTGGCTGAAATGGAGAAAGTCAGGTAGAATGGTGAAAAATCAATCATTAATCATAGGACGTGGTCTGCCACATGTCAAACAAGACAGAATGTCTTTTGAACTTTTAGTGATTAGAAGCACTGCTGGATCTCACACTTTATACCCAGTAAAATATACCAATAAAGCACCTCACCTGGAGTATTAGTCGTTTTCTAATTGCTCCCTGACACTTAAACCCATACGTAAAGGTTTATGATATATTTGCTTAGGACAATTCTTAATGCCTAGATCATGGTTGTCCAAAGTTGGCCCTTGAGGACATCTGAGTGGGCCAGCTGGAAAGGTACCTTAATCCCACCCCTCACTCAATGAGAGAACATATTTTTATGCCACATATCACTTATTACAGTCAAATGCAAAACTTTGAACATGACATGTTGACATGTTCTTCACAGAGAACAAAGTTAAATATGGCATTTTCTGCACAATTTGTAGTTAACATACGAGTTTAACATGTTAAAAAATATATTAGATAAAAAGAAACATAAATTATAAAAGGTGCCATAACTTTTGCACAGGCCACTTTTTATGTGATTTTCCAGTGAGCAAATAAACAGTAATTGTGCATTAAAATGTGCAGGAGTGTGATCTCTGTAGAGGAGGTGTTCACTTATTTTCACTTAGAAAATCAAGAAAATCAACATAACATAATTTGACTAAAACTATTACACATGACCATCTATTCTCTCTTTTCCTTTTTAAATTCAAAATCACATTTCTTTGAAATATTTTAGTAGCAAAGTATAGTGTATGTTATGAAAAACACTGGTTTGAAACCTACCTACCTTCTTTGGTTACAAGTATGTTCTTTTGTTATTTTTGGCCCAAAAAGTTTATGCAACCCTGGCCTGAACGTTGTTTTCTACATTAAGAGGCAAATTTGCGCTTGTGTTTACAAACACTACAGTAATAAAAACAAACTGTTGATCTTTAAACGAGTTATTGGATGAGCACCTGACCCAGCGTCTTGTGTCTGTGTATTTTTGAAACTGTAATGGTGGGAGGGACAAAGTGCTGCTTTGAAATGCTTGAATGTGGATTGGCTGTGGATATTTATGATACACATAGTACTGTATGAATGGCTCATGCAGCCATTAAAATTAGTTAAAACTTTTATCTGGTGTGTTTTTCTACTAAAAAAAAATGATACAATTTAAGAATAACTACAAACAAACATAAATACAGTAGAGCATAATAAGAATCCTCTGTTTACAGTTAGTTTTTAGCAAGTTGGTTAAAAGGATGCAGGTTTGGTTCCTGACTTCTCGCTTCTCTCCAGGCATCACATCAATTTAATAAATCAGCACCTGATTGAAGTTAATCGTGGTTTGATAAGAGAAACTAGATATTGGATGTTACCCTGTAACATACCTGCCAACTTAATCCTAATAGAAATATGGAGGTAGGTTATAGACCATCTGTAGAATTTGATGAAAAACATGTACATTGTTCCTCTAGATTTAACGTTACATTTTCGGAGGAATGTTCTGAATGGTCAGCTGAATTTTGTTAGTTTATGGTCAACCTTAGACTGTCCACAAAAGTAATCTATTGGTAATACATAACACTTACAAGAATTTGAGCAAATGTTTCATCCAATGATGCATGATTTAGTCATATCCTGTAAAGTTATTCATATAATACCATGAGTTATTCATACTGTCTTTGCTAAAAGAGAAAAATCTACACATTGATGAAGAATTTATCAAATAGCATGAGGTTTTTTTGTAATATCACTTAAAATGCATTTGAACTTTATTATAAAGCAGACATTTCACAGCTGATTACAATGTTTTAAAAGGCTTTATTCAGATGAAGAGATCATACACTACAGTCTTATATGTGAGCAACATTCATACTAAAGAATACTGAAATACTTTGGAGCCAACAAATACTTCTCTATAAGTTATGTTCCAGCGAATACACACAGTAGCTAAAAAAGACAAATAAAGGTAACAAAGACTCACCAATACACGTGCCGCTATAATAATGCATAAATTACCACAATGCATAAAACATGATTCATGAACAAACAATAAAACACTATTTCAAATCAAATTCTTTTCTAGACATATGTCTGTATCATACAGCACTAGCAGATTAATGTATGATAGTCTATTGTTCTATTAAACGTCATAAACAGTGAGTTCCACACCAAGCACTATTTTATCAGTTCTGAAAAACATATAATCTGAGTTACATCTCTCTAACAAAACCATTCTTCACTATAATTGACTGAAAGTCAAAGTGTCCAGTTTGCCTTAATCCCAGTTTGAATTCTGCCTGCCATCAATTACTCAAGTTTCTACAGAGCTGAAGAATCCTTGTTAGTCCATCTCTCGTTCACAGCAGCCCATTTGGCCTTTTCTCTTCTTAAATGTTTCTGGATGGAGTCAAAATCTGGTGATTTTTCTCAAAAGACCTCTGAAATATGTGCTGTAAAAATGTGAAGTCAGGTCAACTTAATACAAAGTAGTTTCTTGGCTTGAATTAACTTAACTTAGTTAAGTTCTCCTAACTAACTTCTCCTGGACCCTATTGTATTTGAACCACACATGTAAAAATAACGTTTTCTCAGAAAAGTCATAGTCGCATGCAAATGTCTAAGTATCCCCAGTCAAATGACATTTTGTGGATATTATAAGTGTAAGAATTTAACACAATCTCTACAGAGAACACACTTCTGTGGCATTTTTCTGCAAATTTAGTTTACATATTATGAAATAAACATGAAACTTTTGCACAGGTTTTATTTTTTACAGTATGTTACATTCAGCAAACAAGCAGTAACTGTGGTCACGCTTTGTTCGGATGGTCCCCTATAGATGATCTACAGATACTTATTAACAAACCTTCTGGTGATAGTTGATTATCAGCAGCATTAAGGTTAGGGTTAGGTCTAGGAGTAGGTGTAGGTTTTGTCTTGAGGTTGGAGTTAGGGTTTGTGGTAGATTTAATAGAATCTTTCACACACAACTTCAAGTTCAGTTTCATTTAATAGGTATTTAGTTGAAGGTTAGTTAAAGATAGACTGAGCATCTACAAAGCATCTACAGTGGACGGGTTAATTAGTGTGTACTCTGTAGGGGATGTCTACTTATTTTCATTTCAACAAAACATGAAGTTTGACCAGGAGCAAATTTGTCACTAAATCTAATGGTCCTGTAACAGATGTTTGTCCTCCTTTGCTCCGTCCAGGCTCACAGAGACACTCTGTCCACTCTCATACTGCATGTTCAGCTTGTTTTGCTTCAGAGGATCCTCAGCCCCCAGTCTGTTCTGCCACGAAGTGGACAGGGTGGCTGGGTTTTCGGCCGACGTGGTGTTGAGCACGCGTCGCTTTCCAGAACGACATCTAACCCTGGTGCAAATCAAGTAGAAAACCTCTATGATGTTCAGCAGTAGAGACACACAGGCCACCACCAGCATGAAGATGATGAAGATGGTCTTCTCCGTGGGACGAGACATGAAGCACTCTACGGTGTAGGGGCATGGATTTTTAGAGCAAGCAAACTCAGGGATCATGACGAAGCCGTACAAATAATACTGTCCCACAATGAAAGCCAGCTCTAAGATGATCTTAAAGAAAAGCTGGGTGAGATAGCTTCCTAGAAGGTTCCCCCTGATCCTGACGTGGCCCTTGTCATCTGTGTATTTGGGCATCTTGAGCATTTTGTTGTCGCGCTGTCTTTTTATCTTCTCTCGCAGCTTGTTCTCTTTGTGGATGACAAGGAACGCGTGGCCCAGGTAGACCAGGGTTGGCGTGGAAACGAAGATGATCTGCATGACCCAGAAGCGAATGTGGGAGATGGGAAACTTCCAGTCATAGCACACATTCTCGCAACCAGGTTGCATCGTATTGCAGACCAAATTCGATTGCTCATCACCCCATACGCTCTCCGCTCCTGCTCCCAGGACGAGGATCCTGAAGATGAAGAGGACGCTCATCCATATCTTGCCAATGACAGTAGAGTGGGACTGCACCTTGTCCAGTAAAGTTGAGAGAAAGCCCCAATCTCCCATTCTCGTTGGTGCTCAGGGTTGATCTAGAAGAGAGACGGAAAGATTTATTCCACTAAAATATCTAGTAGAAGGTTCTGGTTTCACCCATAAGAACATCTAAAGGTCATTAGAATGAAAGATAAAGCTCAGAATAGAAACGTTTCCTTCTTTTATTCCATGAACTGTTTATTTGCTAAATAGTCAGCTAATATATCCGCTCAAATGTACATGTGTATGGTTTGTATTTTATATGACTTCAATGAATTTCAATGAAGGCAAATACTCTGTAATTAACCCCAAATTTCCTAAGTCATTTCTAAGAAAATACAACTTACTTTCATCTTGAACTTAGAAATCAAAAATTCATAACAGCTTCATATTAACAAAAAAATCATCAGATTCTTGTAATGATTTCAACTCTAAGAAGTCATAAATTCATGAAAATTAATCAATCATCACATCAAACTACTAATAAGTGAACATCTTTTCAGATACATACAGCTTCTAGTGTTTATTGCTATAAATGATTGTGTGAATCTGACAAAATGTTTAGCATTTCAGAGTAAATGAACATAAAACTGTGGTTGGCAGCATGTAACTCCTATAGAATTCCCACTATACAACAATATAACTGAATGATAATCATCTGTTATGATACACATATTAATAAGTAGACATTACAGTCTGTTACTTGTATTACTGCAATATTTCTATTCAAATTCTCTAAACAGATTTATGTACAAATAAAGATCATTACACTCATTAAATCTATAAACACAAAGCAATTTTTCAGCAGTAAACCCACAATGTGTTTTCTTACTCACCGCCACCACAAAGATCTATCCTTCCTTATGAAAACTGTTCCAGAAACCAAGTGATAGCTAACTGTGGTTGAACCTTGAGTTTTTGGCCTTCAGAGGTTGTGCAATAAATTTTTCAAAGTGGCAAACTGTCACGTTGTCTGAAGATCAGCAAATGGCACCGGGTCCAGTTTAGCGCACATACTCTTGGAGTGGTGAGCTGTATTAATGATTGACAGATCAGAACGTGAACCATGCTCTTTACGATGATCCATTCTCCACTCCTTCACAACCCCACAAGTTTTGTAGTCCATGAAAAAAGGAAACATTTGATCCAAAGACAGAAAACCAATAAACCTATTTAAAAAAAAGGGTACTGTGCAAAAGTCAGAGATCATTTAGTTTCCAGTCAAAACAGATACTGAACACAAGTTATTGATTTTTCAGGAGATCTGTCTGAGGAGATTAGATAGAAGATGATCCACTTGCACAGCAGAAAATAAGTGCAAAAAAAAAAAATATTTGAAGCTATAGATAAAATGGGACCTGGTACCACCAAAACTTCCCCATCAGCACTTAAAGCTTTCATCTTCGAGAGAGAGGAGAAAATCATGCTCCACTCTTGCTTCAGATCTGAAAACATCCACAGCTTTTTCTGTCCATCCTTCCACTGTGAGAAGACAAATCAATGCTACGCTGCAAAAAATGGCATCTTGTCAAGTGAAATGATCTTAAATCTAGTCGATATATCTAATATTTTCCATTTTGAGATGGTTGTGCAGTTATTATAAGATTATCTAGAAGTGTCTATTTCTAGTCATTTTTTACTTCTTTTAAGTAATTTGATCAAGTAAAGTTATCTCACTATACTGGCAGACAATTTTATGGTTTCAAGCACATTTCTTAAAACAGGCAAAACTATCTGCCAATATAGTGAGATAGTTTCACTTAATAAAATTACTTAAAACAAGTAAAGAATGTCTGGAAATAAGGTTAATAATCTTAAACTAAGCTTACAACAATCTCAGCAGGAGAAATATTAGATTTATTGATTATATTTAGGATTGTACCTGACAAAATACCATTTCTAGCATTGCATGAGTCTGAAATGATGTGTAGCTGTCAAGAAGCCCTTACTGAGTAAAGGAAATAGATCAAACTTCTAACAACCAACTTCTATGACTGAACTTCAGAGGTGTGTAAAAATATTCCTGCAAATTAATTTGAAAAACTGAAATATTTGATATTAGATGTAGTTGTTGTTTCTGTGTAATTTTTTGTTAAATGTATGTTTCCTGCCTTTTTCCTGATGATGGAAAAATGAATAGCTTGCATTTAGTGTCTGTTTTTCCTGGAAATTAAATAAATGAACAGCATTCTCTGAGTTTGCACAGTACAGTCTTTTTAGCTTCTGTTCATTATTATTCTTGACTGACTGACTGAATGAATGAATGAATTAATGAATGAATGAATGAATGAATGAATGAATTCTTTTTACAACAAACTGTATTCAACACTCAGAAGTTTATTCAGACATTCACTAGTGGAAAACATTTCAACCATGTACAAAATCACCACAAACCCTAAGAGCAGTCTCCACAAAACAATCACAGCAAAAATTTCCATATTTATGTTAACATCACTTCAAATGGAAGACAAGACTTGAAGCATGTGCCATGGCTGCTCAAACATGGTTTAGGCCAGATGCACCTCTCAATTCCATGGTTATTTGCACAAATTGGCCTTGTGAATGGCTGTGTTTACAGAGACTTGGTGCTCAGATATGAACCTCTTCCATATCATTGGTGTTATGGTCTTCTAAAACCATGTTCTTGGCTAACTCGTTGCCAAGCTCATTTTTCTGAAGGCCGACCCCATGTTTCATCCAGTTCTGGATCACTTGATCTTTTTCATCAACATTTTTCTTGGTCATAACAGAGGTCACAGGGGTCACAGTGTAGTCCTTTTGCCGGTTTAGACACTCATTGACCTTTTTGACACACAGATAGAACACCTCGATGAGGTTCAACAGCAATGACACACAGGCTACAACCAGCATGAACCAAATGAAGACATTTTTCTCAGTCGGCCTCGATAGGAAACAGTCCACCTTGTGTGGACAGGGGAAACGACTGCAGACATATTGGGCCTGAAGAGTGAAACCAAACAAGTAATACTGGCCCAGAATAAAACCAACCTCAAGCACTATCTTGCATAGCAAATTCAAGATATAACTTCTTAGGAGCCGGCCTTGAATGTTGACCTTGCCCTTGTCATTGCTGTACTTGGGCAGTTTGTAGCCTTTTTTGAGAAATGTGCTGGCCTGATCATTCTGGGCCTTCTTCATGGCTTCTCTCATGTCCTTCTCCTCATGGATGACATGCAGGACATGGCCCAGGTAGATCAACGTTGGAGTGGACACTGAGATGATCTGCAGCACCCAGAAGCGCAAGTGTGAGATTGGGAACGCATGGTCATAGCAAACGTTCTCACAGCCCGGCTGCTGGGTGTTGCAGATGAAATCGGATTGTTCATCACCCCACACTTTTTCAGCACCGGCTCCAAGGACAAGGATCCTAAAGACGAACAGCACGGTCAGCCAGATTTTTCCAACCACTGTGGAGTGTTTCTGCACCTTGTCCAACAGCCGCCCAAGGATGTCCCACTCTCCCATCTTCAGCTATTAAAAGGAAAAACATGAAATGGGAGTTTATTACAGAAATTGAAATGCAAGGAAATATCAGGGCTACAAAAATCTCAAATCTAGTAAATATATTTAAGATTTCTCCATATGAAATTGCTGTAAGAAAGGTTTTTACTTGTTTTAAGTAATTTTATCTACTAAAATTGTCTTATTCCACTGACAGATTTGGTTGTTTCAAGCATTATTTCTCAATGCAAGTAAAAGTATCTGCCAATAACACACCCTCACTACATAAAATGACTTAAGCAAAAAAAATCAAGAACCTGCTTTAAAAATTTTATTTGTACAGCAATCTCATAAGCAGACACAGTAGGTACACTATATGGACATAAGTTTTGGGACACCTACACATTACACCTACAGGAGCTTTAATGACATCTCATTCTAAATCCATCAGCATTAATATGGAGTTGGTTCCCCCTTTACAGCTGTAATAGCTTCCACTCTTCTGGGAAGCTTTCTACAAGATCTTGGAGTGTGTCTGTGGGAATTTTTGCCCGTTCATCCGGAAGAGCATTTGTGAGGTCAGACACTGATGTTGGACCTGGCTTGCAATCTCCATTCTAATTCATCCCAAAGGTGTTTGATGGGGTTGAGGTCAGGGCTCTGTGCAGGCCAGCCAAGTTGTTCTACACCAAACTCACCCAGCCATGCCTGTATGGACCTTGTGCATTGGGGCACAGTCATGCTGGAACAGAAAAGGGTCTTCCCCAAACTGTTCCCACAAAGTTGGAAGCATACAAATGTCTTGGTATGCTGAAGCATTAAGATTTCCCTTCTGAAACTAAGATGCCTAGACCAACCCCTGAAAAACAACCCCATAGCATTATCCCTCCTCCACCAAACTTTACAGTTGGCACAATGCAGTCAGGCAGGTAGCGTTTTTGCCAAACTCAGACTGTCCATGACACTGCCAGATAGAAAAGCGTGATTCATCACTCCACAGAATATGTTTCCGCTGCTCCAGTAGAAGCAGTATAAATACATAATGTTTAATATTTAACTAATAATAATTCATTTTTTTTAAGAAACACTCTTTAACATTATTTATACTCATTCATATAATTTATATTAATAATAATAGTAGTAGAAGTAGTAGTAGTACCTGCTAAATGTGAGTAAAGTTTTGGCAAAGAAGAGCAGTTAATTCTGCATTTTCAGAGCATTTGTTTGATAATTCCTTTAATTTACTAATTCTGATATGCTACCTATACCACTATGTCAGTAATGAATCCACAAACGCAGATTTAACTATCTATTGGGCTAAATTACCATAATAACTAAGTCAGGTCAAGCTAAGTTACACCCATGCCTGCTCAATGTGCAGCAGTCATGCTGTGTCAGGTTTTTACTTGAACATTTCTTCTAGTATGCACTGCTCTATCTTGGCTTTTAACAACACATGCATCAGCCTAAGCTGAATGCAACCAGGTGTTTACATCTATGTAGTGTAAAGCCCTCCCAGAATACAGGGGAGGAAAGTGATAATAAACTCCCTATTAATAACATTGTAGAAGTATATATTGGAAGAGCAGGTGTCTAAAACTCTTGGACATGAAATGTACTTTTTCATTGAATATGATGGTGAACAAGTCACATTATAATAAAAGAATAAAATCGAATATAGTTATTATCAACACTACCAGTTGAAGGGTAAATGTATAGTTATGCTGCAAGCGAATTGGCCTATCAGAGAGAATAAGCTGTGCTTATTGATAAGGACTGAGCAAGGTCTTCAGTGATAGCTTCTCTAGTCTGGTGGGAATCAAGGCTTTGACCTTGTTTAAAAACAACACTAACGCAGTTCCTGAAGGAAGATGAGGAATCAGTGCACCCCCCCCAACCCTCCACTAAGGCACCTATGCTGAGCTACTCTAAACAGAAAAGTAGTTAAAAAGATGTGAATTTACATTAAAAATGGGCAAAATGGATTTGAGGATTTTGAGAACTACACTCAAAAAGGGTTCTATATAGTTCTAAAAAAAGATATAAAAACAGAGGAGCTCTATTGGTGCTATTTAGAACCATGTTATTAAGGTTCTTAAAAGAAGCATACACCATGGGTTCTCCCTTAAAAAGAAGAACCATTTAACCAGTTAAAGAACCATTCAAGCATTCAAACAGATCTTTGAGTTTTTAGGGTTCGATACAACCATTGTTTTCAATTAAGAAGAGCCCCTTTTTAGGGGGTACGACATAGGCTTACCATAAACTACTAGCTCATTGACTCTTCCTTCTTATCATTTTCATAACCATGCAGCATACATTCTATTTGATTTTGTCCATAAAATATGTTATTTATTTACTTAACTTACTATAAAGCTTAGTAGCTTACAGGTATTATAAATCATTTCATAAACAAGGCAAATTCATATTATATTGAAATTATTAAAATTAAAATGACAAAGTAAATTTCAGGAAGATCATCTGTATCAATACTACAGCACATAATCACCAAACTCTGCAAACACCGCCAACATCACTGCAAACAGACGGACAAAAATCTTTAACAGACATTCTAGCTAAGAAATGCTAATATTTAATAATAACTTTGAATCACATTGTCCAGTCCTGTGCACATATGACAGCAGAAGCAGACATATAACTTCAACCCAACAAATTACTTCATGTACATTCCATGTACTTCCACTTACCGAATAAGAGAGGAAACAGAGACAGGTCCAGGCACTCGGTGAAGACGGGACAGATTTAAAGCCCAAGCAAATCTCGTCTGACCCTTTCCCTTCTTACTGTGGAGGCTCCATCTAAACCAAAACACTACCACACTCACATTATCACAGAGATAATGTCCCTATTCAGTTTGGAGTCATGTTATCACACTTACACGAGGCCTTGCAAAAAGTTTCTGAAGTTATGGAGATTTACGGCAATATAATTTAGAAATGTGACACAAGGCTTGATATGTTGACCATTTATTTAGCCTTTTAAAGTCTGCAAAAAAACACAGAAAAGGCAGGCCTTCCATGTCATGTCACGATCTACTGTACATACATACAGTATGACACAGAAGTCAGAGACCAACCTTCATTTATTTAATTTCCAGTCACAACAGCCATAAAGTACAATTTATTAATTCCAGTAGGTATTTCTGAGAAGATTACATATATGACTGTCCACTTGCATAAGAAAGAGGAAATCAAAACAAAGGAGAAACAAAGAAGCTGCTGATGTTCTCAGAACAATGGACTAACCTCCCCTTAAGTCCACACCTTAACATCACTGAATGTGTTTGGGATAACCTGGATCTAAGAAGAGAAAATGTAACCAACTTCTAAGACTGAAATTTGGAGGTGTGAAAAAAAATCCTGCAGGTTTTTTGAAAGTGAGTCTCCAGAAAAGAATACAAGCTGTAATGAATGTAAAGGGTGGACACATTAAATATTGAACAAATAATTATGTTTAGTTGTTCAGGATTCTGTGTATTTTATTGTATTAAATATAGTTTTTGCTTTTGTCCTGAAACCGAAAAATGAATAACTTGTACGTAATAGCCTTTTTGACTTGACATTAAATAAATGAATGACTTTTGCACAGTACTACATACAGTCAGCTCCATAATTAGTGCTGTCCTTGTCCTTGTGGTTAGTTAGATCTCACACTGGGGTTTAGTTTTCTTAGACTAAATGCACTTGCCATAACCATGGAGCTAACTGTATAAAATTTCTATTTGTATAATATGATTTGTAAAAAGATTCATACACAGAAATATGTAATACAAGGAGTATTTATTGTTTAGAATGGCAAAATAATGTTGGAATAACCAACCACTATATACACATCACCAGAGCAGGAAAAAAGCACCACAGTATAAACAGTACATTCACTACACCACAAGTACTGATGTATTAGTCAGTTGTTTACAACACAACTGTATTTCTCTGTTCAACAAGTCAAAAAAGTGCCATAAAACACTATAATGGTCCAACAATAATTGATGAGTTAACTGTATGTGATCATGTATTTGCACTGAGAGAATTCTGAAGAAACTGAAGGAGTGCAGCCTCTGTATTTTACAAGGACAAGATGAGGTGATCACTTACTATAGAGTAGTAAGCAAAAGTCTGGGCATCCTGGTCAAATGACATTTTACATTCTTCCAGTATATGTATTTTGTACATACAAATTGTGCACTACAATGAGCCTTATTATGAAAAGGGCCTTATTTGGGTATGCATGTGTTAATTTGTTCTCATTTAGAGAATTAATGAAACGTAATTTGACCAGGGTGTTCAAACTTTTGCATATGACTGTATTTGCACTCTATAAAGCACTGCGTCATAACATTTGTTTTAAATATAGTTCACCTCACATCAGTGGGCATTTGTCAAGGCTTACAACCATCTTGCATATCACTGAATCCAGTCTGTAAATGTTTCTCCATTCGTTTAGGCCGCCCTGCACAACACTCGAGACCCCAGCAACCACATCCACTCCGGCATGCACTGCACGAGTCGAAACTAGAGGGAACATGACACAAACAAGCATAGCAACAAGCTCAGAAGATTTTCAATCTATAATTTAAAATCAGGAAGACTTGGTTCCCCTGTAGCTCACCTGTATTGTATGGGGCCAGTATCCCGTAGTTCTATGGGAGATGCCGAGAGTGGACAGAGCGTGCCTTGCATACACCTGTGGCTGAGGAACCAACCAGCCAGCACCAGCACTGTCCTCTTCTTCTTGAGAAGCAACTCTGTAGGGAACCAAACTCTGCACGAAGACCCCCTGAGGACCATACTCGTAGTGCAGGGCACGGCTGAAGTGGTCAAGGAAAGCCTAGGGAAGCAGAGGATAATGTAGAACACAAGTGAATGTCAAATAACCTCTTAAACCTTGAGGATCTAAAATTTGGTCCACGCTTCAATTTTTCACTCTTACAAATAACTTACACTTTACCATACTAGTTATTATTTTTAGTTATTGAGGCTCCTGTGTAATTTTCTGTCAAATAGATAATTTCTGTGTTTTTTTTTCCATCATGCTGAAAAATGAATAACTTACATGCATAATTAAGGGTGGTCTCTGACTTTGCACAGCACTGTAATTCATATTAATTACTGAATAAAGTCTTGAGTTTCATAATGAAATAATAAGCCTAAGGTTCAAGAAGTTAACAGCGCAATTAGGCTGAACACTACAAATGATATGATCTCTGACCGTGCATGCGGAGAGGGTGGCCTTCCTTGGAGTGGGTCTGGAACATCCTCCACAAGAAATATTAACCACAGCCCCTCTTTGTCTCTCCGCCATGCTGGGCAGAGCCAGACGGGTCACCAGAGTGGCTGCAGCGATACTGTTGTTTATGATGTTCCACATTTTGCTCTCGGACAAGTCGGCAAAGTCTGGACAGACTTCCAGGGAGGAATCCAGACAGTTTATGACAAAGCCTATGTCCTTGTCTCCAATGGCATCTTTGATGGGTTTACAGGCCGTGGGACCCCGACTAAAATCTGCCTCGATTAAAATAGTCTCCACTCCATGGGCCTCTGAAACAGACCTGGCAGTATCACTTATACTCCTGACATTAGGGCTGATTAGGATGATGCTCACACCATGTCTGGCCAGCTCCTCAGCATATGCTTTAGCTATGGCCACTGATGCACCTGCATGGAAGGAAAATAGTATGTATACATTTACAGCTCAGATTATATCCTTATTGCACGACTTTCAGAGTGAAGCAATGTTGCCCAGCAGAACAAACTTAAAAAAGATGGTTCTTCAAGGGTTCTTTAGGAAAGGCAATGGTTCTATTTGTATGTGGTTCTATATAAAAACTTATGGTTCTAAATAGAGCCATTGCTTTTACTGAAGTACCCTTGAAAAAACATCTTTTGTGCAGATTAAGTCACTCAATATAAACTCACCATTAATAACAGCCCATTTTCCATACTGGTGGACCAGATCTCTGGGGTACACGAGCCGGGGGATGAAGTGGAGCCTTATCAGGCTGTAACAGTCCCGCATGAGAACAACAGCTTTACTCGCTGTGTAAAAAGCTCCCACTAATGCTAGAGTTTCTACATAACAGTTGCAGGATCTGGCGATTTCTCTGTATAGGAGGTGGAAGCTATCAACAGCAGCCATGGAGGGGAGATCAGATCAGCAGCCTGTTTTAAAGCTAACTAAAGAAACGTAGCTAAAATCGAGCGCACAGGCTTACAGGTGAAACTGTCCGTATGTAACAGTCACTTTCTTTCAGCGACAGATTTGCAGGTATGTGGTTAAATCGGTTTACTTTGCTGAATGATCCAGACTCTTCTTTCTCTTCTTTCAGCTTTGACAGCCTGAACACAAACACAGGGCAAGTCACGTGACTCCTTTCCGCGACTCTTTTAAAGGGGCCGCTGCCCTTTTTCATAATTTAGTTAGCGTTTATTATGTTCGTGCCTTTGTGTTATTTTGTTGAAATGTGCACTAATTTTATATTTGCTATTAATTACATTCAGAGATGTTATAAAGGAGGAGACATGTCCCTCAACGGTTTAAATATGAGTGTGAAAGCTCCAACGCTCAACATGGCGTCTATTTACTAGGAAAGTCCCGCCCCTCAATGAAATGAGCCAATCAGCTTGCCGTTTAAGCCACACGCGGGGAAAGATCTGCGCAAGCGCAGTAGCCAGAACAAGCTGAAAAAACGTGTTTTTTGTATTTGAACCAAACGCGATAAACTGTTTATGCTAGTTTGGTCAGATGTTGTCAGTGATTTAAATATGTATTTGAAACACTGATATGGCTTTTGGTTTTGGTTTTTAATCTCTCCATTCAAAGAAATAGGAGCGTGGGATTCATTAAAGCTTTCCTAAGAAAAAAACCTAAGAAGGATCTTAACTCAAACATTAAGAAGTTCGTAAGCATGTACCTAAGTACAGTTCTTGTAAAAAAAAAAAATTGTCATTGTTTTCATATGTAGGCTGTAGGTTATGTTGTCACAAACCTTAGGTTTCATGTAGACTATGAATATCATTACAGATTTCTGCTGTTTTTGGTTTATTTTAACAGTTATCTTTGGTAGCACTCATTAGAACATAGCGTTTAAGAGGTTTACCCAGTCAGTTCATACAGTCTAAGACAAGTGTGAGACTTTCGTAAGAGTAAGAAAATATTTTAAAATATTTTTTTTTCCAAAAAAAAACATGTTCTTACAATAATTATGAGTTGTGAAAAAAAATGAAGAAAACTCTTAAGAGAGTTGTTAAAGAATAATAACTCCTTTCTTAAATATATGGCTAAAAAAGAAGGCACTTTTAAGAAGGTTTTCTTCCTTAAGACACTTTCATGAATGCAGCCACAGGTCTTGCATGAGTGTACATAACTGGTGTTACCAAGATGACCCTCAAGTGGACAGACTATCCCATAAAGACTTTGGTACATGACTGAGATTGAAAATGGCTTTTCACCTTTTATTCCAAACTACTCGCATTTCAGTACAAAGACATTAAGTGTTTTTGATCATTCTAGTGACCTTGGCATTGATCTCTTTATTACTGTTATTCTTATGTCCAAATTGTTAGCCAACAGATGTAAATAGAGTGAGATGACCCGCCTTTGTCTCCTTCAATGCTGAATTTCATCATTAAGTTGCTTTGCATTCTTCTTGTAACAAATTAGCACTGAAATTGCTGAATGTACTCTGCAGTGTGAAACGCTGAATAGCGACTTGGTGGACTAAATCCTGAGATGCATCTGACTGGATCAGTGTACAATGAGATTGCTAGTAATATTTTTGTACGTTATTTATGCCCATGGTATGTGTGTTACTTTCTTTAAATGATTGCTGACCCTTGTTTGTATTATGTGTTGATGCATTAATTTAAAAACACTGCTACATTGCAGGCGGCCTGACCCATCCGTGGCTCTGATTGGCTGGCTTACTGTTTCCATAGTGACGCCGGATGTGTGGGAACAGGCGCACAGTCACCAGTTGAACCGATTAGCTTGTTCAAACTCACCTCTTTTCAGCTCACTTTGAGTCGTTTTGTGGGATTTTTTCACAGCTTTCCGGATGCAATGACGTTTTGCCAGGTATCTAGGTTAACGTCTTTCCAAACTATGCGTGTTTATTAGCCTAGCCACAGCTTGTCAGCGAATCCGGTTAGCTTAGACTAAGATGAAGTCAGCTTCCCATTCGAATTTCCCCGTTCCACCTTAAATGGTGCAGCAGTTACATTCCGGCGCCCGAGAACTGTAAGGAACTGCTGCATCATTTAAGGTGGAACGGGAATATTAGTACAAGAAGCTGGCGAATAGGAAGCCAACTGCAGTCTCGTTTAGCTTAGCTTAGCTAGCCACCTTTAGGTGCTGCGGACTCTGCAGTCTGAAAAGCTGAAAAGCGGCTTGGTGGACCAAATCCTAAGATACTGACCCAGTCAGCTATCTCAGCTATCTAACCAAATAGCTTGTCAAATGTGGCTTTTGGGATGGTTTATAATAGCTCTTTTACTTATAAATGCGAGTATAGCCATAGGTTAAGTGCAGCCAAAATAGAAGAGTAATTCACCTAGCTATGTAAACTCAAGGTGCTGGTGAGTGAAGATCTTGGGGTGAATGCAAATGAAAATTGGGCAAGTGTTAATAGGTGAGGAATAAGTAAACTGAAAACTGCTCTGATTACACCTCCACGACGCTGTGCCTGTGTCTATAGGAAGTCCTTGGCAAAGAGGAGTGCATCACACCCCCTGCAGAGTGATGTCTCAGTTTTCTGCGGAGGATGAGGCTGAGCTCCAGTCCCTGCTGAGACAGCTCCTGAAAAGTGTCAAGGAGAGAATCTCAGGGGCGCCTTCAGTGGAATGTGCGGAGGAAATCTTGCTGCACCTGGAGGAGACTGACAAGAACTTCCACAAGTGAGACCCGTAGCTAGAGATAGCATAACACGGCTTTTTCTTTTCCAGTACTGATACTGAATCCTTTGAATGGAAGATGGGCTGAGAATGATACCGATCCAATATTTTTTCTGGTTTTTAATTAAAGTGCTTCACTGAGAGGGGGATTCCGTCAATTTTTCAAAACATCTGCATAATTTCAGATAATTCTTTCAGAGTCATAACATGCAGGGTGTCAAGGCAAAATAGTCCCCAAAGAAAACATTTTTTGGCTTTACTATTATTTTACCACTATCTTACCTTCATCAATATTACATATAAAAACTCATAGGTTCGCTGGTAAATAAATTGACTGTGTTGAAGACATCACGACCGCTGGTTCCTATCACTACCACTGTAAAGAAGTCTGAGTTGGTACATTTTTCTGTGATGAAGCATTTCACATCAAACCACTATGAACTTTGTTTACATCTCAGCAATTAAATTATGCAAAAGTTTGAAAACGGAAGTGAAAGATGAGCATCACCAACATCTTCATCTACATGTTCAAACTACTCAAACGCTCTGCAAGCTTACACAAAATGCACAGCTAACAACCATTTAATTAGCAGTACTTCGGGCTAGAGTATTCAGACTGGATGAGATCCTTTTTTTTTCCGTCTGATATCCGGTTTGGCATTTTCTGCCAGATGCCAGTACTCATCAGTACTCCGACCCTTGTTGTTTATCTGCAATAATGACTTATGTTTCTCTCTCTTGCCTTTGTTCATTAGTTATGAGTTTGTCAAGTATCTGCGGCAGTATGTTGAGAGCACGCTGGGGGCAGTTATTGAAGAGGAGACTGAGAACTGTGCTAAGGGTGACGGTCATACCATTGGGTCAGGTCAGGACACCCTGGTCCATGCTGTCACACGAAGGGCTAGAGAATCTGCACAGTATGTAGCCAGTTTTTTCTCTGTATTAGCTTGTTCCTTCCTTTTGATTGCTCTTTTACATTAAAGCTAGTGGTATAGAGTCTTTCAACCTAATCTCCATGTGACCCATTACCACAGACAATGTTTTTTCCCCTGTACAGAAAATGTGTTCACTCAAAATTAGATTAGGCTGATACTGCAGTATTGCTTTAAGATGTGTGTAACATAAATATCTAGCAGCCAGACAGATGTGTTTTTGTTTAATAGATATAAACAGATGATGCAGACCTTAAAGCAGACCATGATGGTGATTGTGGAATCGCTGATCAATAAATTTGAAGAGGATCAGCTGAAGAAGGAGGAGATGCATAGAACAAGCCAGCATGAACAGTCAAGCAGCCACTACACAGACAACTGCTCAGACAGCGACTCCTCCTTTAATCAGGTGAAATGTTGCATGCATTTTTCTTTTAAGAAGCATTCCATACCATATCCAGGGTGAAATGTATGTTATTGGTCCAGGGCTTCTGTAGCTGCAAAATGTAGCTCAGTAAATTTAAATGTGAATGAGGCTATTATAAGAGGGGCAAATTTCTGAAATCTGATACAAAAAACATAAAACGTGGCCTATGCAAACGTTATGTAATATTTTATGGTTATTTTTTTCTCTTAGTTAAACTCAACAAATTAAATGCACTAAAATTTGCAGAAAAGTATTATTTTTAAGATTGGTTCTGTAGAGGATGTGTTAACTTATTTTCACCTCAACAAAACTTCAACAAAGCATGCCATTTGACCAAAGGTGTTAAAATTTGGTCAGTTCTGTTTGGTTAAGATTCTTTAAGAAACAATATAGAATAATTTTACAAGACACACCAAATGCATACATGTAAAGAAGCCCATGCCCACCAGTAATAGGAGAAAAAATTGCCTCCAATTTCTCTACTCTGTTTCTGGTACCAGTATTTCAAAATTTTGATTTAGTATCTTAAAATAATTACTTCTTTTCTCAAAGTGATGACTTGTTTTCTCACAATATTGACTTACTTTGTCTGAATAATGACTTCTTATCTCATAATAATGACTATGTTGATATAATGTCTTATTGCCCAAAACATTGACTGTCAAAATATTTACTATTCTTTCAAAAATGTTGACTTATTTGTTGAAATAATGACTTATTTTATCAATATAATGACTTTCTATGTCAAAAATAATGACTTAGTATTTCGTAACAATGGTTTATTATTCCAAAATAATCATGTTATTTATTATCACTCTTTATTTTGACATAGTATCTCCAAATCCCAAGAAAATAAGTCAATATTTAGAGAATGTAAATCATTATTTTGTGGTGCCAAGTCAATATTTTGGCAAAATGCATCCAGATGAATAAAGGAAAAAATACTGATTTTTTTTTTCTCCTCTACTGGTGGGAATAGGCTTCCATACAAAAGTGACCGGAGAAACTACACAGTAGTGTGATATAAATACATTAACATGTAGTTGAATTATGATCGTCAGGTGCATGTATCATGAAGCATCATTGCATTTCTTACGTCTTCTACTTCACAGATCTGCAGTTCTTAGTTTAAATTGTTTATGAATGTGATCTGTAACAAACTTGTTCTATTTGTAAAAGCAGAGCTATGCCTTCATCAAGCAGGAGCAGCTGCAGGTCATTTCTGAGAAGCTTGACCCAAGTAGACCAAGAGAGGTACTAATTTTTTCATTATTTGTTTTTTCAGTTTTTCTTGTGCCTTTTCCTCTCTTGATATGTTTTGCGCTGTGGAATAACAGTACTTACGCACTTACCTGGTAAAACCTATCTGGTCATTTCTGTGTATTCTGTGCGTTAGTGCTGACTAGTGATGACTAATTAGTTTCTGCCAGTGCTTTAGCTTGGTGGTATCTTTAGACCCTGGCTTATCTGTTATAGATTAATAATTAGTTTTCCAAGTAGGCAATAAGGCACTTCTGTAAGTTGCTCTGAATAATAGCATCTGGCAGGTATTTTAAATGTAAACATAAACTTCTGATCATTTTGAAATGACAGTAAGCTCTTATTGCAGGTACGTTGGGAAGCCTTACAGTCCTTATGCTGTGCTCCTCCCTCTGATGTCCTGAGCTGTGAGAGCTGGACTGGTTTGCGCAGAAACCTCTCAGCTGCCCTCGCTGACCCTGATCCTGACCTCAGTGTAAGAACTAGCATCCACTTTCAGTTAATTCAGTCATAAATTGTGAGCATCCAACTAACACAACTGGTATGTTGTTGAGAAATCCTGTAACCAATGGGAGAAAAAGCTGTTTTCTTTAATATTTATACCTCTACAGATTATACATAGTTCATTTGAACTTCCTCCCACCTATATAATACGTATATGGGTAACAAGTACAATGTACAAGTAAGGCTTTCAAAATGATCATTGTAAAAGATTAAAAAAAGGATGTGACATGTATTTTTGTATCTAAAACATCTGTTACTCGTTATTATTTGTTTGTATTGTATTGTATAACTTTTTAGACATTTTTAAACAAGATTATCAATTTTACTACCCAAAAAATATTATGTAGAGCAACCACACATTAATTAAAATGTTATACTTTAAACCTTACCACTATAAACTAGCCTATGTACTTGTACACCTGTATAATGTCCTTGGACTTAAGGCGATACATATTTTTTCATATAAGTAAACATTATTACAATTACAACACTTTTTGTTAAAAGCATGTCAGAATAAAATTTGTAATTTTTTCTGTGCAACATTTGAGGAATCAGAATTTACGGACAAACTTTTTCAGTGAGTTGAATACTTTGAAAGCAGCCTCCCCATTTCTCAACATGTTATGACGTTGAAGACTTCAAACATAAACAGCAAACATTTTGATTAGAAATTTATAGAACTAAATGACCTATTTAATTATTATGTTCAATAATTTACTTAATTTGCATACATGGACAGTCGCACCACGTGACATTTTTAGCCTTTGGGAGACATAAATGCCTAAAATGTGTTTTATTTATCTGCAAATAAGGTATTGCAAAATAATGGGATAGATTTTGTATTTATTGAATTATTTAACAGGAAATGGACATGGTTTATAAACCTCTGTACTTTTTGCCAGTACTAAGATCGTGGTGTGACTAGGATCCAGTGCAAAAAAAAATGTTCCCCCCAATATGAAAATTACTTTCAATTAATAAAAAAAATTATAATGTAGTTTGCATGTTTATTCTGTTATTTCTCATATGAGTTACTGCTCTCAAGGCGTGCCATTCCACCCACTAGCATTTAATGTTACGTGTTTGTTAGACTACCTATTTCGATTACTGTATATCATTTGTCAGTAACGTTATTTATTGTATAGATTAGATAAATACAGTTCAAAGGGCACAGGTTGGGTTCATGACTCACTGCACTCCAGCTGTCTCATGTATTTGTTTATATCATCAGCAGCACAATTGTATTAATTAAGGATTGATTAGAAAAAAAAGGTTTTGGATACTAACTGTAAATACTGGAATTCCTGGAGCTTTGGAAATGTTCTTCAGAACTCTCTAATGACAGCAGGACCGCCTTCCCACTTCCCCCCAAATTGAAAACTCTATAAATCTTTACGACGTATGTGACAGTTATTATTTAAACAATGAATTTTGGTGAAAGACGATAAGTTTGTATTTGAATGTAATCCTGATGGTAATCACTGTATTTTTATAATGTACTGTTATCTGATTACTGCGTTTTTTACTGTAACAGAATACAGATACCTTTTTTCGTATGCTAATTACGTAGCACCTTTATATGTATTCCCTTACTACCCAACCCTGATAATATCATTGTTTATTTACAATAAGAAGTAATTCCAAACTGTAAAACTCTATGGAATGTATCGTGTAGCACCAAACAGCCTACCCATTGTTTAAATATTAATGGATGTAGCTGCGCTGTGCGCTAGTTTAGTCCATCTTTAGTGCAGCTGGCCTGGACAGACTGACAGGTCTGACCTCCGGCCAGTGAATCTGCCAGTAATTTTGATGCACAGTTTGAGTCTGGAGTGGGCCAGTAAAAAAATTAGAGAGCCAGTTGCCCCATCCCCCCTCCAACCTTAAGCCCCATTGCGACTGCCCTTCGCACCTGGTAGTTACGCCACTGAGATGTCAAAAATTGGGAATGTCAGAGAGAATCACATGTAAAATGTTATGCTAGTGTCTGTGAACCCTTTTGATCTTTATAATATGTGTAAAATATCTGTTAACCTGTTATTTGAAAGAGTTTTGCCACATTCTGGAAGTGTGAGTCTGCCACAATTCTCACCTCTTACAGTGCTGGCTCCCACAGGATTTGGGAAAAATTGCATTATTTTTTTTCTTTACTTTGCAGGACAAGGTTTTACGCTTCTTTGCAAAAACATTTTCTTCCTCCCCTCTGAACGTGACAAGGGAAATATACACCAGCTTAGGTAATAGATATTTTTTATTTTCCTTATTAAAATCTAGTGAACATGTTCAAATATAAAGTTCACATTCTCATATATTCTATTTCCTTCTTTAGTGAAAAGCCTGGAGAGTGACTTTCTGTACCACAAGCTGAGTTTTCCTGCTGAGTCAGCGGGCATGGATGTGAATAGGCCAGATATTGCTCGCCTGCTTAAACAAGTGTGTGGCGTCTACAGTCTCCTCAGCTATTCTGTGGTTACTGGAATTTGACTCATATTTGGCTAGAGATTAACTGGACATTTCATGTTCTGTCTTCCTAGATGCGATTAATGAATGACTTCCAGCAAGAAGTGACAACGTTTTGGATACGCCATCCTGAGAAGTGAGCTATGGCCTGTAAAGCATAAGCTCTGCTAAATAGCTGGTTTCTCCAGCAGTTCTTCATATGTAATTTCTCTGTGTTCTATGTTGTAGGTACATGGAAGAGATCATAGAGAGCACCCTTGCACTTCTTGCTCTACATCATGAACACGGCATAGGCACTCACGGCTCAGAGAAAGCTCTAGAGCCAGTGCATTTTCTTTCTCTTTTGGACATCAAAGCCACCTGGTTCAAGAAGTGGATGGTGAGCCACACTGCATCAGTCCCTTAGAAATAAAGAGTTCTAATTATTGTTCTGCTACCCTGTTTAAGTGTAGTTACATAATTACGCAATTAATTACATTGTTTTGTATCAACAGCTTTTCTACGATACTGTCCAAAAGTGAGAGACCACCCTTTCGTTTATTCAATGTCCAGTCGAAATGGCTGTTAAGTACATGTTACTTATTTTTTGATGTCAGAAAATTACACGGGAAATCAGTGCAACTGTGGACACAAATGCTGACAAAATTAATCATATGTTTAGTTGTTGGGGCTTCAGTGTGATTTTTTGTTAAAATATGTTTTCTTAGTAGTCGTTTTGAGTGGATATTACATAATTGAAAAGGTGGTATCTGACTTTTGCAAAGTATTGCATATTTAAGGTTTGAGTCTGCACTTCAATGTCAAGAAATAATAAGAGGTCAAAAATTTAGAAAACAAGATATTCTTCATAATGAAATATCTCCTCTTCTACTTATAAACACAAGTGTGGCATAGATTAAAAGTTAAGATCAGCTCTTTAGAAAAAAAAATCTTTCAATGAGCTACGAGCAAAAAATAATTAATATAACATTATACCATGCTTTTTTATTGCTGGCAATAACTGCAACTTCAATGGGTTAGCAACTTACTTAGAGATAAATTACTCTGTCCAAAACATGGTAAATAACTAGCATGTGAGTAGTAACCCTGTAACTGTTTACCCCCAGCATGGCTACTACAGCAGGACTGTTGTCTTGAGGCTTCTTGAAAGGAAATACAAGTCAGTGGTGAGTTACAGATATCATTTACATTTGCTACTTATCTCTTAAAGTACTTGGAGGCTAGTGTCATTGTAGTCTTTTCAAGTGTTTATGTCTTTGTTTGAGAAAGTGGTAGTGATGAAACGTACATTTTTCCAGCCAGTGTCATTAGTCATAGTATGTGTTTCTCTTTTTTCTGGAGTTCACAGCCAGGAGTGACTTAGCAGCCTGAACAGACCTATTGAGTCTAGCTTGCAGGCTAATGAGCTCTATAGATTAATGGTAGGCTTATTCAGTGGGGAGCCTGAAGTTTACAAACGTTTCTGTTCTTTTTTCTAGATTGTTACAGCAGTTCAGCAGTGCTTTTATTACTTTGAGTCGTATGACCCTGTAAGAGAGGAAACGTTGGAGATCGCTCATGCTATGGAGCATCAACAGATCGGTATGGTTGTGCTTTATTCACAGAAACCTAATAATGCAGTAAGGCAATATGACTATATGATACTGCTGTCACGATACGTTACCTGAGGAATGCTCACAAAAGTTTCAGCTCAGAAAAGCTTGTCGGCAGTATTGCCCGTACTAAGAACACTAAGGCCCAATCCTGTTTCTTATTTTTACCCTTACCCCTTGTTTTCGAGTGCCACCTTGCCCCTTCGAGCTGAGTTACAAAGGGTACAGGTTGAAATCTTCCCCCTATGAAATGGGACTACCCTCAAATAAAGAAGAACATCAATTCATTAACAGTTTACTAGTGGTGCTCTGTCAGTCTGCAATGATAGCAGAGGAGGATAAAGTTAAGCAATCTTGCTGCTGGTCTTTCGTTAAATTTAGGGAATCATATAACTTCAAAGAGGGGGGATGACAATTATTTATTATTGCCCACTCCTAATTCTTCAGTGATATGAAGCTGAAGTCAGCTATTCACCAGCTTTTTGTTCGGATTTTCTTGTTCCACCTTGAACGATGCAGCAGTTGTGATGCCATTTAAGGTGGAACGGGAAATTTTTCTAGCTAGCTACCGAGACATCAGCATGCTACTAGCAATTTTTTATACTTGGTGTGAAAAAAAGGACCACAGTATGAAATTAAATGAAGTTAAACATAGATAATACAATGGTTATCATACCACATATTTGTGGGTTTATTTGGTCGCTTGCGCAGCCATCTTTCTTTTTTTCTCATAAAACTCCATTTCGAGTGTGCCTCTGAAAAACCTTTGTTTGGGGGGCCATGTAGCCATAACACTTCACCCTGCCCCTCTATCTCAACAAAAATCAGGACACCCTAGACATGAATGTGCAAAATGGGCTAAAGGCTAAGTGGTAGGGGTAAGGGGTGAAATGGGATTGGGCCTAAACAACAGAATGTTTCATTAAGAAGACATTTACACAGGGCTTCCAAGTGGCATAGCTGTGCACAGCTTCACTGTTGTTGGGAAAAGGTGAGTTTGAATCCTGATGATGCCAGAAGTCCAAGAGAGCATAACTTGATTGGATGTTGTGCTATGCAGGCTGACCCATTAATTGTTTTTATTTAAACATTGCAATTTGAAAGACTGCAATTTTTAAATCACAAGAGCTGCAATATGTATTGTAGCCTACATTATCAACTAGTTTCAAGTGAGAAGATTAACCTACTAACACAATCTGGCAACTGACTGCACATGACATAAAGATGAAAATCTAATTAAATAGTATTTGAGTTGTAAATGAGACCTCTTGCCCGAAAGGTCTAGCTTTACCTTATTGCATCAAAAGAAAAAAAAAAAAAATTTCTCTTAAAAAACAAATGTACTACTCTCTCCATAAACCCCGAAATGATATATAGTTCAACATTTTTTTACAACTTAATATAAATTCATGGATAAATATAGAAAAAAATTAGATCAACTGACCCTAAAAAGATCTGGGGCAATAAATCCCAGGAATGCAGTGATCCAGATGAAATTTCAGAACTAATTAGACCATAGTCATTTAGTAAATGTGGTAAGATTAGATTTGGCCTCATCATTTAATCAAGAGAGTCAATAAAACTACTACTAGAGTAGTGAGATGTCCATGCAAGGCCCATCTGACATAAATCAGGGTGTAAATATGAGAAAACTGTGTGAAATTCAGGCCAGCATACTAAAGAAACCTCTTCAGAGTGAGACATTCTTTCCTTTAGTTTCTCCTTGCACGTCTCTCTCGTCCTCTTACATGCTGAATAAGCGGTCAGACTGTGAAGACGTGGCTATCAGCCAAACTGGTGTGTGTGCTATTACTCAGTGTTCTTCTGAAGCCCAGTGCCCAGCCTATCGTGTGCCTGTGGAGAGATAACTACAGATAACTTGGAGGTCATGGGAGTTTACACACACGTAGCATGAGCTATGTTTTGCTATTTTTTTTCTGGGTTTGCACCTGCTTCCAAACCAGAAACAGCAGTTTGGCCCTAGTTTGCTTTGCCCATTCTAGTAGCCTAGTGTTTATATTTTCTTCCCAGCTGGTGTGCACTCATGTAGCACCTAGCAGTCATGAGGAATATTCACAGCTGTAAAGATAACAGAAGAGATGACTGTGCTTAAAAGAATCCCTTTGCGGTAAACCAGGTCCACAGTATTATTTATGTCTCTCCAAGACCCCCCTCCAATGGAGTGCTTTCTGAAAGTGATCCTGATTACCTGATGTAAATTGTGTGTGTGTGTGTGTGTGTGTGTGTGTATATATTATATATTTTCACATCTGAATTTTACATTTAAACCTTGAAAACTTTTTTTATATCTGAAGTACATTAGTACCACATTTAGTTTATGTAGATTTGATGTCATTGTTGAGGAAACACAGCTGTGGAGTGCTGGGTGAATGCATTCAGTGCTGCAGGCAGATATGTCAAAAATTATTTGGACACCTGACCATCACACCTATATGAGCTTGGACATCCTGTTCCAAAATCAGGGGCATTAACATGGAGTTGGTCCCTCTATGTGGTGATAATAGCCTCCACTCTTGAGGTATGGCTTTCCCCAATTTTGGAGTGTATCTGTTGGAAATCGTGCTCATTCAGTCAAACGAACATTTATGAAGCCAGGCACTGACTTTGGATGAGAAGGCCTGGCTCACAATTGTTTCAGTTCATCCTAAATGTGTTCATTGGGGTTGAGGTCAGACATACAACTCATTAAACCATGTTTTTATGGACCTTGCTTTGTGCACAGTCATTATGAAGCAGGAAAGGGCCTTTACCAATCTGTTGCCTCAAAACTGGAAGCATGTAATTGTCTAAAATGTTCTGTAGCATTAACATTACCCTTCACTGGAACTAAGGGGTCAAGCCCAAACCCTGTAAAACAGCCCCAGACCATTATCCCTCCTCCACCAAACTTCACTGTTGGCGCTATGCATTCTGGTAGGTAACTTTCTCCTGGCATCTGTTAAACCTAGATTTGTTCATCAGACTCCTAGATAGTGAAGTGTGATTCATCACTCCACAGAACATGTTTCCACTGCTTCAGAGTCCAATGGCAGTGCTTTATACCAGCTGACACTTGACATTGCTCATAGTGATCTTAGGCTTTTGCGCAGCTGCTCCGCCATGGAAACCCATTTCATAGGGCTCCTGGCCCACAGTTCTTGTGCCAAAGTTGCTTCCGGAAACTGTTTTGAACTCTGTAGTGAGTGATGCAAAAAACATTTTTTTTTTTCTGCACTTCAGCACTTGGTGGCTCTACTCTGTCAGCTTGCATGGTCTATTGCTTTGTGGCTGAGCTGTTGTTTCTCCTAGGCCTTTCCATTTCATGATAATAGTTCTTATAGTTGACTGGGGCAGATCTAGCAAGGCAGAAATTTTACAAACTGACTTATGGCAAAAGTGTAAATGACAGTGCAACATTTAAATTTACTGAGCTTTTCAGTACGAGCCATTCTACTTCCAAAATGGATATTGCATAGCTAAATGCTTGATTTTATAGACTTGTTAGCAAAGGGTGTGGCTGAACTCAATAATTAGAAGGGGTGACCCTGATACTTTTGGCCATATAGTGTATCATTCCTACAAAAATACAAAAAGTTATCTGTGGTACATTTTAAAACATCTTCAGACCACAGCTCGGATACTATCGTGTCTCAGGCAAAGCTAAGAGGGTACAAAGACCACAACACTGGGCTTTAAACTTAGTGTCTATGATACTTAAAATTATGGTCTTTATTACTATATTAATTACACTTCTGTGTCCAAATTAAAGATGACAGTATACTACAACCACAGCTTTTACAGAACTGCGCATTTATTGTGTTCTTCTATTTGACAAAGGTTAAGCTTCAACCCACATGCTATCACTGTACCTGTTCCCACTTTAGAGTTAGAAACTGTCAAACTACATTTTCTTATTCATAAAAACTTGTCTGCCTTATTATTTTTAGTGGTAGTAGTAGTATCTCTGTAAGTACATCTGCTAATGCTTCTGGACACGTCATCAGTGAAGCATCAGCAGATGTAAGCCTACTTACAGACTTAATTCACTCAAACCACCAACACTTTTTATACTGGTCATTTTTAGACTGTCCCCATTTCAGAAGTGGACATGGGAGCAAACATAGTAAATGAGTTGGAGCTTCATCATTTTCAGATGAAGGGCAAAGCAAAAAATACCACCTCTGGTTTAACCATTTACCACTGATATTTTCCATACGGATATCCAAATTCGAGGCTTCTGTTACCGGCACAGGCCTAGAATAAATGTATTTATTTGATTTGAAACTTGTTTGAAAGAGTTGGACTGAAAAGAGAAAGTTCAGTGAGTTTTCTGTTCTGTTTTTTCCTGATTTCTGTCCCTCCAGGCCCTGCTCAGAGAAGCTTTTACAGTGCTAAGGAGCTGGAGTACACTTACTTCGTTCACTCGCTCTGTGTGCTTGGGAGGCTTCTGATGTACACTAACGGGAGGAAACTTTTTCCCATCAAAGTGAGGAAAAGGAGAGGTCAGTACAGTGTGAGGAAATAGACACCACCACAGAACTTCTGAAAACACCAGAATTTCATCATATTTTTGCAAGACTTGCTGATAACAACACAAATACATGCATGCAGACATTTTTATTAGTCAGTCTTTACTAAACTTTAACGGTCACATTGCTGTCTGTTCCAGATCCGGTAACTTTGACTGACTTGGTGGTAATCCTGATTAATATCATGTACCAGCACCCAAACACGTCATACTCCGATTCTGCCCACACAGGTGCGTCCTACTGATTCATGTCCTGTCGTTTTCCCTTACACACCTTTACGCACACATTCCTTCCTGCCCAGGAGGAATAAATTGCACTGGGGAGGGTTGGGCTAATTGGATTTTATGATTTTCCTTTATCTAACTCTGAGGAGATGCTGTGTTCTGGAGCACTGTATCTGTGTACATTGTGGCGTAGCTGGTCACCTCCTTCTGCCTGACACATTCTTCAGATTCATCAGTAGATTGTTTTATGAGCTGTTCAGGTTCACTGGTACTGCTTGCTGTCTTCTTCTGAATCGATCAGTACTGCTCCTTGTCTCACAGTGCATGCTTAGCTTTCTCTCCCGTACTGGCCGTGATTCATTAACCCCTTTTGCTAATATTTAGTAAGCTGAATTGATAACACCTGGGTCAGCTTGGGTAAAGCTATAAACGTATTGATTCCCAGAGTGTGCTTGGGCATCTCCATATTTGGGTCTGTCTAGACTGAGCTGCCATTTTATCAGGTACACCCTCTTTGTAGATGCACTTTGTAAGTTTACAGTTACTGACTGCAGCCCATTTGCACAATTAATTAGCTTCCCTTTATCCCCTCTAATGATACAGAACCACCATAAGACCACTACTGACTATATATTTATGTGGTGGACTATTCTCATCACAGCAGTGGCACCAACATGGTAGTAAACATTGTGCCAGTACAAGCATATCAGGCACAGCAGCATTGCTAGTGTTTTTACTCACTTCAGTGTCAGTACTGAGTTGAGAAAAGTCTGCTAACCAAAATATCACTTTGTAATTTTTCGTGTTTTTTTCCTTTTAACAGACCTGTTTGGTCAGGCACAGAACTAATGGGACAAACTAAGGAATTCATTAACTGTAACCACTGTAATTGCCTATGTGGTGACTACAATGGGGCTGAGCAGGTCTGCCTGGCATCTCTTCAATTGGCTAAAGTTTGCTAATATAACTTAATGAATTTAAAGTTACTCCAGTTAAGGTACACTGTTTGCAGTAGCTAAACAGAACCTAATGACATAATCTAGATTGGATGAAATCAGGGCCGATCAGCTTGGCACCACAGTCACCACCACAGCAATGGGCCTCATTCACCAACCTTTCTTAAGAGGCTTTCTTAAGTGTTTTCTTATTTGGGATTTGTTCTTATGTAAGAACAGAATCTACACACACTCAAGAGCACAAAGGTATGAACAATTCTGTGGTTTAAGAACAGGTCATGAAACTGGCGTAGACTTTTTCTTAGGATCTTTCTCAAGAACGCATTTAAGAAAAAACTTAGGAAGATATTGGCTAATTATGCCTGGTAATCTTATTAAGATAATTTTTTAGTAGATATTTCCTTTTTCAAAGCAATAACTTAACCAATAACCTAACCTAACAATTTTATGTTGCTGAACTTGTTAATTGTAAATCCAACGTATATTCGATAAATGTGATACCTACCCAAATAATACCTACTCAGTGGTGGTCCTGTGGGGGTCCTGACCATTGATGAATGGGTGAAAGGAAGGCTAACAAACTATTCAGAGAGACAGATGAAGTACAGTCTATAACTGTAGAACTACAAAGTGCACTTACAGTACTGTGCAGAAGGCAGAGAGCAGTTTTGAGACAAAACAGTCATAAATTACAAGTTATTCACTTTTCAGCATCAGGAAAAAGCAGAAACATATTTGACAGAAAAAAGCACAGAAACCTCAACAACTAAACATAATATCAACATTTTAAGTATCTATCGAGTCTAATATTTTCTTTGTTGTTATTGTTGAAGACTGAACAATAACATTCATGAATAACATTGTTGAATATCACCCCTATCCTTAAAAGTCTTCACTGGTTACCTATTACATTCCACGTTCAGTACAAGGTTCTTCCTATTACATATAAATGTCTGCATGGCCTAGCTCCTCATTACCTGGTTGAGCTTCTACCCTCTCCATGTTCCAAGGTTTAAATTAACCTTTGTCGCTGGTCAATCATTTAGTGTAGCAGGTCCAAAATCATGGAATACTCTCCTCAGGTCTATTGTATGCCTCTTTTCTATCTTCATTTACCTCTCAGTTAACAAAGCAGTGTGTAAGATTTGTTGGCATATAGAGGTGATGTTGCAGATTGCAACCTTTTGATTATCCCTCCCTCACCCCTCCCTTTCCAGGTGTGTAGCAGAACCTATGGTGGCTGTCAGGTTTTCTGTCGTCGCCTGTCCTGATTTCATTTTGCTTCTTCATGTTTTCACTTCTTTGACGACAAGGATTCACCCTCCTTTGCTTTTTCTCTTGCTAAGTAATTGGTATATCCTCCATTTGTTCAAAAAAAAGTCAGCAACCACTGATTCTTATTCTTTCTGCGTCTTCCTGCCGGTACTATAGCACCACAAATTATCCCTGCCGCTTCAAATAAAAACACTAGAGCCAGTGTGTGGTTTGTCCACTCTGGGCTAACGTAGAAACACGGTAACACGAAATGGCGGCCTCTGTTGGAAGACGACTCGCTTTCTATGTGGATATGAAGGGATCATTCTAAGCTAACCAAAAAATGATTTGTAGTTATTGGTGATTATACTCTAATGAAAACAAAATCACACTACACAATCACATCATGCTACCGTCTCATAAAATGATGTTTGGTTTATTTCACCTTTTATTCTTTCCAGTTGTCATAATTTTAACACTATAAACTTTGATCAGTAGGTTGAGCAGTCACCTCAACCTTAAACTTCATCTACTAGCACCACCATTGGCTCATGAGCCGCTGAATGCTGACGTTTTATTGACGTCCTACAGAACATCTGCATGAATTAGAGTGGGCTTAATGTAAATCGTATGTAAATGAGGTGCTGGTAGGCAAAGCCTTTATTTTATGCACTGAAGCTGACTCATCATTTGCGCTTAAATCTTGTTTCCACATCGTATGAAAGTTTCATGAATCAGACTCAGGGTAGTTCATACCCAGACATCTGTGTTTTTTTACGCAGTTGTGATGAATAAAGACAATGAGTCTGGATACAGGGTATGTGTACCTAATAAAGTGGCCAGTGAGTGTATATTTGTTGAATGTTGTTGTCTGTTGTTGTATAGACTCACTGTCTCCCACTACTCTGGTGACGGAGGTCCTGAAGACCTTGTGTGAACGTACTGAATGTGCAGTGGAGTGCATCTATCAGACCCCTGTCATAGAGACTCTGCTGGCCCCCATCCTCGCTCTGCTTAAAGGAAAGCCGGTCAGGAAGAAGTTACCATTCTGGTTTGATGTCTAGACAATTGTACCTAATATGAAATATGTCCTCTATTGTTGACCTTTTTATTTCAAATATAGGGTAACATCTCACTCTTTTACTGCCCGTCGTAGAATACTGCTGGATCTCAGCCCAGCGCTGTAAATTTTTATGCTCCATGCAAAGCCATGCTTTAATATTACCTTGGAAATATACCTGCTGGAGTTTGTCTTCAGTACCACCCCAGGAGTTCCCCATAAATATTAATACTAAGACAAAACACAATACAGCTAAAGACTTTTTATTCTGATCAGATACCATATTTTGTAGCGGTTGGATGTTATTCTGTATGCATTGCACAATTTGCTCAAAGCCTTTTCAATTTGTTTTTGTGTCACAGGCCAAATTAAATTCCCCAGAAAGCAGCCTCACTCACATTGCGGACACGCTGGCAAGAATCGCTACCACCCAGCGTGGTTTAGCATTGTTTCTTTATGAGAGGAAGCTCGTCTCAGCTGAAGGTGAAGGGTAAGCAAATCTAATTTAGCTCTCAGGTTACAATTTATTGCTTTTGTCTGCCCGTGTGTCCATGCAGGTAATCATCACACCATGGAGACAATGGGCTGCTTATCAACTCTTAATGGAGAATTCCACTGATTTTTTAAGATTTCTCCATAGTTCAGTGTAAATGAGATGTAAACAAAGTAATTTAGCAGTGGTTTGATATAAAATAAAAACTTTCTATCTCTTTACTTTTCTTTACAGAGTGGTGGTGATAGGAACCAGGGGTAATTAGGTCCACAACTCAAAAATAGCCATTTTATACACTTTAGACATCTGGTTCCTATCACCACCACTGTGAACAATTCTGACTCTGTAAGTTTCTGTAGAACAGCACATTTCACATTAAACCACTCTGAATGACTTTGTTTACATCTGAACCATTTAATTATACAGTAAATGTGAAACATCAGTGGATTTCCCCCGTAATATCAGTATAATATTCAATAAAAAAACATGAAAGATTTGCTTTTCTAAATGTCCATTTGTCATTAAATATTCATACTGTGTAAAGGGCAATCTGCGTTTTCAAATAGATTAAAAAAGACTAAATGGGTGGAATTCTTCTAAACGTTTGTGTTTCCAAACGCTTGTAAAGAAACATCATATTCCTCCAACACTCAGCACACCTTTCCTTACAAGTCTTTACGTTAAACACAAATCTGAGGGGTTTGCGTTTGAGGGACTGGCCTGGCTTACCTCAAATGTACCTCTAACAGAACAAGTGTTTTATGTTAAAATGTTAGGCTATGTTTAATGTTGCTGTTTTGTTTTATTTTCTCAGTATTTCAGCGGCCCATGTCATAGTGCAGTTTACTCAGAAGCTGCTGGCTAAAGAGTTGCCCGCATCCACGGAGCTGGAAAACTCCCCCGCTGTAAAGGGCGCCTTCATCTTTGTGTGCCGCCAGATGTATAACACGTGCGAGGGTCTACAGGTGCTCAGACCTTACAGCCTGCACGAGTGCATAGCTAAAGCCTGGAGGAAGGTAATTCCGTTACTGTTAATGCTGCCAACACTTTGCTGAGTCAGAAACCGTCTCTTTAATTACATTTACTTGATTAAGCTGTGCTTTGTTATGTTAAGCAATGTGCTCTGTCAGTGAATATTCAGAATCTCTGTTATATATGCTGATTATACACTGCCCATCAAAAGTTTGGGACACCTTATCTTCTTTGGAATTTTTTGGAAATGTTTTTTGCTGTCAACAGCAGTTTGTTACTACTTTGAGTGTATTTTGGAACACTCTTCATGTTCATCTAATTATCTTCCTTGTTATGAAGTGCAGGTTTTGAATAAATAATGATTTGACAGTTTTCTTTTCCAAAGTACTGTTTGTAGCACATACTGAAACTTTTTGGCCCAAAGGTGGTTAAAACACCTCATGAGGTTTAATACCTCATGAGTGCTGACATCACAAAAAGGGGATAAAACGTGATGTTCAAAAGCACTAGTGGCATTGTGGCAAAGTATAAGATAACAATACTTTAAGACATTTTCACAATACCCAACATGCATCAGGGTTATTTTTTGCACTAGTAGTGCAACCTTTTAAAAATACTATCAAAACTATGTGTATTTTTTAACTTTTAATTTTTTTTCTCATTTTTATTCAGCTTTTCACACCTACACTAAATCTAAATAAACCAATCTAATTATGCTCTCTTTGTAATGAAACATGCAGTTAATTAGTATTCCTTAAGTACAGATGATAGCCACGATATGCCCAGAAAAGCATATTGTGACCCAATGTGACGTAATTCATCATGATAATGTTAAATATCGTCATATTATTCACCCCTCATTAGCATTGTCACAAATATGTGAGATTGTTTTCCTCACAGTTTGTTTAGTCTGTAATGTGTTATTAAAGAAAAATAAGAAACAGCAGGAAAACATTTTGAAAAGCTTGGCATCTCCAATCTTTTGATGGGCAATATAGCTTTTGCTTCAAAGATTAGCAAAACATCAGATCTAATCAACTACATTTGTTTACTAACCAAATTATCACAGCTGTATATCTAAACCCATACACTGCAAAAATGATACCCTTAGCAAGGGCAGGCATCTTAAATATAGTCAATACATTTCATATTTCTGATTATGAGAATGCTGTAAAAAAGATTAATCAACATATTTCTGGAGGCTTTTTACTTGTTTTACATCATTTTATCTAGTGAAATTCTCTCTGCGTATCTGCAGCAGTATAAGACACTATTACTAGATAAAATGAGTCAAAATGTCTACAAATAAGGAAAATAATCGTGTAATGTTCTCACAACTGAATATTTATTAGTTTGTTTTGTAACATTATACTATAAAATATGTTTGTTCTGTCACCGGGTGAGGGGGTAGGGTTAGAGTAACTAACTAATGGGCCAAATCATACGTCCTCATGAGCCACACTTTGTTATGCAGGTTACATTTTAGGTAGTCCTGGGCCTGTATTCATAAAGCTTCTCAGAGTAGGAGTGCTGATCTGAGATTATATTCTTCTCTTAATTACTTTTACTTATCATCGCTGTCTTGTATCTCCATTTTTTTTGCATAATTTGAAAAGTCCAGTTACCCTTTGCGTTATGTTAACACTCTCCTGTGGAGCTACCATTTTGAAGATACAAGATTTTGTTCTGACTATGATTTTATTTTACTTTTATTCATTTTTATAGGCAATGCTGGTGCTACGCCTGTACCAAAATGTCATAGCATAATTATTCATGACATGATGTGCTAAATAGCCAGTTGACTGTTTAATGTAGCACTATATTTGACTTCATTTTATTTCAATAAGCAGCTGATGTTTCATTTACAAATTTAAAATCACAGTTTGGGCAATTAAATAGCAAATAATGTTTAATATTGTAACTGGCAAATAGAAAGTAATGTGCTAATGTGTTTCATGTGTTCGCTTAGCCCACACAGTGTGAGATTTGAGTTAAAAAAAAAAAAAAGCTGAAAAAAAATCACCCAAAAAATTGGCCATTGGCCCGTTTTGCTGTACAGAAATTGGAATCAGCCATAAAAATGAATGATCAGTGCAACCTTAACAAAGACCCTACTGACAGGAACAGATCCTAGATATGTACTCCTTATTCTGAGACGTTTTATGAATGAAATATAATGAAATTAATTTTGATCAGTATTTGATAACAGTACATAAATTACTGCAGGTTAGTAGGCATTTCCTAACCATCTGCCTGTCAGACTGTGAGTTTAAAGTCAGTGTGGTGTTTTTAACATTAGACCCCATTGTGTCCGGGGTGGAACGCTTCCTTCAAAACAATGTAAATGTTTAAACAGGCTCAGGGTGTGCGTTCTCTGAGCTTGTGTGAGGGGCTGCAGTGACAGATGGCCACAGCTGTGTGTGACTTCCTGTACTGTCAGTAATGAGATCTAGCGAGGCCGCTGTGGTTTGATGGAGGAGGCTGTGAGTGTGAGGAATCAACATTATTTTCAGCGTGTCGCCGTGTTAATAAGCTAAGGAGGCTCCGGCTCACTCTGAGACATCTTCCCCACAGACGAGCTCGCTATCAGAGAGAGTTCCCACCCCTGTCCCTGGAGCCGTCCCATCATCATCATCCTCCCAGGAGCTCCAGAACGCGTGAGACTCACTCTCTTTCTCTCTCTCTCAGTCTCTCCCTCACACACTCATTGGCACACACTCCGTTTATGACAACAATATCGATAACAATAATTCACTCCTTCCTCTCCCACTCACTTCTGTCTGTCTCTTACTCACTTCTCTTACTCACTTTTTCCTCTTTCCTAATGATTTCTCACTTCTCTCTCGGTCTCTCTTTTTCTTACTCATTCTGTGTCTCTTGTACTCTCTCTCTCACTCACACTCTCTTGTGCTCTCTCTCAGTTTAGTTTATGATTGCCTCCTTGGCATCACTGTATCAAGTACAATGGTGACAAAGCAAACTAATAAAACGAACAATAAAAACAAACCGTGACAACATCACTAACAACAACAACATTCAGTCTTTCCTCTCCCACTCATTCGAATCTCTCTCTCTCTCTCTCTCCCTCACTCACTTGTTTCTGTCTGTTCCCTCCAGGCTTCCGCCGCTTATGTTTATGTTAATAATCACCGTCACGGTCTGCCTGTCTTGTTTAGAGGGAGAGAATTTACACTGATAAATAATGAGCTTTCTCTTTGCTCTTGAACTGCAGAGTTGCCTGGGAGGAGGTGCTGTTGGACAATCTGCTGAACTTTGCAGCCACACCTAAAGGGCTGCTGCTGCTTCAGCAAACAGGGGCCATCCATGAGTGTGTCACCTACATGTTCTCCAGGTTCACCAAAAAGCTTCAGGTACCAGTCAGGACTTCCCTGTGCCACTGGTTGTGAGGGGACCTCAAGCAGCACTACATGAACATTATTAATGATTGTTATTACTATTTTTAGGGCTATCAAGGTTAATGTGTCAACACCACAATAACACAATAAATGGATAACTAATAGTACTGCTAGTTTTTGTAGTATGATCCATCAAGCCATTGGTAGTAGTACAGGCTGCTCACGCGCTGTATTTTGCCATGATAAATCCGGGTGTAATACGGATAAATCTGGACCTAAAAACATGGATAGATCAACGAGCAGCAAATTAACAGAAGCAACAACAAAGTGGAAAGCTCCAGTTCCCCTCGAGAAACTCCACTGTAACAAGAATCTACGAGCTGTATGAATGAGAGCTCTCTTGTAGAGAAGATGGAGCCATTGACTGTTTATGTGATGTACATGATAAATACACCCATTGGTTGGAACATGCGGTCACTGTTGCTCTCACTGGATGTCAGTGATGAATTGTGTTCAGTCTGTGGAAGTCTCTTTGTGGAAACCCCTGTGTTCAGTCACTGAAAATGCTGTTTTTAAATTATTGAAAGTAATAAATACATTTCAATGAAGCTTATTTGGTCTACTTATATAGCTATAACAAGCAAAACAAAATGCATTGCTTTTCAATCTCCTTAGGGTCAAATTTACGTAAATAAGACAAATGTGAATTATTAAGATTAACTACACAAAACAATATGATTAAACATGATTCATTATTTATCATTCATTTGATTAAGTATTATCAATACGTAATAATTTATTATTAATGCATGATGATGATGATGATGATGATGATTGTTATAACTGTATTTCTCTGATTAACTAGTGTAGAACTTTAGAGTCACCGTTGTCTCTCAGTTGCCAGGAGACAAAAGTATTATCTGTGGTATCTCATTTTTCTTTTATGTTCAGGAAATATTTTCCTGCAGTGCTGTAACAGTCACGATCTTCACATTAAGCAAATACCTTGAAGCCAGTACAAGTCTCTGGCTGCCTTTTCTCTATTCATATTACTTTACTTTTCTCTATTCTTTTTCCTCAGGTGAGCAGGTGTGAGAAGTTTGGTTATGGTGTAATGGTGACCCAGGTTGCGGCTACGGCCCCTGGCATTGTTGCGTTGCACAGCTCAGGTAAGACATCTGTAGCCTTTGGAGAGAGCAGAACTGTTTTTTGTTGGTATTCACTCATTACCACTACAAAAAAATATAATATATCAAAGGTTTCTCTATAACAGTCAGTGCATCAGACTGAGCAAATAGACTGTGTTACCATAGAATGCACCGATTTGAGACACAGTGGGCTGTCACCAGCAGAAAATCTGGTCTGGATATCAGAGGACAAAAGAATAAATCCAATCTGATAATGTGACAAATCTAGCCTGAAATACTTATAGCTGTTTTTTGTGCAGCAAAAGCAAAGTAGGTCATGTGATGATAACAGATATCTAGATGTAATGGATCTGATAACAGTGCTAACAATGTGATAACACATGAAGCCTAATGTTAACATAACTACAATCAGTAGTTATACTCGAATTCCTTTATTTTAAGTAGTCCAATTTTTCACACGTTTGAACTCTGAGGTTTGTTTTTTTTTGGGGGTGTCTAACAGTTTACTGAAAACAAAAAGCTGCAGTTTTATATGTAGCCATATGCAAAAGTTTGAACACCTTCAGTCAAATTGGATGTTTCGTTGATTTTCTTAATGAAAATAAGTAACACATCCTCTACAGGGGACAAACTAAAATATGGCATTTTTCTGCAAATTTCTGTGCACATGTTTTAATTTCCTGTGTTTAACTTATAAAAAAATATAAAAAATATAAATTGTGCTTTAACTTCTGCACAGACTACATTTTATACACAGTTTAAACACAGTTAAAAGTTTTCCCAATATGTTAAATTTAGCAAACAAACAGTAATTGTGCATTAAGCAGAACATGTTCTCTGTAGAGGACGTGTGCTGATTTTCACTTGGAACCAATCAATTAACAAAACATTTATTGATGGACACAAACTTTTGCATATGTCTGAAAGTCATGTTTCTTTCTGTGGGGTAGTAGATTGCTTTAGCAGTTTGCGTGTGGAGCTTTTAGATGATTGTCTAAAGTGCTTCAATCAACCACAGGCTAAGCCTTTAAGCTTTTAAAGAATAAATATCAGATCAGCATTGGTATCAGGTGATAAACAGGTTTTAGTATTATCTCGGTATCAGAAATGAAAAAGTGCTATTGTGCCATCTCTTATTTCCACTCAAGATTCCCACCCCATCATCTCTTTTTAATAATGATCTGTTTTCATGAATGCATTTGTGTGAGATTATTTGGTGCGGTGCATCTAATCTCATGCTCTGGAGACAGTAGACAGCAGAGTTTGTCAGTTAGAGTCACTGTTAGAAGCCTGAATCAGAATGCCTGGGGAGTGTTTTAGGTCATACCTGGAAATTTCTGACCTGTGAATGGCCTTACAGGTTTCATCCAGGCTATTGTGGTTGAGCTGTGGTCTGCTTTGGAATGCGGCAGAGAGGATGTGAGAGTTGTCCATCCTAAGTCCACTCCAATGGATCCAATAGACAGGAGCTGCCTGAAGGTGTGACCTTTCATCTTTCTTTCACTGTACCTGGCAATGATCTACATTATCTGAGAGTTTGCAGATGTTTTTCTTTTTTTTACACTTATGTTCAGATTTACTTTATGACTTACTTAATGACCAATTCTTTATAGCCCAATTGGCTGATGGCTGATTTTTTTGGCCATATTTCATTTGCTTTTTTTGGCCTGAAACTTCAATTTCAAGATATTCAGTGAAAAATTGCCCATTTAAAGGGCAAATAAAAGTGATTGAAAGCCGGTACAATTTGTTCTGCATTTCTTTTTACCCCCTGAATTATGAGGCTGTTTAGCAGTCAAAATATGATTAATGCTACGTACATGCTGTACCAAGAACCCACACACTGAAATGACATACAATGAAAGTAAGTATACTTTTAAACTCCTACAGCAGTTTTTCTCTTTCCCTTTGTGCTGAAATTGTAAAGAATGTTTCAATCCAGGCTGTTTTGCAAATGAAGCACAGTGCAGGACAGCTCATCAGAACAGAGATCATTCACATATACAAGTCTTAAAGGCACAATAACAAAGACAGCTTGAGGCTGGAAAATAATCATTGTTCATGTTTTGGTACATAAAACCACAAATGTTATAAATGGGCCTCAGGGGAAAAATAAGAAACAAGAATAATGTAAGATATGAGCTATTTAAAATGTCACTTAAAGAAACCCTTACACAACGTTGTAAATTCTGACCAAAAGTTTTGTAAGTAAAGAACTCTCAGAGAGGAGTTTTATGTATTTTCTGAGATTGCTATTTGAACAATTTGAATCAATCAGCAGATTTTATACATTGCAATAAAATACAGTTTAGGGTCATCTATTAAAGGCATCAACATCAATACTGCTAAAGCTGTCAATATTGTGGTGTGGCACAGTACTGTTATACCTGTATAGGTAATATATCATCACACAGGACTAACCGTCCCGTTTCCTACTGCATGTACTGAAAATTGTCAAATTAAATAGATCTCAGTGCATTCCACTGTTTAAATACATTGGAACACAAGCTTTGGAAGTGCTTGCATTAATATTTTACGGAAGCATTTGTGTTTTTAGTTCAGAGGTGCTTAGGGCTCCTTTGATGTTATTTCTTGCATTAGAAGTATTTGTTGCAAAATATGAATGACACATCCCAACAGCGCACCAGAACATTAGCTGTTGGAGTTTGGAACTAGACTTTGAAATTCCTGCTTTGCCGTAAATCAGAGTGACCTGTAGTTGAACTGCTGTTTGTGTGTTTTTATGTGTGTTTGCAGTCTTTCCTAACACTAGTGAACCTGATGTCCTCTCCACACGCTGTGTGGGAGCTGCTGGGCCACCAAACACTTCCCAACAAGGCTGAGTACAACCTGAGAGAAATGCCCACCTCTATTATTGTAAGTCTCTCAACAGCCCGCCCACTCTGCAGAACTGAGTATGCAACATAGATCAGCCTCCTGCCGTGATTTAGCAATTAGTTGTAATTACACTGCACTTACCCATTTTACAGAAAAAATCTGAAATGGTCCCTTCAGTTACCTCCTCCTTTATCAGTCGTCATAGTTACAGTACTGCGCAAAACTCAAAAACTGCTTCATTTTTCCAGTTAAAACAACCTAGAAGTTACTCATTTTTTAGGAGGTATTTCTGAGGAGATTAGACATCGCTAGATCGCTTGCATAAGAAGGGAGAAAGTCAAAGAAAAATAAGTCAAAATAGTTTTTAACACTGGAGTTCAAAAAATGATCAAGAACTCCACACAAAATGAGACTCTTGACAATCATGCAAGACCTAGTAGACCACCAGCACAATCACGACCAGATAAACAGTTCTTAAAGCTTTAATCATTAATAGAGAGGAGAAAATTAAGCTCCACTTTTGCTTCAGATCTGAAAATGTCCACAGGTCTACTGTGAGAAGTGCACTTTGCAGTCTGAGGTGGAGGCAGCAATATCATTAATATATATTTTGAATAAAACTGGGCCTAGGATTGAAACTTGAGGGACCCCCTTCATAACAGGCAGTAATTCTGATTCTGACACATTGTTGCCTATCAGAAAGGTAAAATTTGGATAGATTTAGTAGCATTTTCAACAAAACCAATGTTTTGTAAGCTTCTTAAAAGTAGGATATGATCAACCAAAGGCTTTCGTCAACAAAAAGGGCGGCACAGTGCTTATTTATGTCAATAGCAGTAAAAAACGATCATTTACAACTAGTGTGGTTGCGGAAATGGCGTTTTTCTCTGTAGCCAGATTGGTAGCTTCACAGGAAAAATTCGACATAAAGAAACAACTTGAGTTGTTGAGCCTGTCCTCTCGGTAGTTTTATGTGGGTTAATGTCTGTGAGAGTGTTCATTACCGTCTACGGAAGGAAAGGATATCATGTGAAAAGACCATGCTACAGTGTATAACTAAAGAAATAAACTGTAGACACAAACTGTGTCCTAATCGACTAGATTTGCTTCAACAGTAAAAATCAATGTAGGTGCTGTTAACTGCAGCTGCAGCTTGCCTTCTAGCCATAGGAGGGCAGACTTTGACCAGAGATAAGTAGTTCATTTCTGAATGAGTTCCAGCATCTGTTTTTTATCATCCTCAGCTACTTTTATTTTATCTTTAAGTATGCTTTTTTATTTACCTACTTTTTTCCCTCAGGATGTGATGGACCGCCTTGTTGTTATCAACTCTGATGCAAAGATACACTCCCTGTTCAACTACGAGCAGTCGCACACTTTTGGCTTGAGGTGAGATCAATAGTTCTTTCTTACCTTCTTCTCTTTTAGTCACTGGGCTGGGAGATTGGCAAGAAAAGAATGGCAGCACCATTTAGTGCTTTATTATCTGATTAGCCCTTTTTTCTTCATTCATTCTCCTGCCCCTCTGATCGATGAGGGATTGATTCAACTCTCTGTGTTTTCTGTGCTATGATTATACTGAATTACTGCCAGACAAGAGGAATGTCAGATTAGGAGGAGGATCGGCCTCAGAGAGGATGTAAAACTGACCAGTGTTCATCCAACCATTAAAATGAGTATGGGGAAAAATCCATTCACTGAAGTATCTGCTGCAGGCAAAGCTCATATTTCTGCTTCTGCTGCAATTAGATCCACTGCAGAGCTTATTTATATTAATAAGGGGTATATCAATGTTTTTATTATGAGTGTGGTATACCATAGTCCCTCACTTTATTGCTTCATAAACCATGCCATGCCGTAGGTGTCCAAGGCGAACAAAATAGTGAATCGCTGAGCTCAAGATTAAATTTATTTCTACAGCTGCAGACACAGAGATCAAATTATATTTTATGCAGTCGGGAAAAGTTATAGGCATGGAGGCACGTCATGTTAACAGCTTCTAGAGATTTTAAAAGGTAGTAGATTGTACTGTGGAAAAGTTAGAGACCATGCTTTATTTATTCCATTTATTTCAAAGCAGCCTTTAAGTAAATGTTATTCATTTTTCAGGAGACATTTCTGAGGGGTTTAGATATAAAATAATGTATTTGCCCAAGGGAGGAGAAAGTAAAAGGAAAACTAGTGGGGAAAAAACAAGAGTTTCAAAAACTGGAGTTAAAAAAAAAATTATTAAAAAAATTGAGAAATGGGGCTCCTAACAACTGTGCAAGACGATCAAAAGTGTTCCCATCACATAAACAGCATTGAAAGCTTTCATCTTTGAGAGAGAGGAGAAAATCAAGCTCCACTCTTGATTCAGATCTGAAAAAAACAACTCAAAACTACTCTCTTAAAAAAGATGGTGCTTCTAGGGTTCTTAGACGAAAATGATCCCTTTGTGTGATTAAAAGGTTTGTTGCATCATGAAAGAGTTCTTTGGATTGATGGAAAATGTGCGTGAATGTGCTATAGATGGTTTTCTATAGAACCTTTTTGAAAAGGGTTCTATATAGCACTCAAAAGGGTTCTTCTGTTGTTACAAGCTTGAGACCATTTTCAAAAAGGCTCTATATAGAACCATCTACAGCACATTCTCCATCAGTCTGAAGAACCCTTTCATGATGTCAAAGAACTCTTTAATCAAGGGTTTTTAAGTGTTGATGGTTTTATATAGAACTATTTTCTTTACTAAAGAACCCTTGACGCATCTTTTTTTATGAGTGTGTGAGTCTGAAAAGATGTGTAGATGTGTCAAGAAGCCTCACTGAGAAAAGGAAAGCAGAACATTTGCACTAGAAGATGAGAACTGGAATAAGAGAAAATAGACCTCAACATCACTGAATGTGTTTGAGATTACTTGTTTCATAAGATGCAGAAAATCCAACCAACTTCTAAGACTGAACTTCTGGAAGTGTGGAAAAATATCTCTGCAGATTTCTTTTAAAGAGTCTCATGAAAGATAAGGAAGCTCTAATAAAGGCAGAAAGGACACTCTAAATAACATTATCTTTAGTTGTTGCATAGTACTGTGCTCCCTCCTCCCCACTAGCTCATGGCAAAGTATACTATTGTGGATCTTCTCCAGCTCAGTGGATAGAATCCTCACAGCCCTTTTCACATGTGCTCATTTTGCTAAGTGCCTCCCACAATGCAGGCACATGGCATTTCTACAGAGTGTTAATTTGACAGCGAGGGTGTTATGTTCTGAGATCGAAGTTCCTCTGTTGGGTGAGATGCTTAATGAACGTTGTGCGTGTGATGTCTGAATATTAAACGGTGTGCGTGTGTGAGATGTGCTGTGCTTATGTTGCTTTCTTTATTGGTATTGTTTTTTGCAAAACTTTTGTGGGTAACAGCTTATTTAGATGGTCCAGTGTAGATGCTTTTACAGACTGCTGCTTTGCAGTTCTCATTAAATTACATTCAACTAAATGTCTACTAAAGGGGCCCATATCATGGAACACTAAACCATCCTTTAATTTTTTTAATAAAATAGTTGGTGTATTATGTAGACATTGTTAAAGTTTCAGAATGTACCATTCATTTCCCAGTGCATACACTATTAAATGTCAGTATTTTGTTTATACAAGACCTTGGAATCACTTGCCATCTTAACAGTTTGAAATATTTTAGGTACAATAATGTGGCAATAAGAAACTTATACAATGCAGATTTTACAGTGCTATTTATTCATTAATTAACTGTTCGCCAAAAGGTAAAAAAGATGTTTATTTCAGTATTTCAAGAATACTGCAAACAAAAAGTGAATAAAATGATAAATGCTGTAGTCATGTATTTGCATGAAATCTTGAGATTTAATGTCCATTTTTGAAATTCTAGACATTATTTTTATTATAACTTATTTCCTGATGCTATGCAGCTTTCTTAGTCATAGAAAAATTATAATTTCTAAAAATATACAATTTTTTACGGTTCTGTTTGTCTTCTTGGACAAATAATATAATTTTTGTTTATAGCTTCCCAGTGAAGTTTAACTGGATTACCATATTAAAATCATTTCATACACATATCTGCAACCAAATTGGTTTCATATGATTGAAAACATTGATTGCAAACTTTTGAACCGTAATTTTAAACCTTTAAAGTGCAGTGTATATGGAAACTACATGGCAAAGAACAGGACCCAGTTTCCCAAAAGCATCTTAACTAGTAGAAAGAAACTTCACTGTGATGCTCACTCTACTATTTAAGTATCATCAATAACACATTATTGATCCTGCCACTTAACGTTGACATGACCGTGCCATAAATATGTCATGCAGATGTCATATGTTCTCATGTGTTGTCATGACTGATTATGTCCACAAACACAAGTGTCATGTTAACGTTGCCGTTAATTGTCATCATGTGCCATAATGTTTGACGTCATGGTGGCTAACTAGAGTACATTTAACAAAAATTAGCATGTGACATTGCCTGTTATGGCACCAAACATGATGGCATCTGTCATGACAATTAATGGTAATGGTAACACTACACTGTTACATCTCTGAACAAAGTCTGTCATGGCTGCATATGACATCTACAGTGACCTGTTTATGGCATGGTTATGTCAGTGTTTTGTCTCAAGGTTCAAGTAAAGTGTCTACATTTTTGTGCTAAAATGCTTTCGGGAAGCTGTGCCTTTTTGTGTTTATTGTTTTGTTGATTTCATGAAAATGAATGCCTTTACATACAGTATATCTATCTATTAAGCCTACAGTGGTTTAGCCCCGTCTATTCACACTGAAGTTGTAAGGACTATTTCAACCTGGACTACTTTTTGTATAAGGCACAATACATGACAGCCAATGATATTTTATTTACATATAACAATCTTGAGGCACCATAAAAAACAAACAAACAAACAAAAAAAACTGTTTATGCTTTTTTTGAGTTGCTGACACATTGTTTTGCTGTAGTTTTGAGAGAAAGTGTTGGCCTATAATTGAATTTCTTAAAAAAAAAACCAAACAAACAAAAACACATTAATGGTGGAGAGATAGATACAGGACATTGTGAGGCAAAATAGTCCCCAAAGACAGTTATTTCAGACATACTGTAACACAACACAACTGCACAGATGCTCATGGATGTTGTTAAATAAAGAGGCTTTACTGTTTGAAATGTGATCCAAGCTCTAAGTCAAAAAACATGCACAGGTCAGATCCTAAACAATCCAAAAAGACACGAGGAAAAACAGTCAGGCAACCAAGATCAAAAGGGCAAAGGGAAAAATCAGAGTTGAAAGACCAAAACCACTGCCCAGATATACAAAGGGCAAAACAAATGTAGAACGCTTGGTAGTTAAAGCAGTAACTCGCAATTTACTAAGCTAAAAGCCCAGGCTTATATACTAACTGACTAGACTCATGTGACAAGCAAAACAGGTGTAATAGATTAGTATTGAGGTCAGGAAGAGTGTCGATTAGTTGTTGTTGGCTGGTCAGCGGTGATTTCCAAGGGAGTTCTGGGAAGTGTAGTTCTCAGATGCAGAGTAATGCGTGACTCATACTTCTATTTTCCCCTAACATTACAACATTACATTAACTCAGAAGAAACATGTCTAATAAATATAAATAAAGTAATATAAATAAAATGGCTATATTTGTGTTGTAGATATCGTGACGCCTGGTTCCTTCTCTACAGTGAACTATTTCACATCAAATCATTTTAAATGACTTTGTTTACACCTCAAAGGCTTGATTATCCAGTTTAATTTATTCCTTTTTTTTTCTCCTATTCCGTCTTAATTGTTCAAATTAAAAAATAATGTTACACTTTTTTTTTTAAATGTATGGACTCCAGGCCGCAGGCTGCATATGGCACAGCTATGATTGGAGCTGCAGCACACATCTGCCCTGTAGCCATTTTCTTTTGCCTCATGATCACATGAGCTCATATTGTTGTCAGTACATCCTGTTTTCTGTTATTATCTCTATAGTGACCAGTGGTTGTTGTGGTGATATACAGAGTAAGGGTGGATTAGATAGGATGAGAAGTGATGAATCTCACACTTTTTTGTATATGTTAGGTGTGGTTAGTACTTTTAAAACGCTGAACAACTGCATGAATAGATTTAGACCAGACATACAGAGAGACTGTAAACAACAACAACCAGTGTATAGTACCTGCATAAACAAACAGCTGCCTAGGGACAAGTAGCAGGTTCGACATCAGCCCATTGTGACATCAACTTCTTTTGTATTGAAGGGAAATTCCACAGATTTTCCTAAAATTCTACATAATTAAATGCCAATGATTTAAAGTATTATAGTGTTTTGTTGTGAAATCCTCTGTTCTAGAGAAACATACCAAGTTAGAATTGTCATTGTAATTGATTGAAGCCAGATGTCTAAAGTCCTCTAAAAGCTACCTGACAGAAAGCTGTATTTAATGAAATTAATATAAATATGCTGCCTGATGCCTGAGACATTGTTTTGCTGTAGTTTTGAGAGAAAGTGTTGGCCTATAATTGAATTTATTAAAAAAAAAGCAAACAAACAAAAAAACATTAATGGTGGAGAGATAGATACAAGACATTGTGAGGCAAAATAGTCCCAAAGACAGTTATTTCAGACATACTGTAACACAACACAACTGCACAGACGCTCATGGACGTTGTTAAATAAAGAGGCTTTACTGTTTGAAATGTGATCCAAGCTCTAAGTCAAAAAACATGCACTTGTCAGATCCTAAACAATCCAAAAAGACACAAGGAAAAACAGTCAGGCAACCAAGATCAAAAGGGCAAAGGGAAAAATCAGAGTTGAAAGACCAAAACCACTGCCCAGATATACAAAGGGCAAAACAAATGTAGAACGCTTGGTAGTTAAAGCAGTAACTCGCAATTTACTAAGCTAAAAGCCCAGGCTTATATACTAACTGACTAGACTCATGTGACAAGCAAAACAGGTGTAATAGATTAGTATTGAGGTCAGGAAGAGTGTCGATTGGTTGTTGTTGGCTGGTCAGCGGTGATTTCCAAGGGAGTTCTGGGAAGTGTAGTTCTCAGATGCAGAGTAATGCATGACTCATACTTCTATTTTACCCCAACATTACAACATTACATTAACTCAGAAGAAACATGTCTAATAAATATAAATAAAGTAATATAAATAAAATGGCTATATTTGTTTTGTAGACATTGTGATGCCTGGTTCCTTCTCTACAGTGAACTATTTCACATCAAATCATTTTAAATGACTTTGTTTACACCTCAAAGACTTAATTATCTAGTTTAATTTATTTTTGTTTTTTTTCTCCTATTCCGTCTTAATTGTTCAAATTAGCTACACCTTTTTTTTTAAATGTAGCACTGCTGTTTTGCTGGTTCCAAAGTTAAAACTCATCCATAAACCTTAAACAATATCGTGATACATATTGTGTATTGTGATGTTATATTTTTACTGTCTCATCTAGATTGTCTTTAGTAATAGAGGAGTTTAGGCACAACAGTGAGAGATTTTCTCACCTTATTTTTTTGTGTTGACGATGGTTTTATATGCAGTACAGAGCAGCGTGCAGTAAGTACATCAGATAATGAAACAGCTACAGAATGCTGAGATAAACTCTGTCTTTTATAGACCTTCAAATTCATTCAAATCATCAGAATATGAAATATGTCGCCTTATTCATATGGAAGCTCCAGCCTGATAAAGGGATTGCAGTGTTGGATCCTCCACTGTGTATCTGTCTGAATGACTGAATGTGCCATCACACCGAATACACTGTATCATTCTCTCAGACATTCCATCATCTCCCTCACAGATATAGTGTACCTCCCACATGCCAATACTATTCTATACTGCACCCTCAAATAGACTTGTTTTTGACACTGTATGTCATACTGTTATCTATAGATGTGGCGCTGACACAATTCAGCCTTCAAGATTGCTGCTACTACTTTTTTAGATGTGCTATACATTTGTACATTTTATAGGTAAGCTGCATATGCGTTTTGTAGATACAGCTAAAACAGTAGTAGCATATATGCTTTTTAGCAATAACGTTCTGGCAGCTAATGTTTACGTCTTGTATTTTCATATCAGTATTTTATTTCAATTCATATCGTATTTATTCTTTTTACTGCATTTGTAGCTTTACAGAAATAAATATTATTTTTCTCTGTAATACTAATCCTTTACATTTTATAAATGTTTATGTATTGGCATCAGCAGATTCTTATATGAAAAAAATCAAATGTTAGCATCAGCCCACGATTCCTGTGTCAGTGCATCGCTGCCTAAAAATGTATTAAGTTCATTGTGCAGCTTCAGACCATTATCAGATTGTTATTAGTTGAGCAGTTTCTTTCTTCTGCAGGTTTGCAGATTGTCTTTATACGCTTCTGACTTTATGATCCTGTTAATGAACGCAAGCTCACCAACACCCCTGTTAGAAATACAGCTGCAGACTGTGAGGTTTCCACCTCTGTGCTTAGCGCAAGTCTGATTGGAATTTTTCTCTGGACACAAAGAGTCTACCTTCTGTTTAATGTTGTGCTAGAAGTGCTTCTTTTTTAGACAGACATTGTTTTGTTTAACCTTTTATGCAGTAACCCAGGGAACTTGTGCACAATGGTGCTATGGTTAAAGTGTCCAGATTTTTGGGGCCACCGTATATTACACTGAGGCCTGAGTTTTATTCTTCTTGTATATCATCACTATTGCAAAAAAATGCATGTCCAAAATCTTTACAGAAGATTTTTTTTTTTAACTTTTTAATGTTTTTAACTGATTTTCAAATTTTGTTTAAAAAACATGGAGATACAGTTTTTTAAGGTGTTGTTGCAACAGCAATATGTCTGGGACATAGTTATATTTATATCTATAAAGTTATAGTTAATTTTGATTTTAGTAGTGAAAGAATGTCCTGCTATGTTATTTGCTTTATTGCAGTGTTATATTCGGTATTGTGTGTGTTGTACCATGCAAGAAATCTGACTGTATGTAGAACATTCTGTTCAGCCTATTTTTGTCTGTCTCTATATGGTAATGTCTGTCACACCTGTCACTTGCCATGTATAGGCTGTGTGTAATCTTGGCATCAGTCCAGCCTATATTAACGTGACCGTCTATTGTTTAACAGGCTGGCTAAATGTCTGGGTATCTACGCGCAGGAAATGGTTTGAAGAGGGTTTGGATTCTTGAGTAGCTACAACAACAATAACACTAAATTTAAATTATATAGAGCCTTCTCTAAAAGCTTGGTGTGCTTAACAAACATTAGATAAAAAACAAAGGAAAATACCGTATCACTGTTATTGCACTTTACAGGAGAAGGAAAAAACATACTTCACTTTTAATATAAGTCAATGGAACCAGACTTTTAGAAGTCATTTATCATGAAATTTACACAAAATGTAAAGTAAACAAGGTTTTGTTCCAACAGCAGTAATATGTTACAATAAACGCACAAGTAAACGCACGTAAAATATTAAAAATGATAGTAAATAGAAGTGAAATAATAAAATGCATATGAAATGAGAAACAACAAGCATAAAAAAGAGCAAAGATACATAATAAGAAATAAAAATATATGAATTAACATTCAATAAGAATAAAAATTACAAGTAAGGGCAAATTAGCAACAGTATGCATCTCTAAAAGGTGAGTTTTAAGATGAGATTTAAGAAAGTTCAGACTGTCTGCTGCTTAGATGTTATCAGTGAGCTGATTCCATAGGCATGGAGCAGCAGAGGAGAATGCTCAGTCACTTAAAGCACAGTGACTTGTCTTTGGACCACAAGCACATCACAAAATAAAACAAGCAAAATTAAAGAAGCAAACATTCAACTAGGCTGATTGAATACATGGGGTAATGGGGAAAATTACGGTATTTGATTTTTGGCTAAACTACTGCTCTAACCCCACTGAGACACATATGTTAACCTAATTCAGTAGGCGTTTGGAGATATTGATAATGAGGGTCATCAGAAGGGCTATTCATATCTATACGAATGGCACATGCATTCATGCCATTCATTTCTCAGGATGGCATCTGGCCTGAGCTTTATTGTAGAACTTGTTGAGCCTGATTGGAAAGGCAACAGGAGAGAAGATGCGTAGAGCACTGGAGTTCTGACAGTGTGTTAGTGCAAGATGAAAGATCATCCGCCCTCTGTCTTTAGAGAGAGCCACGTTGCTGCCAAATATGCAAAACCAACTAATTACAAACTCTTACTTTTAGAGGGAGACTTCCTGTTTACAGGAACACAGTTTTCATGCTCAGCTGCTGAGTGTTTATTTGATTTAGCTGAGATTATGCATCTGATGCATTCAAACATGAGTTAAAATCACACTCTTTTATTGGCTGTTTAAATGTAGCAGGCCTGAAAAGTTCAAGGTGTTTAAAACACTGCACCTTTACAAGCTTTCATTAGGCTTATGTTACTTTGAGGAGGGATTTCAGTCATGAACAAAAGTTGATTGATTTACCTTTTAAACACAGAGAATGCGTCATTTGCTGTCAAAATAGCAATAAATTACACCATAATATATCTTCCTGAGCGCATCACAGGTAATATTAGTATTTTTGTCCTGGCCAATTTTTTAATTTTTTGACCCCCTCCCCATTAAATTTGCTTCTGTTCTCACACGAGCCCTCCTGACAATTTTCAGAGAATCGTAAGTTTTGTGCGGCTTCTTTTCACGTTTAACCCCTTTCCAATCAATTACCGTTAAATTCCTGCACACAAAAGCATAAACTTTTAGTACTACATATTGTTGTTAGATGTATGTGATCTTTAAGTTATGAATCCCTTTTTCCAAATTGAATGCGTCTTCTCAAAGTCTTTGGTATTCCCTGCACCATCAAGTTTCCATCTGCATATGGGGAAGTAATGTAGCTCTTTTCTTCTGGTCTTCTTTTGATGCTTCCCAATTCTCACTTTCTCCTCTCCTCCAGACTCTTAAGTGTAATGTGCTGTAACTTGGACTCTCTCCTGCTGCTGGAGTCTCAGTACAAGCTCTCTGACATTTTGCTGCAGAGTCAGAAGGACAATGCCATAGAGTCTTCCTCTGGTGAAGGGTACGTGCTTCTTCCTGACACAGTTTAGTCCTCTTGGAGGATAGATGATCTGGCACAACACACTGAGGTGGTGTCAGCTTAAAAGGAGTGCCAGCTACTGCTCACAGTAATAAAGTCAAATAAAAATGATAAAATTCTGTCATTCTCTGATAAAAGGACAGGTTTTTGTTGCTAAATTAGAGAGATGGGATAACACGAGGGAAATGTTCATGTGGAATTTTTGTAATTTTATATGTTTCAACGTGGGATTATATTATACGTTTATGAGATAGTTGAGCTAGTTTTTATGACATGTTATTCTTAACGTACTTTTCCTTAGAGAGTTCATCATTGATGGCCTGTCTGTGGAGAGAAACCACCTGCTGGTTCGGATGAATGCAATTGGTGGGCCTTCTGAAAGGAGACTTCCGCCCAGAGCTCTGCAGAAGGTCAGCTTCATTTTTATTTCTGTAGTCTCTAGATGCACAATTTAATACCCTTCCTAATTTAAACACACCTTATTCAACTCATCAGATTAAACAGTCATTTATGAACTGGAGAAGATGCTAAAACATGCAGTGTGCCTCTGTGGGATTGAGGTTGTGACTTGTGATGGGCCCTATTTGAGCTAGGCACTGTAATTTACAAGATTTGTGATTTTACTCCAGTATGAATACACTGTATATAATTTTTACAGTCAGACAGTAATGATTGTGGAGTGATTTTAATCCAGTATGAATCTGCAGTGTGTGAAGTTTTTACAGTCTGACAGTAATCATTATAGAGTGATTTTGGTCCAGTATGAATCTGCAGTGTGTGAAGTTTTTACAGTCTGACAGTAATCATTATAGAGTGATTTTGGTCCAGTATGAATCTGCAGTGTGTGTAGTTTTTATGGTTTGACAGTAATCATTATAGAGTGATTTTGATCCAGTATGAATCTGCAGTGTTTGTAGTTTTTATAGTTTGACAGTAATGATTGTGGAGTGATTTTAATCCAGTATTAATCTGCAGTGTGTGTAGTTTTTTTAGTTTGACAGTAATGATTGTGGAGTGATTTTACTCCAGTATGCATCTGCAGTGTTTGTAGTTCTTACAGTCTGACAGTAATAATTGTGGATGTATTTTAATCCAGTATGAATCTGCATTGTGTGTCGTCTATGATCGTCTCATTGTCTGTGATGTCTGTGATAGTTCCTGTATCATTTGCTGTTGTTTTTCAACCATTTTCTTGCAACTTAAAATGTATTTGATTTTATATTTTAAGAAATATGAGTCGTTCTTGTTTCAGGGGTCTGATCCATACCCATGGCCAATGTTCTCATCTTACCCTCTGCCCAACTGTTACATCCCTGATGTACCAAAGCCATCGCGGACTAAACAAGGTAAGAAGCTGGTTTAAATTTTTTAACACTACTTTCTGTACACCTTTTTCTAGTGTTTTCCTGTATTTGTGAAGATTTTAATACATCATAAAAAGCAGAATAGGACAAAAGTTGATTGGAAGTGATGTAATTATTACTCTTATATCTAACATATTTAATTTTGCAGCTTCTTTGTTTCATTCATAGAGTCAATTATATGTACACAATTATTACTCTTTTTGCTCCTGCATATAGAGAAATGAAGAATGCAGATTTCTTTTTTCCTCAGATCTCACCTGAAATGCACTTAATAAAGTATTAATGAAGCATCCTCAGTAAAGTCAATGTAAATGTAGCACTAGCAGGGATTTGCACAGCTGCCATTGTGCCTCAGTGCCTGCGAGAGACTCCTCTATCCGCTCTGCTGTCACGACACTGCATCTTTATTTCAAAGTGACAGGTGTCTCCATGACTACATAACTCAACAGTATAGTGACTCCCAGCTGCCAGCAAAGATGCTTATTTTTGACACAGGCCTCTGCACATTACCGTAAGCCTATTCAGAGATTTAACGACACTGATTTATTCAGGTCTGTCTAGCAAAACATTTGTTTGGTGTGAGTAAAGAGCGTGACATTTCTTGTCATTTCAAAGGTCATGGTTGGCAGATCGTGGGTAGCCTCAGTTTATAAGCCAGCAGCAGGTTTTCACTCATCCAGTAATGGTAAATTCATGAATATGTGAAAACTTAAGTGAAGTGCAAAAAGGTCAGTAATTATGTGTTTTCTCTCCTTTTGACTCTTTTTATTCTCCACAGACTCAGAGATCAGTGCCTTTCTGGCCTCCTCTAAGGAGACAGAGAGAGATGAGAACTGGATGGAGAGCTGCAGGAGACACTACTGCAAAGCCATGACCTCTAAATCCACTGTTCTCACTGGAAATGGTAAGGCTCGACATTTTTACAAACAGTGGAAAAGCTGTGCTTTAGTGTTTCAGTTCAGAGCAATTCAGAGTTTTGAGTTTGTGTACTTACACTGTGTGTGTAAAAGTTTGTAGACACCTGCTCATTCAAACTTTATGAAATCATAGGTATTAAAGTCAACCTGAAATCAGATTTGACCTTTTTTACCTTGTTAGTTCATGTCCCAAACAAAATTCATGTTTTTTCCTGTAGTCTTTGATCGAAGTGTAATGACTTTTCCCGCCTCTTAAACGTCTGATTTATATTTGACAAACATCACTGTGCACCAGCGGAGTTGAAAAGTAATAGAAATCAGCTAGATTTACATTTCCTGAAGAAAATATAGTGCTTGCAAGACTAGAAAAAAACATAAATAATATTTGTGAGGAATGAGTCACAGAATTTAGGTGTAAAACAAATGGTGAAGGAAAGGAAGAAAGAAAAAGAAGAAACAAAGGGAAAGAAAGAAAGGAAAGGAAAGAGAAAGAAAGACAAAAATGAAAGACGGAACAAAGAAAGAAAGGAAAAAGGAAAACAAGAAAGAAAGTAAGAAGGAAAAGAAGGTCAGAAGAAAAAGACAAAAAGGGAAGGAAGAAAAAAGAAAACAAAGAAAAAGATGAAAATCAATGAGCCTATAGCGTGAGGTTTAGAAAACCTTAAATGAGTTTAATGAATAATGGAAAAAAGTGAAACCAGCTGCTTTAAATGCAGGTATAGAAGAAAGAAAAAGGATGGACAAAGAGACGTGAGGAGGTTGGAAAAAACATAAAAAGGCTGGGGAAAAGAAAAAAGACAGAAAGGAAAAAATAATGAAAGAAAAGAGAAGATAGAAAAATAAAGAGAGAATCAAAAGAAAACATTAAAAAAAAAACAATGGAAACAACAAATAACAAATAAACAAGATAATTAGTTCAAACATCATTCCAGGTCATTCCAAAGGGCTCCATCATTCCAGAGAACGCAGTTCCGCTGCTTTACAGCCCAGTGTTGGGCGGGGGCTTTATACCCCTCATATTGACGCTTGGCATTGGGCAGTGTGACCTCAGGTTCATATGTGGCTGCTCCAGAGCACCCCATTCTATTTTCATTGCTTTTCTAAAAAGATGATACAAACTACAGTTGAACACATATGTCAGCAATGGGTGCACCTTCAAGTAAGTGAATTCACTAATCAGAAGCGGTGTCTGGATACTTTTGGACATGTTGGATACTTTTGGTGATGACTGTGCTGATGTCATATCATTTATTAGTGTGGACATAATGTACAACAGTTCTAGTGGCTGTAAAGGCCTTTTCTCCCACACCCTAAAGCATCACTGCTTAACTTGTTTATAACTATTTCATTGTTATTCAGATCACTTAAGGCTGCTCATATTATGTTGACATTTTGAAGTCCGTTAGGTTCCAGATGATTTTGTAACTGAAAGTGTGCCATGTCTGCTAAAGCTTGAGTGGACAATCAATTTCTTTGTAGGTTAATTAAAGGGCTCCTAAGCAATGTGATGCATTTGTGTAGGATACGACAGCTCACTTGGATAACAGCAGGTTTGTTAGTTTATTTATTTAAAATGTGCTGCCATTTGGTGGTGTTGGTGACGCTGAATGCAGTTCCTGTATTTTTAATTCACAGGCCTGTAAAGCGCTTCATTCAGAGATGTATCATGGTCTGGGGCCCAGCGATAGGGTAGCTTTAAAAAGAGCTTTTCAGGAAAAGGTCATTTGCACAGATCTCATCGGTGTCTGTTCATGCTTGCATGGTTTACAGCCTCAAAAGGCTCCTGCTGGTCACAGGGGGACAGTAGCTTGATTAGAGATCTTTCTATAACGAACAAAAAGGAGGAGGAAATGTCTGCTGTCTGTGAATACTCTGAGCAGCAGCACTCCTTTTTTTAAATCTGAATGACCCAGAGAGCATACGCTGGAAAAAGTGAATAGAACTTCAAATGCACCTCATTTCACATGAATAAAATGTATTACTTCAACACAGTTTTTACCAAAAGTAAGAAAATGGAAGGATAATTTAGTGCATCTCCTTTCTTCGGGGTAGGTGGAGTTTGAGGAGGAGCTAGGCAGAACTTAAATTCATTTACTGTGTTAAAATTTAGAATCATTTAATAGAAAATATGAAAGGAACAACATTTTTATGTATGTGGACAAAAGTATGTGGGCACCTGACTGTCACACCTATAGCAGCTTGTTGAACATCCAATTCCAAAACCATGTGCAATAATGTAGAGTTGCCTGCCCTTTGCAGCTATAACAGCCTCCACTCCTCTGAGGCAGCTTTCCACGAAACTTTGAAGTGTGTTTGTGGGAATTTGTGTGGTCAGTTGATGTTGCACAAGACAGCCTGGCTGGCAGTCGACATTCTACTTAATACCAAAGGTGTGTAGTTGAGGTTAGGGCCCTTGGCAGGCCACTGAAGTTCCTCCACACCAAACTTGTTAAACCATGTCTTTATGGAGCTTGCTTTGTGTACAGAGGTACAGTCATGTTGGCACAAAAAAACGGCCTTCCCCAAATTGTTGCCACATACAATTGCTGTATCCTTCACTGGAATTAAGATGCCCAAACACTGATAAACAGCCCCAGGCTATTATCCCCGCTCCATCAAACTTTACTGTTGGCAATAGGTATCTGGTTGGTAGTGTTCTCTTGGCATCTGCCAAACCCATATTCATCCAACAGCCACTAAGTCACTGAGCTCTTCAGCATGACCTCTTCAAATACCAGTGTTCGTGTATGGAGATGGCATGACTATGTGCTTGATTTTATACACCTATTAGCAATGGGTGTGGCTGAAACACCTGAACTCAATAAATAGGAGTGGTTTCCACATACTTTTGGCCACATAGTGTGTATTTAAGGTATTAGAATATTAGATTAACTCAGTATCTTTTGGTAATAATTTTTTTCACCTCTTATTTTGAAAGCAAACTTGTGTTCATTAGATTCTGCTGAGGTTTATGTCTGTTTTTCTCTAAATGATGAATACTAAATCAACTTTTGTGCTAATTGTGGCCCCTGCCAGACAGGAGCTCCAAAGCCACATCCAAGCGCTTCCAAGTGTTTTTCATTATAGTGAAATTCACAATCTGGAATATAGCTTTAGATACCGTGAAGTATTATATTTTCAGAATTGTATGTAATTTTATATATTCATAACCTTTAATATTTAAATTAGTTCTAGTTCTTTTAGATGATTATAGCATCTTGCATCATTATGTTAAATCAATAGCATAAATAAAATGTCGAATTCTATAAAAAAAAAATAAGCCCTTTTTTACAGCTTCAGTTTTCAACAGAGCGTGTCCTAAATTTCAGTTTTAATTTCAGTCATTTCGGTTTGTGGCTTAAAGCTTTTAATGGCTGAGCTCCGGCACATGCTGTTCTGTTAAGCAATCCAGACCACTTTTCTCAGCTGAGGCAGCCTTACTGCCAACTCCTAGGATGTCAGTTAGTGGAAGATCATTTTTATATCTCCTAAACTCTGGAATAGCATTCTAAAGAAAATACCAGGAATACAATTTAAAATGTGTTTTTAAATCCAGAAAAAATTGTTTAATTTCACACACGCTGAAAGCACTGTTTTACTTATTTTTCTGTTTAAAGTACTTTTTTGCTACTAAAATGGAAGTGTGTGCATACGAACTATTATTATTATTATTATTATTATTAGACAAAATATTGAATATGTGGCCATTTTTGCTCTTTGTCACTGGTTATTTAATAAAATCTCTAGCTATGGTTCACATGACTGGCAGTCTGTCAGTGGGCTATAGAGGAATTAGCAGGGTTAGTTAAAGTGTTCTGTACTGTTTCTACAGTGCTGGCTGATCTGCTGGAGAAAGCAGTGCTGCACCTGTCCTCCTCTTCAGCCAACTGCTTCTTCCCTCCTGCAGAATACAAAGGTCAGTGCCAATTAAAAAGGGGAAAAAATTATAAAATGTCTGGTGAGGGTTCATTTTCTCTTTTTCTTCTCCACCACAGCTAGTCTTGGGGGCAAGTCATGAATGCAGCAACTCATAAAAGTTATTTTTTCCCCACTGAATCCTCATTGAAAAACTCCCCCCTTGCTCCAGTTCCTAGTGGAACTGAAATAGAGTTAAGTGTTATATTCGCTTTAAATGTCCCCCTGTTATCTCAGTTAAAAGTTATCTTTAAAGCTCAAAGTATTTCCCCCAGTGTACTGATCATCACCAGAGCACAGACACCACAAAAACACTCTCCTGCCAAATACATCTCTCTCTCTCCTCTTTTCTCTTTTTCTCTTTTCTCTCCTTTTCTTTGTTTCTCTGTCACTGTCTCTTTTTCCTTCCTTCTTTCTCTCTCTCTTTCCCTCTTTCCATCACTGTCTGTCTCTTTCTTGTTTGCTTTTTTCTCTCCCTCTTTCCCTTTCTTTTTACTTTCTCTTTCTTTTTTGATTTGTCACATTTTGTCCTTCTCCTCCCACACCACCCTCTTCTCTCCTCTAGGGTATTTTTTTCCTTTGCTAGGTAATTTGTTTTTACTTTGCTTCTTTTACTGTTCTATTAGTGATAAACATTACCGGGCGGAACTGTGATTTGCCGTTTAGGGGCAGAGTCATTTGCAGAGCATTAAGCCATGTTCTTCTGTCGGTCATGCCTGCAGACATTTAAGGCTGGCTGCGCCGAGAGACGCACATTCATCTGCATTATGTCATTATTACGCTGCTGCCATTGTTCTCATATTAATGAGGATGGAGGAGTGGCCCTATAATCACATCAGCTGCCTCATTTAACTCTCACCAAGGGCATTTAGCCAATTAATCCCTCGCTTAACTATGATGAATGGACGCTGTACAGCTGATCTTGATTGTGGTGTGATGCAGTGTGGCTTTGTGATGGTTATGTATGATATTCCAATACTTTTTACCTCACTGTGTTGCCATTATGAGCCATATTTACCACAATCCATTTAGTACAGATGGTTACGGTAATGATGTAAACGTAAAGTGATATGACTTTATGGTGTCTTTTATAGTGGTGGATCACTATGTAAAGACTCGCAACCTGACATCTGTGGAACAGCTGGGCATCAGCATCTCTCTCAGGTAAGGCATTTAGGGCAGAAGTGTGGGTGCTATCGATGAGCATTTTAAGCTTTTTTTCCTAATCTTCGCTTATCCACAATTTAAACAGTATTTGAATTCCCACAAAAAACATTTCATATTCTGCTGAATGATAACTTGCATAATATATGCTGTGCCTTTTTTCCATATGTTTTCCATATAGAACTCCACTTAGATGTTGCAGTTTTGATATGTGTATGAAGACATATGTGTCCTCATATTCTCTGCAGTTCTGTGTCACACACTCAGTCAGACACACTCGCTATACAGTACTATTCCAGTCAAAAACGATCATTGGGTACAAGTTATTTATTTTTCAAGAGACATTTCTGAGGAGATTAGATATAAGATAATCCTTTTGCATTAGTAAGAAGAAAGTAAAAGGAAAATAAGGAAAAAAACAAGAGAGTTTCCAAAACTGAAGGTGAAAAAAGATAGAAAATTAAAAGACAGACACAGTGGAACTCCTAACAACCGTGCAAGACCTGGTAGACCACCAAAATTGTCCTCATCCGATAAACAGCACTTTCATCTTTGAGACAGAGAGAGAAAATCAAGCTCCACTCTTGCTTCAGATCTAAAAAAATCCTCAAGTAATTCTGTCCATCCTTCTACTGAGAGAAGACAACTCAGTGCTATGGGTCTGAAAGAATGTGTAGCTGTCCTTACTGAGAAAAGGAGAGATGCTGGTGTTCTCTGAACAATAGACTGACCACCCCAGAGTCCAGACCTCAACATCACTGAATGTGTTTGGAATTACTTGGATTGTGCGAAGCAGAAAATGCAGCCAAATTTTAAGACTCAACTTTGGAGGTGTGGAAAAATAAACCTGCAGATTTCTTTGAAAAACTGAAAGCAAGTCCACCATAAAGAATGGAAGCTGTAATAAAGATAAAGAGTGAACACAACATCCAACATCAGTACCTGATCTCACTTATGTTCTTGTGGCTGAATGCTGTCAAATCTGCACACCAATGTTCCACCATCAAGTGTGAAGCCTTCCCAGAAGAGTAGAGGCTGTTACTGCAGCAAAGAGGGACAAACTCCCTATTAATACACTTTATTTTAGGACAGTGTTTTTAAAACATACAAGATAATACATGATTTGGTTAATTTTACAAATGTACTATTCAAATAGTTAAATGCCCAATTAAGTAAATGAATACTTGAATTCAAATACCTGCATATTCATATTACAACAAGCATCCCTACTGGACTCATTCACCCCCAAAAAGGAACATGAGTTGTGTAACTCCACTCTGGTCAATAGAGATAATCAAGAATTCATTCAGATGCACTCCTGCAGTAATCTGGGCCTTTCTGTGGAAATCCAAGACAGTAGTTAAACTTACTATGAACTCAATTAGAAATTGTCTCCACTCCTATCTGCACTTGCACTTAGGTGCACAGCACGGTTGGGAAACTGTAGCTGTCCATTAACCTCTATTTCCTGTGTTCATACCAGGGATTCACAGCGTCTGTATGTGTGAAAGTGTGAGATTTTGTCCAGCGCATCTAATTCTCTCAGTATGGCGGGAATATAATTCTGAACACCTTCTCGCTCTTTCTTGGTCAAGCTGTTGTTGAAGTGTACTACTTCAGTTAGTGTTACGTGAGGAGCGTTTTAAGCATATTTCTCTTGCATTGCGTAGCTCTGCTGAAAAGACTAAGTCGCCTTGGGCAGGGGGTAGATTGATCTCTGTGTGTGTCTTTGCAGGTATGGTTTATTCCTGAAGTTACTGAGGGAGGATTCAGAGCAGGATCTCTGTCTTCTCATCAAACACTGTCAGGAGTTCCTCTCTCAGCAGCGCGTCACACTCCAGTCTGAACTCTGTATCCTTTATAGCTCTAACACTACAGCCGCAGACCGTGGACTGCAATGCAGCCAAGTGCTCTGCTTGCTTTAGCATGGTGTCATACAGTTGTAAGCAAAATTCTATATATAAATTTTTTTTTTTTAAGTGAAAAAAGTGAACACATTATCCATAGAGAACACAATTCTGCACATTTTAATGCAGAATTACTGTTTATTTGAGTTTAACATATTGGGGAAAAAAATAAATATAATGTGGCCTGTGCAAGAGTTTTGGCACACTTTGTGAATCATGCTTATTTTTTCCTAATATGTTCAACTCAGCAAATAAATAAACATTACACACTAAAATCTGCAGAAAACTCAACTGGTAACTTGTAGAGCATGTATTGATTTATATTCACTCAGAACATTACCAAAATGTGTAATTTGACTAGGGGTGTTAGCATTTTGGATTTTGTATTTGACACCATATCTTTTAATTGGGGGAAAACAACAAAAAAAAATGTTTAGCTTACTGTCTTTGTGCAGCGTTTTTTTTTTTTAGTTTTTTTTCTGTAATTCACAGATTTCCAGCTGTCATATTATATTCAAGCGATTAAACGAATTTCCATCAGCTGTGTACTAGAGAATAAAACTCAACGTTACTTTCTTAAAACACTTCTGAGAAATATGGAGCGAGTCTGCAGAGAAATATTTAATGCTGAGCTGCTTCTCTTTGCTGTTTTGTTTAATTTCATGGCAATATTTTACAAGATAAGAGAGCAGAAACAGAACATACTGACTTAAGGGCTCAGGAAATATCCATTAATCAGCTGCTGATTGTTTACACTTAAATGTCACTGTTGTGTTTTTTCTTTGCTAAGATAAAGGAAGGTTTTAATTACTTCATTAGTACTTTGGTACCTGTCGCCTGCTGTCATGGTTCAGAGGAAAGGCAACAGACGCAGACACACGTGATCAGATATATGACTTCATTCTATTCACTTTTACACAGTTTATTTGGTAAAAACATTTACATTATAATTTATCATATTTCTTTTTACCTGCCAAAAATATGTCAACTTCAAGCAAGCGTGCAAACTTCTATGCTTATTTTGTTGATTTCATTCACTTTTGTCAATTGCATTAAGTCTTTTTCATTCACTATGCCAAAAAACACAGAAATGGAAACCTAGCTCAAGTCAAGTCAAGAGGCTTTTATTGTCATTCCATCTGTGTACAAGTACACAGTGGAGCGAAATTATGTTCCTCCAGGAACAAGGTGCAACAAGGAACAAAATAGACAGTACAAAGTGCAAACATGCAGATGTCAGTGTGCAGTACATTAAACTAGAAACAATACAATAAATACGATAATTAAAACAGACATTAGACACAGTAAACAGACAGGACAGTGCAGCACCGACACAGCACTCATTTCTGAACATGAGGTAGTGAGAATAAGGTGCAGAGATATTTAACATGCTGTGTTATGTGAGTAGCTAATGTCATGCTGAAGGAGAAGCACCTACAATATACAAAAAGGAGCAAAGTGAAAGAAAATATAATGCAATAGTAACTGAACATCAGGAGAAATAAAAAAAAATAAAAAAGTTGTAGACATTGTAAAATTTAGCAAGAAATCACAAACTTCAAGCTAAAGTTCTGGATGACAGTATAATTATTTAAACTTATACTTAAGTCTATCTAAATTTTAATAAAAAAACAAATTTTAAGCAGTGGTACTCAAATTCTCTGCAGTGTAATGATATTGTTTAGGGTGGTCACCTTTATGCAGCTAAACTGAAACTTGATTACTAGATTTTTAAAAACATTAATTTAATGTTGCCTTCTTAATAGAGACCTTTGCCCTCTTAGTTTGGTCTCTCTTACAGTAAGAAGCAGAGCCAAATTTTTGCCTATGAACGAATAAGCATAATTTGTTATTGTTCAGTTAAGTCAATAAAAAAAAATTCTGATCACTTGATAACTAATATTATTGATAGGGCTAGTGTAAATTAAATGTTTCCAATGCCGATACTTTCAGTTTGATACTGATTCTTAAATGATACTTTTTTTTGATACCTTAAAATCACTAACTTAAAGTTGGTGTAGCCCAAACCAGAAATGAATGCTGGAAGTGGGTATATTTACTAACAACAACAGATTATTACAGACTAATAAAGAAGCACTAATGTTAATAACATGTACACATATTGTTAGTTAAATAACCAAACTGCAAACATATTGGCTCACTTGCGCTGACAAGAAGTATGTCCTGAAATTTTGTATTGAACAACAGGGAATATTTCAATCAGTAATTCAGTCAGTATCATAAAAGTATTGAATATAAATACCAGTCCCTAATAGTGACAGCCCTAGTATAGTTTTATGATGCACGTAGCACATCGTTTCACAGTTTTCAGCACGTATTGCACGTTATGAAAGTCATAGTGACAGTAAGGAGTTGTGGTGACTGTTCCTTAACCCATGCTGTTTGAGGTTATCTGAGGGGAGGCTACCCAGGCCATGACTGGTTCTCCTCCACCATTTTCCTGCTGATGGGTGGGGACGTGGGCCGCTCCCTCAGTCTGCTGCTGCGCTTCTCTCGCCTGCTGCCCTCGGCTGTCCTCTGGCCAGCCCGACTCTACAGCTCTGTGAGTCCACTCTAAAGCCCCCAAGTTGCACTTACATCATCACTGCAGTTATGCTAGTCAGAGCTGATTGGCTGCTTTCATTTCTGCTTTTGGTCATGCTTTTCTTATTCTGTTCCTGAGCTTTTGCCCTACACTGTTTCTCAACGCTGTGTCTACTTCCCTCTGCCTCATTGTTTTATTCTTTCTCAGATTTCTCCTTCACCTTCCAGCAATATAGGAAAAAACCATTAAGCAACCACATGATGTCTAAAGCACGTCACATTTGCCATTTATCATTTCCATTTTTCATGATCCACTATGTCCCCCTTGTGGTGCAACATGCTGCTATATTTTATGTCCTATTTAATATAGACTGTCTGTCACAGATTTGCAAATAATTTTTATTTTCCAGTTAGGTAAGAAAAAGTTTTTTGTTTTGTTGTTTTTTGACAGCTTTTTGCTTATCATTTGGTATGAAGATCAAACTCTTTTAAAAGGGAAATTCCACAGATTTTTCAAATATTTTCCATAATTCAATAGTTGAGATATAAACAGATTTATTTAGAGTGGTGAAAGGATACATTGCAGAGAAATGGTGTTGATAGGTACTAGAGCTTTAATCGGGCCTGAAATTTTGGTCCTTACCTGAAAACAGTCCAAAAATTTTCTGCCAAGGCCTGACCTGCTCAGACACACAGCATAATGTTTTGAGTCTGAAATTGATCCAATCTGACCCACACCACATCATCTTGCTTTGAGTCTGAAACTGACCGAGGTATAACAAACTTCTGTCCAAAACTGGCCCAAACCAGACCATATCACTATGTTTTGAGAACGAATCTGATCCAAGTATAATAGAATTCTGTCCAAAACTGACCTGATCCAATACACATCATTACATTTTGAACCTCAGGATAAAAAAATTCTGTCCAAAAAATGTCCGTCATGTTTTGAGTTTGCAACTCTGCCGAGTATAGCAAAATTCTGTCCAAAACTGACTTGAAGCGGCCCATCATAACCCAAAGTGCAGAATAGATCATAACAGGACATTTTTTTTTACTATCAGCAATTTTATTTACCATCAAGAAACAGTGAACCTACGTTTAAGTTTTGTATGTAATGTTAATGATGATAAAATAGTGGTAAATTTGAGAAGATTTCATTGGGTACTGTTTTGTCTTACAATGCTTTGGATGTACCCTTCCACCTTGAATACATTGAATGTACTTAGAAAATACATTTGAGGTTAAAAGCTTATCTTAAAGCTATTGTGAAACAATTTCTCAGCCATCAGGCGGCGTGTTCAGAACCATTTTATATAATAGCTTTCTGTGAGGGAGCTTTTAGAGGCGTTAAACTCATCAGACATGTGGTTCCTGTCACCACAGTTCTGACCCGGTGTCTCTAGAATGAAGCATTTCACATCAAACCAAGTTAAGGTGGTTAAGGTCTCAACAATTTAATTAAGCAGTTTTCAGAAATTCAATCAAGCAAATTCAGAAAAATCAGTGGTATTGTCCTTTCGAAGGACATATTGAGACTCTTTCAACCAAAGCTGGTTTAAACACTTGAAAGGTTTGAGTGCTGATGAGTGTGAATATCACAACTCAAAGAACCCTTTACATGTTCTTTGCAAAGAGTTCTTCGCATGGTGAAATAGTTCTTCAGACTGATGGAGAATGTCTTATGTATGGTTCTGTATAGACTTTTTTGTAAAGGGTTTTGTATAGCAGAAAAAGTGTTCTATTGTTATGATGTCATAATAGAAGAACCCTTTTTGGTGCTATATAGAACGCTTTTCAAAAAGGTTCTATGTAGAACCATCTACAGCACATTCTCCATTAGCCTAAAGAATCGTTTTACCATGCAAAGAACCCTTTAATCATGCAGAGGGTTCTTTGAGTGTTCATGGTTCTATATAGAACCATTTTCTTTACTAGAGAACCTTTGAAGAACCATCTTTTTTAAGAGTGTGTATTTCATCAGAGAAGTGAAAGTGATCATCACTGATTCTGTAAAGTTTGGAAAGAGCAATCTCTCTCCATGCAGTAGACGGTAAATAGGGCTCAGGTAATAGAGTTTGGGCCATGCGGCTTGTGGGAAATGGTAATAGTAACACAGAGGGCTTTGTCTAACTGATTACAGCCCTATATTGCTTTGCTACCAGTGCAGGAATGCATGCAAATCAGAGAACGTAAAGGACTGAGAGAGAGAACGATTGAGTGAAGGCTGAGAGTTCACATCATGACACGAATCTGTAAATAGGAACACAATCCTCAGCATGTTTCGCCACTGGCATCACTGTCAACAATATGAGCACAGAGACAGATAATGAGATGTGTGGGTTTCTCCTCAGAACACTGCATGGAAGATGTTTACTCTCATACTTCACTCAAGCTCTGCACTGTCAGTGAAGCACTACTCAGTTTATTAATGATGCTACTTATAATTAGTCTCTCATAACCTCCTTATAACTACGGCTGGGTATCAAAATTCAGTGCATGTATAGTACAGAATGAACTACTCCAATAATACTGAGTATTGAAAAACTCTGTGTCATTCAAAACCAAATTTCAATACATGAGTAGTCAATCCTGTCAGCATCACTGAGCCAATAAGCATGCTTGTTCCAAAATCTAGACTGTTTATTGGCTGTCTGAATTGCCATAGGTATGGTAATAATGTCAGTGCTTTTTAAATGCTGTGCTCATTCGATTACTATTGAAATTTAAGATGCACCAATATGGGAACTGTAGACTAATGCCCGGGGCTTGATTTAAGGGGGGGATGCAAGGGGATTGCAATCTAACCCGATCAAAAATGACAAAAAAAATCATTTCATCCCCCCTTAGGATTAATATGATCGTGTTTAGATCCAGTTTGGCCAGTTTGCAAATGCAGTCGAGGAAGAAAACTATTAAGTTTTAGCCTCTGATGTGCGGCTTTTAAGTAAACTTTATGCTGGAGATTTGTACTAGACCTGGCAGCCCTCTCCAGCATAATACAGCACAAACTCTGTGGACTATTTAAAAAGAAAAACAGGCAGCATTAGCCAGATAATTAATAACACTGAGTTTCTTATATAAAACATACTTTTTTCTATATTTTTCATGTATATCTATATCTGCCGATGCCAATACATAAACATATAACATGTAGAAACTGAGTGTAGATCAACATGGATTTGGATTATAGAGAAATTTCACATTATGTAGGGTTACAAAGCAGTGTGCAGTAGCCTAGCATAGTCTAAACATTCTGATTTTCCAGATAACAATAACTACATATCAAATATTGGTTTGAAATATCAGTCATATTGAAACATCTGTCGTATGCTAATATTTTTTAACAAATATCTGCTGATAATGATATGATTGTGATTTCATTATGCATCCCTAATTTTTGCCAAACCATCACTGTAAGCTCAGACTTGGAATACTGTGTACTGGTATACAGAGCTGATATTGAAGTATTGCTTATTCGTACAGCCATGATGGACTTTTGTTCTGAACATGTTGAACAAGTTTGTGTATAACTGATTTCAAATGTAAATTATTTTTGGTACAATTCAAGATTAAGAGCAACATACAGCATTTTAAATGCCGTTGCTTATAATACTGTGTTAAGCCTAATATTTATTCTTGTATGCACATTTGATCTGTGATCTGTCAGAAGTTAATTTAGTTAATTTAGCTCTAATTACACATACAGCTGGGTGTCATCTCAGCACTATGCTGGGCTACCAGTGCATACGTATGCTGCTCAATTTTACCAAGGCTGTTAATATATCATCTGTCCAAAGACAAACATGCATCTCCAGAATGGTAAATTTACAGTAGAGGCTAAAAACACTCTTAATTTTAAATCAGGTTAATGTAAAAGTTTTATTCTAAGTAATTTTGGAGCATTTTTATTGGTGCAGTCATCATGAAATTTTCACACAATGTAAATTGTGAAAAATAAATAAATTTATTTTATAAAAAAATGTTAAATAATTTTCTATTTTTTCAATTGTTCAGATGCATCTACCAGTGGAAATAGCTCAGTCTGGAATCCCCCCACTGTACTCGTGCACTGCTCACTACGTGGAGATGCTGCTGAAGGCAGAGGTGCCTCTGGTCTTCTCAGCGTTTAGGATGTCTGGCTTCACTCCCTCTCAGGTACTCAAATCTCATGCCTTCAACCCAGCCTCTTCAGCACCATCTAGCGGTTGTCAGATTCAGTGCACATCATCAGTACACTATAATTTTTTTTCTAATATGTTTTAGCATTTACATCACAGCTCCTGTATCAGAACCTCATAATAGTTTTTACATCATTTGATTACACCAGCCACTCATTATGGTGTGTGAATATTTCATGACAATTGGAGCAATAGAATTTAGTTTGTTAACAAAAACAGTGCATGCATGAACTCATATTAAGAGTACAGAATTCAAGTTACTCATTCAAAGGTTTTACTGGTTCGTAAAGTTACTGTTTCAAAGTTTTTATTGCAACAACAGCATTATGTTCCATAGTACATTACCTTATATCATTGTTACATATTGCCACAGGAGAAAGAAAAGGTTTTCAACTTAAAGAGGAATTTCACTGATTATACAAAAATTCTCTGAGATGCAAACAAAGTGGGGACTGTTTTGCCTCCACCATGAATGCATTATTAAAAATATATATGTATATTAAACCAAAACATATAATATTTTAAACCAAAACTATCGTAAAACAATGCTCCAGGCAATGTATTTGTGACCATTTCATGTACTTTTGTACTTCTAATTAAGCTTTTAAAGGCATTAAACTCTTCACATGTCTGGTTCCTATCACCACCACTGTGAGCAATTCTGATGCAGTAAGTTTCTCTAGAAAAGAGCATTTCATATTAAACCACCCTGAGTTATATCTTCATGATTTATTTAAACATAAATTTTGAAAAACTACTGGAATTCCCCTTTAAAAAACATAAAAAGTTTGCTTTTCTCTCTTGTGTCTCTTGCTCCATTCATCATGAAATATTCATGCAATGTAAATGACTGCCTGCATGTGCAAATGAAATTAGATAAAATAAAAACCAAACAAGTTTTTCTTATGACAGCAACAATTTATAAACATACACATAAAATGGAAAGAAAAGCTAATTCCTGCTAATTCATGGCTATTCAGTTGTTGTTCAAGGTTACTTGAAATTCAGGGCTACAGAACTTTTTACTTTCCTTCAAGTTATTCCCCAGCCTGAAGTTTTAAATACAGAGAAAGTTTTGCATTGATTTTTTTTGTTTGATCACATCTCCCTCTCACCTCAATTGTACTTCACAAACTTAACTTCAGATGTGACTTCTGTCAGCGAGGACAGATCCTGCGCTTTATGCATTTCAATACATCCACAGTGCGTTCAGTCAGTGCATATACAGCCTTGTGCAAATGTGTGTGCACCCCTGGTCATTTTCTTGAAAGTAAGTGAACATATCTTTCATCATCACAATTACTGTTTATTTGCTCAATTTAGGATATTGGAAAACAGTAAAACATAAAATGTGGCTGGTGCTAAGCTTTATATATGTTGTTTTTTTTCCAAATATGTTGAATCCTGCAGCTAAACAGAAATTGTGCACTAAAACTGGCAAAAAATTCCATATTTAAGTGTGTTTTTTGTAGAGAAAACTTTTTTAACATTTTTGCAATTACAGAATCAACAAAACATTTAATTTAACCAGAGATACCCCAACACTTGCACACTATTGTGTATAAGTTTTATAGATAGGACCTCTGCTACTGCAACAAATTTGAAAAATGAAAAAAAGAAATGTTACTGTTACTTATGTTAGTAGTCGAATAATCTAGTGATTATTTTGTGTAAAAAGAAAAAAAAGCAATAAAATGTTAACTAAATAATATCAAAATGCATAGCACTTCACTTCTATAAAAAATATTTTATTGGAAGATCAACTTGAAAGCGCTTATAACGTGTTAACATCACGAATTATAATTCTTTTTAACTCTATTAACACATTTTCTTAAACCATCTGTAGTAGTGCAGGCTGAAGCCCAGCGACTCGCACGCTGCATGTTGCTTTGATTGAATCTATGACTGTAGCTCTCTCATTCAAATACAACATTTAAATTGTTTTTAAAGAAAAACCTGGAAAGCTTGAGTTTTCCTTGAAAGCTCAACTGGAACAAGAGTCTACAAGCTGTATGAACGAGAGTGAAGGCAAGAACCTACTATCTTGAAGGAGTTGGAACCATTGACTGCATATGTGATATACAGTACTGTGCAAAAGTTTTAAGCATCTGAGAAGGTTGTATTTAAAAAGCTGTTTTACCAGGCAGTAAGTATTTATTGGTCATATAAACACTAATATTAGAATAAAAACAACCATAATACAATAAGTAGTAATTATGTGTGTGCCATTTTTCTCTTAGCCATTTCCAAACCTCACCTTGAGACAGCCTAGTATTATTTGCAGTCATCATTCAATTACCTGGTTTGGCTAATCAGTCCTACTTTTAATTGAAACATGTGTGCTGATGATGGAATTTACCAAATCCATGCAATGAATGCTGGCATCCAGGAGGAATGTGCAACCAACCCTGTGTTCTTCTAACTAGCTCACAAGATAAGTTCTTGTTACTTTTTTGTTTTTTGTTTGTTCTCTATTCTATGTACTACGTTATATAGTGCTTTTTTACAAAAATAAGTGGAAATAAATTATTTTGAACTATTTGCTTGAACTATTATTATTTGAACTATTTTGAACTACGTGCCTTTGATTTTTTGATTTTTGCATAGTACTGTATGTGATATATATATATATATATTGGAACATGCAGCCACTGTTGCTCTCACTGGATGTCTGCGGTGAAAATTGGACATTGCATTTACATGTACAGGTTCACATAATGAAATAATGTTACTGAATTATTGAAAGTAATAATAAAGCTTATTTTATTCACACTTTCCACTCATAGCTAAAACAAAATGCACTGCTGTTGAAATGGCAAAAAATCTCTTTTGGGTCTGATTTGAGCAAATATGAGACATATGGTTAATCGCGACAACTTTGTTATCTTGAGATTACAAGACAACGAACCCTTTATCTCAAGACAACAACTTTATCTCAAGCTAACAAGATAATTAACTTGTTATTTCAAGATAACAACTTTATCTCAATATGACAAGATAAATAACTTGTTATTTCAAGAAAACAAGATAATTAACTCATTATCTTGAGATAAAAACTTGTTATCTCAAGATAACAACATTTAACTGGTTATTTCAAGATAACGTTATCTTAAGATCACAAGATAATGAACTCATTATCTCAAGACAACAACTTTGTTATCTTGAGATAACAAGATAAATAACTTGTTATTTCAAGATAACAACTTTGTTATCTTGAGATAACAAGATAATCAACTTATTTCAACAAGTTATCTTGAGATAAGTATATTATCTCGCGATAACAAAAGTTTTTATCTCGAGATAATGAGTTAATTATCTTGTTATCTCTACAACATTTAACTTGTAATTTCAAGATAACAACTTTGTTATCTTGAGATAACAAGGTAATTAACTCGTTATCTCAGATAACAATCCAGAGAATCCCTGCTGATTCATTAAGAAGTTACGTTTTAACTTATGATACATTTTTTCAAAATAAGAGTTTATTCGAAGTGAAAACTGCTGGACAGAGGTGAGCAAGTTCCCATTCAAAACTAAATCTAGAGACCTGCAGCAGCGTGGACGTCTCTGAACGTTGGAAAGAAAAGTGATTTGAAATTGAGTGTCACCTCCATCAGAGAAGGGCAGCCGTGCCTGAGCTCCCACGAGTCTGCTTGAGATTCCAGACAAAGCCGCTCAAGAAACTTGGAGTGATGTCCAGGAACTGCAGAGATTGCCTTCTGGAGTGGCTCAGAAGCAGAAGGGCCGGACCGTGGCAGCAGCTGATAGGCATAATAATTAATCGAGAGAGAGAGAGATGGATTAATATGACTTGGCATTCTGTTCAGCCTTAGAACCAGGAGAGGATCAAAGTGAATACTGTATGCTCGGGATCATTAGACGTAATTGTTTTGTTGTATAATGCATCCACAGTGTTTGCATTAGGGACGCATTATACGTTCTAAATGGAACTCGTCCTGCAGTGCGTTTTTGATTGTGATTTGTTTTGCTGTTAATTACGGTGCTGCGATTAGGCAGCGTTGGGCTGTATTGACTGCACACAGCCAGTGAAATCTACAGAACTTCACAACTCTCTCTGAACTAGTGTAGCAGTCATCTAGTATTGATTACATTTAAAAATTCATAGAGCTAACTTGGTGAGCTTTACTGTATGTTCTCATATTCTCTCTCTCTTTCTCTCTCTCAGCTGAACTCAGAGAAGCTGTATTGGTATGACCATATTAAGTTACCAAGGCATAATGATCAATCTGTTAATGCTTTAAAGGCAGGTCCAAAAAACAGCTTTTTCTGCCTTTTAATCTCCTGTTCTTCTTTATTTATGCAATTCCTTAGTAACTATATTTACATGCACGCGATAACTAGACTACGTTCTTGGTCCGTCCATGAAATTGGACCAAACCAAGACGTTTACAAGAGCTGTATAAAAGACTAGTCAGTTTATAGTCTCGTTTACATACACATCAGCATAGTCGGACTTTACATTGGTGAACGTCCCCTTAATGATGCACTTTGATTAATCCAGAAATTGAATCTTCTTCTCCTTCTTTTATTTAAATACTCAGTGTCTATTTCTGACAGAATTTTCCACATGAAGGATGTCTCTTTTGACTGGACCGCATGTTTTAATTGGACTAATCTTAGGTCGACCTTAGTCAGAAGGTGACAATCATGTGACCTGATCATAGTTTAGTTAGATTTAGTTAGAGAACAGTCTTAAACTAACATTGAATCGTTGGTGTGCATGTAAAAGTAGTTGCATTTATCTTAATATGTAAAGAGCAAAATCTAATAAACAAAATATTGTTCATATCATTTTGAGCAACAATAGACATATACTTTAGACACCTGTATTTGTTATTCTGATTAAACAATTCAGTTATCACCTCCTTAGTGAATTATTGTTCTGAATGTGTGCACACTTTCGCTCACTGCATCTAACAATAAAGGCAGCATGGAGCTTCTTTTGAACAGTTAAACACTGTAACACACAGAAAGCCCTAATTCCACATGCTGTTCTACTTTACTCTGGCCAACATGGTCAAGCATGCTCACCAGCTACTTTCAGGGCAGATTTGAATGATTTTAAAGGGGACAAAGACAGAAATACTCTGAAAATATTGTTGGCATTAGGTAAGATTTAACACATTTTAAATATTTTATTTATGCAAAAACATTTAAGATAAAATAGTCATAACAAAATTCAAATGTTAACTTAGTTATTATGCAGTCTAGATCTCACTGTAACATAACCAAATCAGTCAGACACTTGCAGTAAAAAAACAAAGTATGAGGCTTTATTGTGGAGGCTTTGGCAAAACTCAAAGTCGAAAAACAGGCTGTGGTCAAATACAGAGAGATCAAAAGACAAAACAGGACAAACATAACAAAACCAGGCAACCAGATCCAAAGACAAAAACCTAAGTCAAAGGATTCTGGGAGATAGAGTTCATGGAAGCCTCAGAGCTGGAGGGACACGTGACACTCACAATGAAATGCATGTTACATCAGCTAACAGCTAACTGTGACTTCTTCGGATATTCAGGCTGTTTTTAACAGCTGAAACTGACTAGGATTTTGCTAATTATTTGGCCTTTTCCTTTCCAAGCCCACTGATTTGTTGAAGACATATACACATTCCACAAATTTGCCCAGAACATCTGAACATCTAGAACTGATCTAGAACTCTAGATCTGCTAGAGAATGGTACTTGGTACTCACATACATGCATACAACATATGGGAAGTACACACATTCAGTCCTACTACAAATAGTAATATTTTGATTATATATATGATATTCAATGCAATATTGTGCAAAAGTGAACATCATTTCATTTATTTAAATTTCTGGAGATGGGATATAAGACAATCCACTTTCATAAAGAAGGCGAAAGAGAAAATGGGACTTCTAACAACCGTGCAAGACCTGATAGACCACTAAAGCTGTCCCCATAAGATAAACAGCACTTAAAGCTTTCATCTTTGAAAGAGAGGAGAAAATCAAGGTCCACTTTTGCTTCAGATCTGAAAGAATCCACAGGTGTTTCTGTCCATCCTTCTACTGTGAGAAAACAACTCAACACAATGAGCCTGAAAGGATGTGTAGCTGTCAAAAAGCTCTTACCAAGAAAAGGAAATTATAGACAGACCACCCCGGAGTCCAGACCTCAGCAGCAATAAACATGTTTTGGAGTATTTGGATCATGAGAAGCAGAAAATGCAACCGGCTTCTAAGACTGAACTTGAAAAAAATCCATAAGCTGTATTAAAGGCATTTTTGCTGTTTTATTTAGTTGTTGAGGCTTCTGTGTAATTTTCTGTTGGATGTTTTCTGCTTTTTTCCTGATGCTGGACAATGAATAACTTAACAGCTGTTTTGACTGAAAATGAAATATCAAAAGTAGTTATTACAACAAACATGGAAACCATACAGAGGAATGGTTAGTACTGCAAAAAATGAAATGTGCAACTGTTTTCTCTTTAGAGGGTCTAACTTTTGCACAGTACTGTATGATTTATTAGCATTAGAAACTGCTGTCACCGCTGTCATCATATTGTCAGTATTCCTCTCTTGTCTCCACAGATGTGTATACAGTGGCTGGGCCAGTGTTTCTGGAACTACTTGGACTGGCCTGAGATCTGTCACTATGTGTCCACGTGCATCATCATGGGACCAGACTACCAGGTGTACATGTGCATTGCCGTGCTGAAGCACCTGCAGCAGGACATCCTCCAGCACGCACAGACCCAGGACCTGCAGGTCTTCCTCAAGGTGACGTGCCACATACTGCATTGCAGGCTTAAAGCAATGCTTTTACCAGCAGGTCAAATTTATACAGTTTTCAATCCTTCAGCCAAAGTAGGTTTGCTGTCTGAAGTTTGCTTTTGTAGTTTTGCAGTGGAACTAAACAACTAAGTAATGGAATCTTATGTGCACCAATTAACATTGTGCAAACATGCATAAATCATCATGCATCCTAAACTGTGTTGAGTTATTAAGTAATCTCAGATAGACTTGCTAATGTGGTTTCTGACACTAAATGACAAAAGTACAGACAAAATTCACACTTCAAGATGACTACCACTACTGTTTTTTAGCTGTGCAGTGTATTTCTGTGAATTTTTTGGACGTCAAACATTTCTTGGCTGATTGACTAAATTTGGTGAAAAGGGGAAAGCTGCACATTTGATTTTTTGACTGATTTATCACTTTAACGCAGTCCGCCCAATGCTACCATTGCTACGTCCTAGGCCCTATGTAGTTTGCCACTTGTGCTATAGTGTGAACATTGTTCAAGGTGACAAACCAAGAACAACAGAGAGCAGCTTTCACTCCAGTGCCTGAAAAGTGCCTGAAAGCATTGCAGGTTTTTGTGCATATCCAAGAATTCAGAACATATCTATCTACATCTTTAATCTAAGTTAAAAACTGAAATGGAAATTACTTCTCGGAATTGCCTTTGCTGTCACTCTGAAGTTGAATGCAATGGAAGACTCAAAGCGAATCCATTCAGGATGACTCGGATGAAACATGAATCAAAAATAAAGCCATCCTTTGTTCTACAAATTGAAAAAAATTGCCTGTCAGTGTACAATACTTTCAGCGCTCTTAAGACCGCAGTGCAGTTTACGTGGGGAGTTCAAAGCCTCCCACAGAACTATTTTAAGGCTTTTTTTTTCTTTTTATCATTAACAAGGTCTTTAATGTCCTGTTTTTCTCCTGACTGGGCTGAAATATTCAATTTAAATGCAGTGAGAACTCTTTCTATTAGATGTCCACACTATTTTCTCTGGAGCCACAGGAGTTTATTTATCTAAAGAGAAAACATCTGTACATTTTGTTTTCTGTGGTAATAACCATTCCTCTTTATGGTTTCCATGTTTGTTGTGATAATTGCTTTGATATTTTCAAGTAATAAGTGACAGAGCTGGAAAATTCAAATGGCCTCTTTTTTGGAGGAAATTCAAGTTCATTTGACTCAAAGAAAGTCTTAGTCAGATAGGATTGCAGTCAATGTTCAAATGTGTAATAATATTTAATAATATTGAGTTAGCATTAAACAATAGCTTTAAATCAGATAATGCTTTAAAGTAGATAATGCTCTGTACATTGGTTTTGGCTCTGTACAAGCATTTAAGAAAAGTTAACATGGCTTACAGTGCCTATAAAAACTATTTACCCCCTAGGAAATGTGTTTTTTCATAACAGAATATTAAATCTAGTGGATTGAGTTTGTTTTTGACACTGATCAACTGAAACAGACTCTTTCATGTCAAAGTGAAAACATCTCTTCAAAGTGATGTAAATTAATTACAAATACAAAACACATAGAACCTGATTGCACAAGTATTCAAGCCCTTTAATATGACTCTCCTAAATCATTGCTGGTGCAGCTAATTCATGTTAAAAGTCACATAATTAGTTAAATGGGTTGGCCTGTGTGGAGCCAAGGAGTTCCAATTGATCATAGTATAAATACATTGTATACAGAAAGTGCAACTTCTGGTCAGTCAGTATCAGTTCAAAACCTACACCATGAAGGGCAAGGAACACTCCAGGCATCTTAATGATACACTGTTATAAATAAATGTACTGTACAAGTCGTTTTTTGTTCATCAAGGTACAAACAATGTACATGTACCCTCAATGGTACAGCAGTGGTTTTAAGGTCTAGTTGTGTACAATAAAAAGTTTTTCCCCGGGGAAAGGTACGTACTTATATATTTTCATAACCTAATAATTTAAAACAGAACAATACAATAAAAAGCCTAGAGACGAGATGGGGTGTGTGGAGTCAATACAACATAGAAAATATAATTTAAATAGATTATGGTACAGTTATGTTCCCTGACTAAAGGTACTGAGACCTTTAGGGTACCAGCCCAGTGACAGAAGGGGTACTGCCCCAGTGACAATTTCGTACCTTTTTTTCTGAGAGTGTAAGGTGATTGAATAAAAAAAATCGTTCATAAAATGGAAAGTGCCGGGCTCCCGAGTGGCACAACCATCTAAGCGTTGGCCCTATCATCAGGAGAACCCTGGTGATGCTACAGCCATCCGTAGCCGGGATTCTCGCTCTCTCTGGGTGGGTAGGATGGCGCCCTCCTTCTCCCCCCATCACTTAACGCGATGCTAGTCAGCACAGGCGTCTGTTAGCTGACATAACAGATATGGCGGTTGGCGCTTTCCTCTGAGCGCGTTCGGCTGTCCAATGACGTTGCGTGAGCAGCGGTTCGAAAAGAAGCGGTTCTCGGAGGAAGCCTGTGTTAGCCTTCGCCCTCCTAGCATTGATAGTATCGTGTGATTGGGGGAGTCCTGACTAGCGGGTGGAATTGGCGACGACTAAATTGGGGAGATAATTGGGTTAAAATCTTAAATAAATAAATAAATAAATGGAAAGTGTCACAAAAGCTTTAAATCTGCCACAGACATACTGTCCACAAAACCTAAGTGACCATGCAAGAACGAGACATTTACAGTTAGGCACTCTTATCTTAGTAACTTACAAGAGTACTTTCTTGTCGACTTGAAGAATGTATCCTAGCTAGTTCAAATAGCTATGAAGAATGTATCCTAGCTAGTTCAAATAGGCTAAATGTGGCCTTGAGCAAAGACACTGCCAGAAAACTAGAATTATTGCTAATACCTAGAGAGAAAGATGCACAAAATGCATAAGTGTAATACAATTCATTCCATAAGTGCCACATTACTGTTCATTTAAATGCTTCACAAAGAGATGCGTCTTCAGTCGGCCTTTTAAACGTTGAAGGACTCTGCTGTTCAGACAGCCAGTGAAAGTTCGTTCTACCACCTGGGTGCCAGGACAAAGAAGAGTCTTGATGCTTATGTTTCATGCACTTTAAAGGCTGGCTGGTGAAGCTGAGCTGTACTTGAAACTCGAAGGGCTCAGTGTACAGAGTTTTGACCACTGCCGTCAGGGGCTAGTCCATTTTTGGCTTTTTTAGGTAAGCATCAGTGTTTTAAACCTGATGCGGTCAGGATGTCAGTGAAGGGAACGCAGCAGTGGAGTGACATGAGTGACTTTAGGAAGACTGAAGACAAGCCATGCTGCTGCATTCCAGATCAGATTTAATGGCCCACGTTTGAAGACCAGACGGTAAAGAATTGCAGTAATCAAACCTTGAAATGACAAGTGACTGAACAAGCACCTGGGTGAAGGAGGCCAGCAAGAGACCTGTGACAACTCTGAAAGAGTCACAAGTGTCAGTGGCTTAGATTGGAGAGACTGTGCATACAACAACTCCTGCCCGAGTGCTTCACCAGTCTCAGCTTTATGGGAGAGTGGCAAAAAAGAAAGTCACTGTTTCATGAATTTCATATGAACTCTTGGGTACAGTTTGCCAGTAGGCATGTGGAAGACTCTAAAGTCAGCTGGAAGAAGGTTCTATGATTTGATGAGACCAAAATTGAGCTTTTTGGTCATCAGACTAAACACCACTGTACATCATCATAAACATACCATCCTCACAGTTAAGCTGGTGGTGGGAGCATCATGCTGTGGGCATGGTTCTCTGCAGCAGGCCCTGGAATATTTGTGAGAGTGAAGGTTCAACGCATGGAGAAAAATACAGGAAAATCCTGGAGGAAAACCTCATGCAGTCTGCAAGAAGCTTGAACCTTGTTAAAATTTACTTCCAACATGGCAGCGACCCCAAGCATGCAGCCAAAATGGCTTAAAGACATCAGTGTTAATGTAATGGAATCCTGGGACAGTATTATAGAAACCTCTTAACTTAAATCTTATTTTATGTTTAGTCACTTTGACAACTTGAGTAAGGACTAAATTTAGGACGAAAGCTATTACAGAACAGCAGTTCTAGTTCATAATCTTATCCTAACTCCAGATAAAAAACAGTATTACAGAAGCATCATAACTAGACAGAATTTCCTAAATACTGTCCAACCTTAAGACAACCCCAGAGGTGTCTTAACTTCTGTTAAGACTGTCAGTTTCTGTTGTTTTCTGCTGTGACAGACAGCATAGTTCAATATAACTAGCATAATGATGTTACATTTATCTACATCTTTGCTGTATGTTTACTTTTCCCTAACCTGAGTGTTGATTGGTTGGCAAGCAAAGCAGCTCATTGGCTGTTCGTACTCAATGATATCATAAATGTACATGAGACGGCGTTTTAAACTCGTTCAAAAGTGCTGAAAAATATTACAGAGGTGTTAAAATTTTTTATGCTGTTCTGTGTTCAGGAAATTAATGTTTTCTTTTATATTAAAAATCTTTAAAGCACTTTAAACTATGATTTTGCTAAAATGCTTCATCTTAACCCTTTCATTGTGGGCTCGCTAGGGAGCGCCCTCTAGCATTTGAGAAGCCCAGAAGACACTACAGAGTGGTTGCTCTAAAGCGTTTGGGAAACGGAAACTGAAACTGGAGAGATGCGACACTCTGATAAACAGCACAAGGCACTATCACAATATTAATAACTTCAAGTTTATAACGTTTTAGTTTTGTTTGACCTTTTTTACATCAGTAACGGTAGCTGTCTGGCTGACTAACTCATTATTTTGATTACGTGTTTACATTTCAGCTGTGCGCATATGCTTGGTTGCTAGGTAACATACATGACAGTTGATTATCAAGTTCAGTGAAGTAAGTTAAGATTTCCTAACTTGAGATAAGATGCTGTGATATAAGATTCCTAAATAAAGATAAGATTTGCTTCAGTTATACAAATTTGTGAAAATGTTATTTTGACCTATCAGATCTTAACTAGATGGGACGTTTCTGTAATACGGCCCCAGATCTCAATCCAACAGAGATTGGTGTCTGGGCTTGAAAAGACTGTTCCCTCATGACCCCATACAACCTGACAGAGCTTGAGCAGTTTTGCAAATAGGAACGGGGAGAAATAGCAGTGTTCAAATATGAAGCTATGGACCTGCTGCCAAAGGCGCACCTAGTAAATACTGAGCTGATGGGGGTGGATACTTATGTAGTCAGAAACTTTGTGTTTTATATTTGTCATTCATTTAAACCACTGTGCAGAGATCTGTTTTCACTTTGAATGTCTGTTTCTGTTGATCAGTGTAAAAAAAATTAAATCCACTGTGATTCAATGTTCTATGATAATAAAACATGAATATTTCTTATAGGCACTGTAAGCACTATTTAGAGAGGATTAGTTTTACATAGGAAAGTGAGGTGATTGTTACCAGTGTTTCTCAGCGATTTTAGTCTGATCCCAATCCACTATATCAGTCAGTTTCATGGACTGTGTGCTTGTGCATCTGTACAGTTAACAATGGCTTATATCTTCTGTAGAAATAACCACAGGTTTTATAAATCCTGTGTGAATTGCCAGACCAATAAATATTTCATCATATCCTGAGGGAAAAAAAGATTTCATGGGTTTTCTTAAGTATGGAGGTACTCAAAGAAGCATTTTACTTGTATTCTCTGTGGCACAATTGAAGCTGATATATGTTGTCTTGCCTCAAGTGAACGACTCCAAACATTAAAATAGGAAAAATGACAGGAGAAAAATTTGATTTTATGTAGTGATGTTGACTGTTGGCTATAACTAACTGGAATGGCAGTGCTAATATTTAGACAGATGAGTAGACAGTTTGGGCATGCTTTCTGCTGCTGGGCAGCTGAATGTATTGGGCATGGAATATTTTTGGTGTTATGCACTACGTAAATTGAGAAGCCACTCCTTGATGCTTGTTAATAATACCTTTAGAGGGCAACGGTGAGTGATATTTGTTTATTTGATATTTGTTAATAACTTTGTTTATGTGATGTTTGTTAATAACAACTCTAGAGGGCAGCAATGAGTAATGTTTATTTGATGTTTGTTAATAACTCTTTTAGAGGGCAGCAGTGAGTACTGTTTGTTTATTTGATGTTTGTTAATAACACTTTTAGAGGGCGGCAGTGAGTACTGTTTGTTTATTTGATGTTTTTTAATAACACCTTTAGAGGGCGGCAGTGAGTACTGTTTGTTTATTTGATGTTTGTTAATAACACCTTTAGAGGGCAGCAGTGAGTAATGTTTGTTTATTTGATGTTTGTTAATAACACCTTTAGAGGGCGGCGGTGAGTAATGTTTGTTTATTTGATGTTTGTTTATAACACCTTTAGAGGGCAGCAGTGAGTAATGTTTGTTTATTTGATGTTTTGGAAGCAAGGTAGTTAAACAGCCAATTTGGCTGCTTAAGGCTTATACTTTAATAGTTGCATACAATGAAAAAAATAGAGATAAATTTGTTAATCGCAATTTTTTATGGCAATTAATCATCAGCTTAAATTGTATGATTGTGACAGGCCTACCGTGATTGCTTATTCCATGCAGGTCAGTCATTAACATAGTGCTTTTGTTACATCATACAAATACGTCAGGAGTGAGGCTATAGAAAGGCTGTTGTGAATGAAAGTGCGTGTAAAACAGAGAGTGGCTGAGAAAGAGAACATCTCTGTAAATCATATTTCAATCAAAACTACAATTACAGACTCTGTAGTTAATTAGTACGTTCTATTTAATAGTGTACGTGCTGAATCTTAGTGAAACACATCTCATTATAAACAGTGCTGTTTATCAGATGAGTATTCCTTTATGGCAGGTCTGTTGTGAGTGTGTTGACTAGTCATGGTCATGACTTACTTTGATCGTTGTTATTGTTTAACCCCTTAAATGGCCAGGGCCCACTGGCAGGCCCAAAGTTTAATTACACGCTTTTGTAACCTTAAAATAACTCAGCCTGTTTCTGTAGTTACTGAATAATAAGCCTTCCTATGTAATAAGCCTGGGATTTTTAGTGGTTAGAAACAGGCACTGTCACTGGCCAGTATAAAAGTGACCACATGCAAACAGGTTTTACAGCCACTATCCAGCAATAACATCAGCCCTCCTGTAGGCCTTTGGACAACACATGTGTGGGCCCAGTGCTACACATGCTGGCAATTTTATATTTGTGTTGGGAGTTATAAAGCCTCCCTGGCTTGTTGTTACAGTTCCACACATGGACTGTAAATCCCTGCAAAATCCATTTTTCACCAGTAATAGACAGTGGTTGACTTATGGTGCTGCAAGGTCTTGCAATTCAGATCTCCGAAACAGACTCATGTTTTGGTGGAATGGGATATTCAGCTGCTGTACAGTGCACCCATTGCTGACTCACATACAGCTTGTGTAATCTCCATAGAAAAGCACTGACCGAAAGAAAGATACACTGTGGAGCAGCCACATATGAGGTCACTATGCCAAATGCCAAGTATCAGGTAGACATTGGGCTGTGGAGCAGTGGGACTGCATTCTCTAGAGTGATTGAACTCCATTCAATGCTTCTGGGATGGGATCACTAATAGTCTTATGGCTGAATGCAATCCAATCCTCACAGCAATGTTCCAACATCTGGTGTAAAGCCTTCCCAGAAAAGTAGAAGCTGTTAATGCAGCAAAGCAGCAAACTCCCTATTAATACCCTTGATTTGAGAGGTGAGCCGATGTCCACAAACTTTGAGACATTTTATGTTCTCTGTCACAAAAGCAAAATATAAAATTTATCAATACTTCAAAACATATATGAAACTAATGCATAGTATTTGAATTTATTTGAGTTTGTATTGGTCTGTTAAATCATCCATTGCTAGAAGTTTTTGGAAGAAGTTGTAATGGTTTATTATATTTTAATCATCATCAATACTTTATCACTGGCTTTGTACTAGTTGAAACCAATTACTGGCTTGGATTTTGCTGACTCATATGGACTAATTAGTGGGCTGATTTTGCATGTCATTGCCAAATAGAGTAATTGCTTGTAGGTACTGTGTTCTGCACTTGTGACCATAATTTGCTTACGCTGCAGTAATATTTTATTTAATATCAAACCTGTAAAGATTTATTTGTCCTTTCTCTCATTTCCATATTCCATAGTGTCCTTTCGTAATTTGAGAAGTAATTTTAGGGCATTAAACTCATGTGCTGACTCAAAGGAAATAAAATTAGATTAATGTTGCTCTGTCTCAACCAACTTGCTTGTACACAGTGAAATGTCACTGTGCATTAGGCAGTGCCCTGTTGAGAACACGTATGAAGCGCTGCGGCTGCCTGGCCTTTTACAGCATTTGTAACGACAGGCAAATCATTGCTAGAACTTGCATCTCCAAACATAATCTTTTCAGGATTAATGAAAGCTTGCCTATTTTATCTGTGTTTGAACTGGATTTAAGCTTTCAGAGAATATATAGAGATAAAAGCAGAGATCAGAATCGCTGGAGTTGGAGGAAAGAGCTTTTCTAATGCAGTAACATTTTTTGCACTTTCCAACCATCATTTGACTTGAATATATGAGTTCCATGTTTTACTTGGAATTATACGGTACTGTGCAAAAGTCAGAGATCCACCCGCCAATAATTTAGTTTAGGTTCAAACCAGCCATTGAGTACAAGTAATTCATTTTTCAGAAGAGAAAATGCACACTGAACAAAGTAACATAAAGGCCTCAACAACTAAATGTCAATTTATTTCAGTATTTAGTGTGTTAACCTTCCTTAAACACAGCTTCCATTCTTTTCAGGAGACTCGCTTTCAGTCCTTAAAAGTAATCTGCTGGGATATTTTTCCACATTTCCAAATTTTAGTCATAGAAGTTTGTTGTATTTTCTGCTTCTCACAATTCAAGTAATTTTAAACACATTTAGTGATGTTGAGGCCTGGACTCTGAGGTGGTCAGTCCATTGTTCTGAGAACACCAGCAGCTTCTTTGTTTGATTTACTATGGTGAAAATTCATAGTAGTAAAGCAACACCATTTGCCACTCATTCAGGTACCTTCATCAGTAACTAAGCACTCTGATGAGTCCTGAAACAGCTACAAGATTATACCACAAGCCGCCCTAACTTACACTGTCTGTCAAAAGTCTGAGAACATATTGGCTGTTAAAATTAGAATTTTGTCACTGCTTTTCAGTTCAAATAAACAGCTATTTGAAAACACTTTGTGAAGATTTAGCATCAGCAGTCTAAGCATCATGTTCATCAAAGTGTATGGTATGAAGAGCAAATTGTGACTAAATAATGAGTTTTCCATATTATCAACTTTCAGAATTTTTTTGTGTGATACTTTTTTCCTCTAAATAAACCTGCTTAGTCTGTGTTATGTTATTGTTGTTATTATTATAAAAAACAGGCTCATTTGTATCTGTACTGTATTTGTATCTGGACAGGAGAGCTTTGGAAATAGTTAAGCTAACACACACAGAAAACAACCCTAATGGATTGATTATTTGTTTGTTTGTATTATTTATTGATTTTTAACAAATAAATGCTTACTGCCCAGATAAATGGCTTTACATATCATTTTTCACAAATGGTCTAAGACGTTTGCACAGTACTTTAGTTTTCATTCTGATCATTGCTTTCTTTTCCTTTTTTTTGCATTTACATAAATCCAAAGGCTGTTCTGATCCACATGTACTGGCCATGACTTTCTGCTTCTTCCCCCTGTAGGAGGATCCCATCCACGGCTTCAGAGTCAGTGATTATCTGGAGTATATGGAAGGCCTGGAGCGCAGTTACAGAGGCATGGTGCTCACCGACATGAGGAGCGTCTTACTGAAGAGCACCTAGTATTTCATGTCGTTCATATGGGATGTCCATGGACCTATTAAGTGCGAGTCGGTGACTTTGGGATGGGCAAGTGTTCACAGTAAAATGAAATGAATAAAAAGGAGTAAAAATAGAAGGAGTATAAAATCAGATTTCTGGTGCAAAAAGGAACAAAGGTCCTGTTGTTCATTAGGTCTTAACAATTAAGTTTCAGAGATTTTTGGCCAGTTTTCCAGACTCAGATTAAGCCTAAAGACTGTTACACAACACAACAAAGAAACAACATGAAAGTACGAAATAGTTGAACATATGATTTTTTTCATGGTGTTCTTTCCACAAAAAATAAATAAATAAATAACAAACTGTCCATTGCTCCTCACCAAATGGGCACATGGTGTCACTGGGCAGGCTGCTTTCCATTTTTGAAAAGCCGAAAGGGGCATGGAGAGTTTCACTGGCTCACTGAGAAGCTGAGAGCTTTTGCAGATAGCTTGGGTTTATGTAACTCGGTTTGAGGCCTTTTTGAGCTTTTTTTATGCTAACACCATCTATAACAAAGCAGAAAGTGAACTAATCTTTTTGATGTTTATGAAAAAGTTTTGGTTGCACCAGAGACAACAGTTGGATCGAATGAGTTTGTATCACCTGCAAAAGTTGGCAATAATTGAACAAATAGCGGACGAACTCCATTTAATGCATTTTTGCCATCTGAAAAACTGTGTTCACAAGACATCATTAGTTATACATGTGTTCTAATTAATTTATTGATGTTCACATAAATCTTAAATAAGTCATGCTCACTCTGTAAAGGCCTAAGGACCAGTCTAAAAGTAATTTCCAATGGTGATTCACCATCTTCACTGCAATTAAGTCCATGAGTAAGCTTAAGCCATGTGCGGTAAACTGGCCCTTAGAGTTTTAAGTCTTGTTTTTGCTGCAATCTTTAATTTGTACAGTTCAGTTTCCTTTATCCTGAGTGCCAGGTTGATTTGTTCAGCTGCAGTGTCTGTGGAATACTGTTTTTTTTCTATTTTTTTCCTCCTTTAAAGAAAGAAAAGGAACATCCTGCCTTCTGTATGGAAATGGAACACAAGCAGCAAGACATGCTGCGTGCAGTATGACACAGGATTTGTATTTGTGTGCTATTTGAGATGGAAAAGTAAATGCTGTTTTGTAACATGCCCTGTATATTTACTGAGACCTATCTTGTTTTAAATATCATGTAAATATTTTTTCTGTTTCATCTCAGTGAACACAGTTGTGAAGTTAGTAAACAGTGACTTGTTTTTAAAGCGTGCACACCCTTCTTCGTATTCCACTGCAGCGTTGCTCTCTCTCCAGGCCATACAGTCGCCTGAAAATTGAGGTGAAGCTTCAGTGATTCTGCATCTCCATACTTTTGATGTATTTTTCGATCAGGTATTTACGACATAGCAGCTTCCACAGGGTTTACAACTGCAGAGGACTGTAAGATTTAATATTTATAGCCATACCAACATGGTTGGTTAGAAGTTGCCTTAGTGGGCTCAACACATAAGAACAAATAAGAGAATAGGGAACAATGAACAATAATCCACATAGAGCACTCACTCCAGTATGATAAGTTAAAGAGCTCTGTGGTGCAACAGAGTGCAGAAAATAAATTACTGTAGGGCAGAATTCATTAAACTATATGACACCTTACCTGGCAGGGGCGATACCATGATCACGAAGGTGGTTCACCCAGGGCGAGGCTCGGCCATTGCACTTTGGTTGTGCTGACCCTTGCGAATTCCCCAAATGCGGGAATCTTGACTGCATAATTTCTGGTGGTAGGGGACTGCGTTCGCGCTCATATTTTTAAGGGGGCAGTTGTGGGCTGGAGGTTAGGGAACCAGCCTTGTGACCGGAAGGTTGCCGGTTCAATCCCCTCAGCTGACAGTACGTGACTGAAGTGCCCTTGAGCAAGGCACCTAACCCCCAACTGCTCCCCGGGCACCGTGGATAGGGCTGCCCACTGCTCTGCGGAGGTCTAATTCCGATGTGTTCAGACACAGTTGGCTAAAAGGTTAATTTCATTTTCATTTCATTTTATTTCATTTCACCTAAATAAACTCGCCATGACAATTGGCTTAAAACTATATAAACATTTATAAAGGCTAATTGCAGTGGCTGTCATCTCTCACAAAGGCTTTTCTTACCTTTGCCTATGATGTGGCATAGTTTAGCCCATAAATCTGAATATTAAAATTAAATTCACTTTATCTAAGTGCACAGATTTGACAGGCTGCACTATTTGGCCAAAAGTATGTGGACATCCCTCCTAATTATTTAATTCAAGTGTTTCCGCTGCTTCCATTGTTGACAGGTGTTTAAATCAAGCACATACCCACACAATCTCCATAGACAAACACTGGAAGTAGAATGGGTCTTAATGAAGAGATCAGTGACTTTAAATGTGGCACTGTCACAGGATGCCGCCTTTGATCAGCCATGAAACTGCAGACAGCAGAGCTGAGTCCTGAAGTGCATAGCAGATAAAAAATCTTCTGTTGCTTCGTTCACTACAGAATTCTAAACTGTCTCTGGAAGCAACATCAGCACTGTGCTTTTGGAGCTTCATGAAATGGGTTTCCATGGCTGAGCAGCTGCACACAAGCCTGCACACAAGCAGTACGTGCAATCCAAAGCGTCAGCTCTGGTGGTGTAAAACATTTATATTTGCAAGATGCCAGGTGAATGCTGTCCACTGGAATGCATCTAACAGTAAAGTTTGGTAGAGGAGAGATAATGGTCTGGGGCTGTTTTTTTAAGGGTTGGGGCCCCTTAGTTCCAGTGATGGGTAATGTTAGCGCTATAGCATACAAAAACATTTTAGAATGTTAATTGAAAATCTCGTGGAAAGCCTTCCCAGATAAGTGGAGGCAAATAGTCGCAAAGGGGATCCAGCTCCATATTAATGCTCATGATTTCGGAATGAGATGTCCAAAAACCTTATATAGGTTTGATGGACAGGTGTCCACATACTTTTGGCCATATCAAAGCTGACAACCTTTATGACAAATTACACCTATTGAAATAATTGGTTAGAAATGTTTCTGTAAGTCTATGTCCACTGTCATGAAGGGCTTAAGTAGGTGTCATGTGGCCTTAGGAACGCTGACCTACATTAAAGTATTACCAATATTTTTAGAGGTAATTCAATAATAGATCAGCATTCTAGCAGTTACTTACAAGTTTAATGGTTGTTTTTCACTATTACTGAACTTTACACTACTTCAGTACACAACCTGAGAGTTCATTATGATTTCTTTTCCCACTATTCATTTAATATATGATCGAATGTGCTTCAAAACATGTCATTTAGCACCAGCTCTAACTCGTTCTGATGACTTAGCCTTGTTTTGTACGAACATCTGCAGTCTTACAGGCAACAGTATAGGGCATATCACACTGACAAGTCGTCATTAGTGTACAGAAACAGTCTCCTTCACACGTACCATCTGTAACTCCCACAGTGAATAATGAATGGGATCGTTAAAGAGGTGTCTTTCTCCTTCAACACAGCCACTAAATATAACATACTGTTTACTCAGTAGGAGGAAGGACCCGTTTTACTTTAATGGCATGAAACGTTTTCTGAGTATTCTTAGTTTTCCCTTTTTAGATGCAAGTTTAAATGGCCTTATTTAACTTCTGATTTATGTAAAGGCAAATAAATAATGAAATGTGAATAGTATATAGCACCGTACAAAGAAATGATCTTAAGGGAGCTTTAAAATCAATAAAAAGAATTACAAACTAAAATGAACTAAAAAAGTGATCAAAAACAGTAAATTAAGTAAATAAGATACCGAAACAATAAAAAATGAAATGCCATTGGTCAGAGAACTTCAAAATCCAGACCTTGAATCCAGTTTTCTGTCCCGGATTTTGTGAGACAGTGATGGTTCTTGCTATACTTAGACTACAGCAGTTGTGTAGGCCTCACACCTACCAAGGAGCCTCCTATAGCAAGCATGATTCCCAATAGGCCTAAACCATTGTGATGTTCACATCAAAATGTGACTGGTGGCGTTAAGGGTAGTCTGGTGGGGCCAGACATGATCTCATAACGAGAATACACGTCTGGGGACGTTTGGTGCTGGATTATGGCAAAATCCCCCAACTTCTTCTAGTTTGTACTATTTTTAACATCCAGAATGCGATGATAACACAAGCCATACAAGCTAGCTAGCAAGTCGCTATCCTTAGCTAATGTAACATTTTTTCTTACTGGTTTGTGTGGGGTATTTTGGTAAGGTTGACTTCAGTGCACAGCAGTGTTGGCTTGCTTATAGTAAGTATTCTGACTCTTTAACAAGCTCTTAATTTAGAAAATTTAAAGGAAAAATGTGTGTAATGAAAATTCCATGCATTTTCCCCATAAAGAAAAGCATTAGACCCAGAGCTCCTAATATTGGCATGGTGGTGACTATTAAATGACAACACAGAGGTCTGTACCATGGTCATGTATGGCATGTGGTGCTGCAAGCCACATCTATACAGCGACCTGCTTTAACCCTGTGCTTTAGAGAACGGTCTTTCTGTGGTAGCAAACCAGTTAACCCCATCAGTCGTTCCTGCTAATGCAATATATTTACATCAATTATGCTTAGATGTGATTACAGACCAACAGCATACTGGAGAATTTTGTTTGCTTTGGCTCTGAAAATGACAACCGCAACCTTTGTTTTTTTTTTTTTTTTTTTGATATAATGTCTCATTTGATTGCCCGACTAATAGACCTTAATGGCAGAAGGTAATTTGAGATGGCTAATTAGTGCTAATTAAGCTGATTACATGCTAATTAAGATCTCTCTGTTCCTGTATCTGACTCTGGAAACAACATTAGCCTTGTTCTCCCTTGTGAAGGTGCTATATTATTGCCGCAAACTGCTACAATATATCAGTCCCTGCCTTTAGCAACTGCCTGCTGAATACATTACAGGTCCTTCATGCGGCTGCCCTGCAAATTGATCTTCAGGCTCCAATCAGTGGAGACTGACGGACGTGTGATCGGTTCCTCTTTGAAGTCGATCTCAACAGCGCTATTCGTGTGATCGAACTTTGTAGTTCTAGTAGATTCAGCTTGCTCTCTTTGCCTTTCTTACCCTGAACTGATTAGTGCTTGATTAGAATGCAGGCCATTAGCCTTCACTGTGTTCCATCTGAAAGCCCACTTCACATCGACAACAGCCTGTGGTCCGCAGGCTGAGAAAGGAGAAAGGAGGGATTCCAGCTCCTCCTGGGATAGAGGAGGCTGAGAGTGGGCAGTGAGAGACTAAAGAACATTAGAGAACGGAGGCTTTGATCATAAAAGCAGTGCTTTACTTTTTCCCCCAAGCCAGTGTTGAAACATGAGGCGTGGAAAAAAGGAACGTACAACAGGGGGTTTAGCACAGAGAGCCAGCAGTAAAAAGTGTCTTCACCGCAGAGAGATTGACTGATTATCCATGATATTTCTGGTGATGGTCTTCATACATTAAACATTTTTTTCCCGTTAAGCTCGCTGCCACACTGTCTGTACGCAGCACTGGCTGTTGCTTCAAAGACTGCCATACAGCTGCGTGGCCTAAATATGGCCGTTCTTTTCTGAAAACAATGATTTTCCTGACTGTATCTTATCCAGCACAATGCTGCCTTGTTTGCTGAATCCCTAAATTCTATCCATTGGCAGTACAAAGCCATCTGACTCTCCGTCTCAGTGTGTTAAGGCACTATAGTCTCTATTGTCGTGCCTTTAATTGAAGCAGCAGGCAGTCTCCCCTCAGACTCACCTGATGAAACCATCAGGATAATCTCCTAATCCTCATTAGTGTCAGCATCCAAGCAGCAGAGTCAGTTAAAGAGAAACACATTTACCCGTGCTTATGAGGAGACAAGTCAGGATGTTATTAGAGGATCATGATGATAAACCAATAAAGCTTACACTGCAGGGTCAGTCACAAGTAGGGCTGCAGCGATACCTCTGGCACTTAAATGCTGTATTGTTATTGGCACTCTCTATGACCGATACCATGAAGCAATTTGACGAGCACATGCATTGCCGGGGGATGTGTGCATGCTCACCAGTAGGCTCAACTTAACAACACGTCACTGGATTGAGTTAACAAGCAGCCGCAAAAATGCTCATGGCAACATTCATGATGCCAGTATTTTGTGGGGAGGCAATAGTAGTGGGTGATAGACCAGCTGGAATTCTTCTTAAGGTATTAATTTTACAGATGTGCCACAAATAAATAAGCCAGTTAACAACATAC